TTTGATTACGATAGTTGGCCAGTTATTATAGCGAATGTTAAAGTTATTCGGCGTCTAAATTCGTAAGATAAACAGTCGGTTAGTAGTAATTTATAAATCGTCAAGTAATAATGTAACAGTGTTTATTTGTAGTATTGAATCAAGTAATGCGTGATAATAATTTTAATGTAACTTAGTATTGTGATTGTAGACTGTTAGCCATGTTTAGTATAATGTACGGTAGATATTTATCCTAGGAGATATTTGGTAGCCATAACTATAGACTGTAGTAGTATAGACTCTATGCTAGAGTATAGATGACTATATACAGTAAGGTGTTGAGTTACTAATAAGGCTATAGGTAAAAATAGAACTGTATATCATATATTAGGATATGGTTAATTCATTGTACTTTGGCTGGTGTGAATAATGTCTACGTAAATACTGTAGTCGTATCACTATCGGATTAATGATGGCCGGCAGTAGAATAGTGTTACTAAGAATAATTTTACTATGTGTAAAATAAGGTAAAAGGTTGCCATGCAGATTGTAGCTGCGAATGCTACGAAAAGTATAAAAGCATGCAACTTTAGATTATTCTGTTAGTTCGTTCTAGAAGTCTTTAGTAGTAGTATTCGGTTGGAGTAGAGCTGTGTGTAGTTAATCTTTGTATAAGATTCAATAAAGCCCTTATTTTTCTAAAATTTGGAATTTCGTGATCGGTATATATCACAGTAATATATAATTTAATAATTATCATAAGTGAGTTCTATCGTAATCTTAAGGATAAATTTGTTCATTATACTAGACAAAATGTAAGGTTTTACATATTCCGCAATATTAAATTCAGGTAATATCAAAAATATTTTAAATTTACCATTCCAGATATAGTTTCACTTGTAACTACATTCATCGTAGCGAAACTTATCGATAAGGAATAATTTGCAGATATCGCAATTTCCTCTGGAGTGCAATCGACATGTTCGAGCTTTGTTGCTTTGCTCCAAAATGTTCTAGAAAGAAACCCGGGTACAATCCAAGCATAGTTCGGTCCGTACATTTGATATTTATAAGCCTGTTTATGCAAAAGATGATTCAGTCGTAATTATTGACCATATCTCCTCAGATACTATACATAATAGGACTATATAAGGCCAGTTGATAGAACGAAAATACAAAACACATAATCTACAGGACGTATTTATCATTTAATTCTGATGTAAATCTCAGAGCTTATGCTAGCATCTATTTTAAGAAAGATTAATTGATAATATTTTGGATATTTTGGATATATAAACGATCCACTTCTCTTAAAATTTGAAAATCTACTAGCCCGTAATTTGCTCATGTAGATCATAGAATCAGCTTGTTTGAAGGAAGTGATTATAACCCTTGACCGTAGGATAGTAGACTAATGACATTAATATTGCTGTGTCTATAAGTAATCGTTAACCTTATAACAATATCAACTATGCCTGATAGACTGACCTGACAAAATACTTCAATGGCATCTTCTTCTTGTAAATGCGCTATAATTATCCGAGCGTCATTTTTCTATTACGATTAAAGAGAAAATGAATTTATTTAGTGATTGAAAGCAAGTTTTGGCTTGACTGTAATTCAATAGAGAGATTATCAACAGAAAATCATAAACTGTAAAATTTCTGCTTTATGTGCCCGTAATTCTCATGTTCATTGATATTTCAACATAATGAAAGAGCTTTAGCAAAGAATTGTTCTAAGTTAAACTGATTGCATACAGATCTATCATACTGCAATAGCATATTAATTCAAGTACATTTATTGCATAAAAAATCATCCTCCGATAAAACTTTTTAATACGCTCATACTTTTACAATTGCATATGCTTCATTCGCCTTGGTCAAGGTTACCTCTATCTATTATTATTAATCGCGATTAAGGCAAAATATAGCCTTGATTTCAATACAGATCGTGCCGTATTAATGCGTTAGTCATACAGTATATACGACATTTGTATATCATATATTTATGTAAACTTTTATATCAGATGACGATCTTTTATATTTCCTAATTTTTTTCTGCCGTGTAAAATTATTAATATAAGTCAAAACTCCTTCTATCTACTAACTCGGTATAATCGATGCCTGATTTAGTGTAATTAGAAAGAAACTTTTTTAAGGTTTAACTACGACTACATATAAAATATCATTTTCTGAACGACATTGAGAAGCAGAAAATTTCCTGATCAAGATATTGTTCTCTTCAAATTAGGATATACTAGTAATTTATTTGTAAAAGATATTATGCATGTGTATACGCATATTTTGCATATTCAAGAAATGCTTCACTTAAAGTACTAAGCAGAAATATCTCACGATTTATTTTAATGATATTATTATGTGAAAGAGTCAATCAACAGTACGTATTATACTAGTTGAATGATCTTCTATGATTGTAATAATTATTTAAATTAAGTAATATAATTATTACCGACCTTTAAGTTTCTAATCTGGCGGCTGGAATTAGTGCCTGAGATAAATCCTTCTTTAGCGACTACTTCAACTTTTGCTCGATAGAGTTCACTTAATAATCTCTCCGTACTCTAAAAGTTGTAGCAAGGAATTATTTACTAGTAGTACATAAAATTAGCAATTGGCTCAGAACGTAAAGCTGTGACTTGCTTTTAATAACGCGAATTTTTCTTACCAAAGATAAGTTGCACTAAATTATTTAAGATTAAAATATCAATAAACAGAATGTGACTTACTGCATCGTATAGATCGCTTCTTCTGGTCAGTGTAGCTACCCGTGTCCAATTAAAATGCTTAACTAATGCTACCTGAGGTATGTTCCAAGCATTAACGGAAAAGCATGTTCGGAACAAGAATGGATATTCACTTTTATCGGACAGCAGAGCACTCTCGGAAGAGAATGTTGTCTAACATGAACAAAATGGAAGATAGTAATTTGGTCATAACTTAATGACTGACCAAAATAAATTAGTTAATAGTTTATCGTCAAGTAAATTAATAAATCTCATCAGCTAGGGCAAAAAATTCGAACCTCTTTTAATTGCTATGATATAATTGTGCTAAATCAGGAATCTACAAGTTATACGCATACACGTCTATTTACTTTAATTGAACGATCTTTTATTGCACTAGAATTGTTACCAGCCCTTAAAACTTGTTAGTAAATTTCATAAATCGAAAATTTTTGTCGCTGCTGGTAAGTTATGATTAGAATTATATGAATAGACTTTCTGAACAAAAGCTTTCATTTTAAATTCTTAGCAATCAAATGCCCTAGTCAATCTAGGTCGTATTCGGCAATCATAGAATAATTTTTATAAGATTTTTTGCTGATAAACATGGAAGATTATTTTAAAAATTATTTAACATTAGTACTGCTTATATATGGTATCCTCGCATGCACGCATAGACGTCAGTGATGAAATAAGTATATATCAGTTATTGTAAATTAATCCGAAAAGCTTGTCTTGAAAACGAATACGGATATTTTTTGGTAAAGGTTGTATTGCAAATGCTTCCATAAACTACGGATGAAATGTTTCGCGATTGACATTACTTTACATTACGGTACTTGAAAAGGAAAGTTCAAACAAGTAGGGCATTTGGCAATCTTTGATTAAAATTACAGCATCACATGATGCTGTAAATTGTGGAGAAATGGCTTCATGATAGAGCGGAAGCTACTAGTCATTTACTGTAATATGTCACCTGTCATTCTTCAACGCCGCGAATTTTGCAATTAGTAAATCAAAAATTTACGGTAGATAATCAGATATGACTGATTCTCTGATGTCTAGAACAAAGCATTCTAAATTTTACGGCATATTCAAAATGATAAAAGATACGTTAACCCTAGCTTTAATTCTTTAATATTACTACTTTCAGAAAGTACGATATCAAAAATGAAAGGCGATATTAGCGTATTGTAACTGATTTAAGCTTAATGGTGGATACAGCCTTCGGCTATTGGCAATTAGAGTATTAAATTGCGTGTATACTTGCAAATCATGTTTATCGAAAGAGCCATAGCAACTTAATTATTCAAGCTAAATATAATCACAATCGTGGACTGCATATAAAATATGATACCCGTATGTTCATTTGAGATATTTACTGTGTATCTTTAACAATAGGAATCAGCCTCTTTTTACCTTTTATAATAAAGTATTGACCTTTACGCACTATACTATTCCATTCATATAATCTATAACAGTTAAGTGAACCGATAGATCCAGCCTATCTCCAGAAGCTTAATTTTTAAAATAACTGTATAAATTTTGATATATTTAGGCTATTTTAACTTGATAAAATCGTAGTTATACGGAAAAAGTTCTTTGAGTACGGTTTAAGATGCATAGAATTTTGAGATTTAAACTATTTCTAACGGAAAGAATAAGTTACTAAATTGAAAGAATTTGACATTAATTTATTTTTACCTAAACTCTTAAGATCAGTACCGACCAAGACATATAATATTAGAATTCTGATTTATATTCACGATTTATGGACACGTTCTCTAACCGTAATAGTTCTAGCTAACCGAATTAGCATACTATATCCCAATGTTAATACTTAATCTATCTTGAGATGATGTCAAAGTATAACAAATATTATTATGAAGAGATAACGTTGGCATTTTAAAAATTGTGGAAAATTATACCAATACAATTTAATGAATCTAATATCGTTAATTACTCGTACAATACTTAATATTTAGTAATGATCGATTATCCTATGCGCATTTATACTCCATTTTTGTATTAGATTTAATTTGTTACAAATTACCGTGTATACCAAAAATGAATAAAGTAAAACTGATCTCGGTTCATAATAATTTTGTAAGTAAAACTGCAGCCAGATCCACTTAATTTTAGTATATTGCACTTCCGCACATTACTAATCTTGTGAGTTGATATAATAAATAACTTTTCTAGTTAAAAATTAATAGGCTGTTACTATGCGATCTTAGGTGTTGGTTGAATAGTATATGTTTATACAATATTATTGCTTAAAATTTAATTTCTACTTGGGGGTGTAATATAGGAAGTATTAAGCCAATTTAAAAATTGCAGATTGCTTAAATAGTTTATATACCAAGATAATAGACGAAATTTCTTGAAAGCATCGTAATTACAATTCCTCATTACAATTGTAAAAAGAAATTATTGGTAAAAATGGCCGAGCCTAGAAATGGTCCTCAAAATGTTAACTATTAATCTACTGAGAAGATGCTTTGAAAGTTAACGTATTTTTTTTAGCGTTTTCCGGCGGTCTTTTAAAGTATAATAAATATTAGAAACACTAAATGATTTAAGCATACGAGACTCGCAATGCGTAAATATTTTCATCTGCGCTGCCAATGAAATGGTTCTGAAGAGAAATGGAGCGCATATTTTTTCAACTGTTAGGAATTGCGTTTTTAGAAGACTTGCTAGGATTGTTTGACGAAATAATACGAAATTAATGTCAATTAAAAGGTTGCCTTGTCAGTAAAAAATTGATAGCAATAATAATAACTCAAATCTGAATTTATTCATATATTTATAATGCAAAAATTTATTATAGAATATTAAAATTGGAAACTGAGTAGTACATTACAAATTGAATAAAACTAAGGTTTTTCCACTCCATCACAACGATTGTCAAAGGACTTTAAGATTAGACTACTTATTTTATTATAAAGATAGTATTGCTATAGTTTGACAAAAATTATAGATATTGATAAATGATGCTTTATGCACACCAGTTATTACTGATATGCAATACAATAATATCGGAAGATAACAGTCTTAAGATATAAATAGTGTATTACGTCTCGTAAAGATATTTTATATATGTAACAAAAACTAACCTGAATTAAGTTATAATATTTCGCTACTCCAGCTATTGCAGACGTAACACGAGAAAAACCAGAGCCTAGAAGCATTATTTTCTTTGGCGGCAGGTGGATAAAATCGAATAAGACTTTAACACCTAAAGTAGCCGATGCCTTTATAAAGGAAATAGACTATGAATATCATCATATTGACTTTTGAAGACGATTTAGCCTTTCGTGAAACTAAAAGGGATTAATGGTATGCTCCTTATAAATTAAATTGTGGTACGTTTAAGAACAAGAGCTGTAAATACGTGTACATGACAATGGTAATGTGCATATATTCAATCCTATGATATTATAAAAGAATTGATAATCCTAGCGGCAAAAAATTTTTTGGAACAAATTTTCTCAGATTACTTTTAATATTTAGAATCAAGTAGTGATAACGATATAGACCTTAGAAAGTACAGCAGTAGGATCATTTTTAATCTAGTTTATTTTAGTTATTCTTACCTTGGTGTTTCCAACAATTAAATTAAGCCTATAGTTAGGTAATATATCATCTCTAGAGTTAATATCATCGATTGCCATTTGAGACGCTGGTACTAAGCCACTACCATTCCAACCGACATTATCGATTGGGAAAAATCCACCAATATACAGGTCAATTTTATCACTTTCGCAGAAGCTTTCAATACTTATATAAAATAACAGAAATATAATAATTTTAAGCTTCATAATGCAATATGTTATTTAGAAATTTTCTGGAACGTAGGTATATGGGTAGGAGTTTAGCTGATGAAAAATAAAATAAAGGCGCTGTAGTTACATAGAAGGCAGAACACATCTACTATTTTAGACTAATTTGGTATGGCACCTATACTCCTTTGAAGAATTTGATCGGAAAAGATATTCAATATCAATTAAAATTAAACGGTAGAGTAAAAATTATAAAGAATTCTATCTGATCAGAGCACCGATGTTGCCAATTATATCTACACAATAACCAATAAAATAATGACGAAAATGGATGTCTTTATGGAACAATATAAATAATAAAGGACTTTATTTACAAATATACTAAATCTATCGACTTCCATCCACTAATAGTTCATTCTAAAAACATAAAAGAGAAGAATATCAGTAGTCATGCTTTATTTCATAGTAAACAATAACAGTAACATTAATCTACGGATCTGCGTAAATATTTTACAAGTATAATGTACTTTTGACTCCTGCCATTAAGATCAATGACAGCTTTTTCCCTATATTAGTCCTTTATTTGAGCCTGAAACAATTTTAAAAAGATGAATGTAATTATAAGGATGAATCTTACATCATCCTTGGTGCAATTTCGTAGTCTTGCCATTATTTATTCATGAAATTATCCGAATAAATGGTTGAAAATAGACTCGGCTAGTTAATATACAGATTATCCTAAGGTTATCTCAAGGTTTTATGTCTTCTTTCGATTTAATAGACGCCCAGATCAGTTTTGATTGCGATACTCTTCATTCTCATTTTTCAATTTTAAGATATTTATTTGTTGTTATAGTATTTTACTATTTTAAAAATTTAATAAGTAGAAATGATGTAATTGGCAATGTTTTCTCTCTCAATTTTAACGTATTAATGCTACAAATTCTGTTATCTTCTGGAAAGTTAATCCATCTAAATTTAATTTTAGTCTGCGGTATAATTTTCTTATCATTATTTTTTCATTACCTTGAATTAAATGCAATGTAACCCCAGTTTAGGGTTACTGCAAGATAATGGGAGTTAAATCTTTGTTCAAACGTCTTGATTAAACTTATGTTGCTATCTGCTAACGCAATTATATCAACAATAAAGTGTCTGACAAGACTTGCAAAGAATAATGAAAGCAATATTCCTTTGTGATCATTGCGTGAATTCACAATTAATGGCAGCTATTAATTTACTTTTTTTAATTCTATTTTATGTTTTCGTAAAAAGAATATATTTATGTAATATTGTATCTAGAAATAATATAACATGAGTCCGATTTCTTGTTAGCTTTACTTTGTTACGTAAATCAGTTCTTAACTAAAGAATATCTGTATCTAAGTAATAACAATAAGTCCTACGGTTTATATGCTATAGGTTGCCTATTTATTTATACTTCTTGAAATGCCTGTATTTATCTTGCCATCTCGGTCTCTCTCACTGTGCTAACATAGTTCAATCTGTAAATGATTCATTATATAATTATTAAAAACATTGTGAATAAAAATGCTACGATCGATGATTGTAGATGTCTTCTACGAACAGATACTTGCATAACCTTACAATCTAACCTACAGTATAACCATAATTCTATTTTAGAATTGTTGTATAAACAGTAAATAAAGATTTGTTTAGTCCTATTGCTAAAGATATTAAAAATAATTTCTAACAGGAGCAACTCTGTTCTAGTTCGATTGCTTTCATGGTTATTGATATATTAGTAGGATTATATAACCTATCATATATAAACGAACTAGATTTTAATAGCACAATAACAGAAAAACTCGGTACATTCTTCTTCTAAATTATGATCGTACTTTAATAAACTAACTATATGGATAGATATATGAAAACTGATCAGGAAAGAAAAATTTGCTTATCGCGCTATAATACAGTTTGGTTCAGTAATTTAACACCGTAACCTATAAGAGTCTTTCGAAATTCAATTATGATCCAAGTTCGTGAATCAGATGAAAGTATTTCATGTCTTTGAAAATTTTTCCCTCCATGATCTGTTGTTTCGCCAGTGTCTTGCCAATATCTTGATTTGGAATGATACAGTTAGTCTCTTTTACTAAATTACAGCATATCAGTTAAACTTTGGCGTTGATAGATTTAAAATTATGACTACTTATTATACTAGTATGTGCCATTTGTATCATTATCGATTCGAAAATACTCACGCACTCATAGTACGAAGACCATTCAAGATTAACTTTACACTACAATAGATACTTGTAGAAGAATTATAAAAATCAGAAACGAGTCTTATATAAAAAAGATTTATATTTAGAGAAATCTTATAGAAAATTAGAGATATTACTTCTAAATAGGCTCTTTATACAATATAGCAATTCCTCACATCTCTAATTCTCATTGCATACTCATATAGCAAATAAATTTTCTAACATTGCCAGCTTATATTTTTCTCCAGGATCTATAACTCCTATTTGCATGACAACAATCTGCTTATTTTTTACGAATATAAAATCTACCATCGGCAAGGGAGTGATACAGATTATTTTTGACTAATAAATGAATTAATCATCTATTCTTATTACTAGCATCAACAGTAAATCAGCATCATGTTACATATCGTGATCTCTATTTCAGCAGAGTATCTTTACTTACCAGTGTTTATAGCTTGTAAAAATAGTATAATAAACATAGCTAATAATTAACAATCCAATACTTAGTTTATTGCGATACAGCATCTGTTTATTAAAATATCATTAACATCGCTATGGAATGCATGTATTTCAAGACATGTCCCGTAATTTTTGCGTATAGGGCCAGATTTTAGAATAACTTATTTATTATAAACGAGAAATTATCATAAACTGCGATGTGAAACACGGCTTTTCAATAAAGAAAGTATTTGTTGTGTGCATTAATGTGTATGGTATAATTTTAGTACGACAACTCTACTATTCCACACCATAACCTCGTATTATATGCCTTACTTTTATATTTAAATAAGTTTATGAGATGATTTTCCTATAGGAAGACGGTTGATAATCTCGAATTATTATTCAAGAGTGATATAAGTAAAGTCGGAATATGTTTTTAGATAATATTTCTAGGTTCATTTCTACCATGTAGGTGAACGATTTCGTTGCTATTGGCTTAACCCTGACCGTAATATAGCTACGAGAACGCTACTGTTTATTTATATTTTCCATATGGTAATTTATAACATTTTTATAGATCTTTTAATTTACATCCTCCTTACATGATGTTTTCACAACGTGTCCTTAGAAACATAATACGATATTGACAAATTAAAATTGCTAGATTTTAATTTATCGAACCACATGTATCCGGCCGGTAAAATTCATAGTTATATCACCCTAATATTTTCAAAAACAATTTACTACAGGTTTTGGATAAATATTGCAACGTAGAGGGGTAAGAGAAACAATGTGCTGTATAGTAAAAAGTTAGCCGATTTGATGTATTGAGGTAATATAACAAAATTTTTTCTCGTATGTCAATAGTTCTTTACTATACAGTAAAACAGTTACTGGAAATATTTATACCATCAAACTTACTCACGCAAAATAGCTATAATTTCTGTAGAGAACAATACTCATCTTTATTGTCAGCTGCCTTGGTTGGCAGTTCGAAAAGTTTCCTTAATTTTTTTGGCGTCATTTTACCTAGTTGATTGAATTATTCCGGCGTCGCTACAAAATAGTCTTCTAGTTCACATCATTTATCATTAAAATCTATCAGTTAAGTTATGTTAATAAAAGCATACCGCACACATCACAGTGTGATCATGACGAATATATATTCACTACACGATAATTGTATTGCTACGCTATCATTAGCTTTAAGAATATACATTATTCTATAGTTATAATCAGCAAATAACTTATTCTCTTTATAAATATGTATTAATATTCCGTAGTAGCAGAGACCAAATGCTTTTATTGATTCATATAGCCACTTGCATCGAAAAATCAATTTCCAATCCTGCATCAAATGCACTATGCGGTGCATTGCGTGGCCATATTATCCATTAAACGTATTGATACAACTTATTGAAATTGATCGTAATCAATGAAGCTACAGATTTCCATCATAATTCACGAAATTGTAGCACCAATGATTTTCACTATCAAAATATACAGACTCTTACTGAATATCGGACTCTTATCTGATTCAGTGTGTGACTACTAAACTGGATAGAGCATGTAGCAAGTATATCAGTGTTTAACCTGGACTATGAAGTAGTGCGCTAATTATGAACTAATCGGTGTAATTACCGCAAGATCGTAACGATTATGGAAATAAGACTGCAGACACTTTATTCTGTGTGAAGATAAATAAAAATACTGTACATAATATTATAGAAATGATCATTAACTCAATATCGTATCAAGAAAAATTCACAAAGCCAAAAGCCAACGCTAGCACTATTTATCGCTAAAATGTAAACAAAATTACCAAAACAACCCTAATTTTCTAAGTTTCTTATTGAAAACTGTTTTGGGGCAATAGTATTAGACATGCATTTACATTTACCTTATCAAATATTCAAAAACTAATAATAGTTTCTAAGAAGTTTGGCGATAATAACCCATATTACCATAAGCAAATAGACTTTCTAAGTTTCTGGAGGCCCTATACTACAACGTGTCTGTGGTAAACCTACTAAATTACATTTAATTCCCAAATTATAAAGTTATACTTAGTGATACTAACAGTTTAGGGCTATTAAGATGTAGCCGGTATTTATATTTTATTTAATTCTGTGATACTGAGTACTCTGCTATATTTCATTTGTGGCCTATAAAATAGTATTTTGCAACCGGTTACTTACCAACAATTTTATATCATATCCTCACTTTTATTCGGAGAAAGCAAATACGCAGCTTATATTATAATATTTGAAGTGCTAAATCTATTCAACTATTTTTGGTCGTAATGTAGATAAAACTACTAGTCCTTAGTTTGCCTCTTTTCATTCTTTACAGGGTTTAGAATACTCATATTATCTTATTTGCAAACAGTACTTGTTTAGTTTATAGTGGTGTGGCCATATTAAGCAAGTTTAGATTTAAATTTAACCATTGCATGATTAGTCTCTGCTCAAAAAGAAGATGTATAAAAAAATTCCATTTAAAAGTAGACAATAGCGCCTGTATTAATTTCATTTCACTGATTCTCATCAATTCTTATCAAATACCAAATCCATAATTTCTATCTCATGCATGTATCGATGACTGATGAGTGCCACTTAAGGGCATTCGCAAAATATACTTAGCATTTAAGGTGTAATATACAGCAAATATATATACTTATGTATTTATATAAAATTTCTTTAAATGAGCAGATATATGTTTGCGAGTAGGGTGTTTTCACTTTACTTATAAGAATCCGATGCAGTTTATTCCACAATGTACTGCATCTAGCCAGCGTTTAGATATTATATATATTTCGCAATTACAGCAGGAATTTTGGCAACCATTTTGTAGTAGACTGGTTTATTTCTGAACGATATCTGACTTACTGGATCCCATACTTATCAATGTAGTCTTATTACGAATACGTAGAGGCGATCTTTTATTTCGACTTACTGATACTAGTTGGCTAGTAATAGTTAGAGCGTCGCTTTTGTTAAGCTTGACCTGAAACAAAATGTATTTATATCTTATCAGTTGCCATCAAATATCTTTCTTGAATTAAAAACTAATGCCGATGTAACATAGTATATGATACCATCTTCGAATAGTTCGAAATATCAGTAGCGAAACTGTTATAAAATTACCTTCGGAACAAAGAAGATGCAAAGAGTAGTAGTAGTACAGTATAAAATCAAACCGCTTGAAGCAATATATGTTTCTCCAAATGTATTAGGTAGAAAAAATGAGATTGGGATGACAATAGTACATAATAATGCCACGTTATAAATGCATAAAGCGATTTGTTTGGATTCATTCATAACTGATAATTTTATATTTCTCGCTTCATATGCTAAGAACGCACCAAAAATTAGTACAAATACATTAAGTGTTAAAATAGTCGCGAGCCAAATGATGTTATGTAGACAATTGCATTCCAATAACTGCGGAATGACCACCAATGATTGCTGATTAGACGAGACCTGTTTATGGAAATGATTGAGAGAATCTTAATTTACTGCAAGATATATATTAGGAGGTAAAAAGATATTGTTATAGTGGTATCATTAATAGCCGGATTATTCCGGAATAGAGTGCTTATGTTAGTGAAACATTGGTTTCTTTCGTTTAATAGGTTTATACATTGTATGAAGATAATTAATTTCGATTCATATTGATGCAATAACCGACTTTCTTTTAAAAAGTTGGCATATATGCTTAAAGGTGATGATTAAAATTCATAGTAATGCGATAAGAAGAATCTAAAATGGCTTGCAATCATTCTTATCGAAGATACCGTGCGAAAATCATTCTAATATTCCTCATTAGCAAAGGTAGATAAGATAAAAAGCGATATCAAGAATCAGGTTATTAAAAAGTTCAAACCTCTCTTGGTAATAATTTATATATTGGTTTCATTGGATCAATAAATGTCCAGGTAGTGAGTATTACGGTTTCAGCAAGGATTAAGGCGGCCACAATTTCATACAAGTGATAATCGTGTATTGGCTGATTAATATCGATTTAATTGGAAAAAAAGGAGGAAAAAATTTAAAGGATCGGCTATGTTAAAGTATAATACGCTATCTTTAATACAAATATGGCTATAGAATATCGTAATTATAATGTAGTATTAATTTAACGTAATCCTTATAACATTATTAATGATAAATTCGTATCTATCAGATGATTCATAAGCGATAAAATATTGTTTTAAAATGATACTCACAGAAATTCGTTTCTTAGTAGTTAAGATCTTATAAGCCCGGTACGTTTTAGCAAACATTGATCCTGATACTGTTGCAAATCCTAGTGTTGTCAACCACGGAGCCAACTTTTAATCAAAATCAACCATACGTTAAACATGTTAATATTAAATCAGCTAATATACAGCATATGATTGAAGCAATGAGACAGATAGAGGTCTTCTCTATCTTGAGACTTATAGTCAAATATAATTTACTATGTAGGTATACAGTAAATCAATTCTTGTACTCAAAATCTTCATCTTAAAATATAAAACTAAGTAATCAATTTCCCTTACGCATCCCCCAAAAAATATGCTACGTACATGTATCATACGATGGCTGAAAGATCCCTTACCATGCAAAAGACAGGAGATACAATGATGCTAATTGCTCCTCTGGCAATAATTGACAAGTACAAGCTTACACATCCAACTATAATTAAGTTGTTTAGATTTGGACTAGACATTTTAATAACCCTAAGGAGAAAATAATAAAATTTTTTACTAGCAGTGTTAGTTATAGCATAATAATGCCTAAAATAACGATTCGATTAGAAAATGCTATTGAAATTTTAATCAATATGCTAATTTGAGTAGCATACATTCAGGCATATACTATGGCTCGAGTGATACTGTTGAATAGGTAGGCATACGTGTTCCGATAGAAAATAAAACAATTTACCTATTGGTAATATACAACTATTGTATGTGTTTGAGATCGTTTAGTAAACAAATAAATTAAGTATGACTATGACTTAAATTTAACTAAATCTAACAGTAACTGCTAAATATTTGTTGCATTCGCTTCAATATTAAAGAAATTTTTCGCATTCAGTTAATACAGTTTCATAATCTACCAAATTCCTTCATAAATGAATTATTATGAAAATTAATTAAAATTTATCTGAGAAAAGGTTATTAAGCCGGAACAGAGATTTGTTTGAACCGATACTACTAAGATGGAATTAATAGCTTATAGTATCTCCTAATTAGATATTAATCAGAATGTTGAATATTCAATATAATATTACCTTTCGTTTCTGTACTTGTTATTATAAATCAGGAAAGCAATCGCTAAAAGTATAGCCATGCAAGATAAGACAACCATAATGATAAATACATTAATAGGAACTTTACGCTCAACATAGACAAGCTTGATTTGGCTTGCTGGAGGTCCTTTGCCTGATCAGAGAAAGAACAACACTATAATTATAACATAAATCATTCGGATAACAGTATTACCATGTAGTTACCGTACTATTTAGAGAAGCAATGCAATATACGATTATATTATATTATATAGGGTGTAAAATCGCCAGTGTTAATAAACTCTTTTAACCTGCCCATCTGATAACATTTGGAGAGGCTGCATAGAAATCGATTAGCCCTTCTTTAGCTATTATCGTAGCCACCGCTCTTTTAACTTCACCTGCATATGATTATGGGTGCAAATACATACAAGAATATTAATGATTACTTTATGAAATTGTTAATATGTGACTGTTATGGAGTAATGTCCGAGATACTGTATTGATTTTATTTACCATTAGCTACTAATGGACCTTAGCCTAATAAAATTAATTTACCATTTCTACTGGAACTACTTTATACTTGTGTGGTTGTATCTTATATTAGATCTTTATCAGTAAAGGGAATTATAAGTATTCTAGTAGACTAGTATCGCTCACAAAGCTATGAAAGAAAAGTTTGTAAAAGAAATTGTGACAGTGACTTATTATTTATAGAACTTTCTCTGAGTCATATATTACATCAGCTTTTCTAACCTTGATGTTGAACTAAGTAGGTGGTATGTGGGAGTACATCACCGTATTTGTTGAATTCGATTATATTCTATGGAAACAATGTTAGATCGAAGATGAAAGTTAAATATGGAACTAAGATAGTAAGTATTACAGTACAAAATTATAACATTAATATTAATGTCATTTCGACCAATTTTCCTTCTGTTAATCCCCGAGCTGATCTAAGTATTTAATCAGAGTTTCTTATATTATAAAAGTAACTCTTAGACATCTATCTTATTAGCTAGTGGTACGGTAAGCTTGTACGCTTTACCCATCCTATTTTACGTTATCTGCTTGACTAGTCCTCGTCCTGTATATATGCTGTAATCGTATGCGGTTTTTCCTCTAACGCCAGCTGAAATTAAACTCTTATTTCTCTAGTTGATCTCTGTAATTTCTTGCGATTATGACGAACGCAAATCTTTCGAAAGTATCACATGTATAATATTTAATAATTGATTTTTCAACGTATTTCTATCATAAGGGCAAGTTTCAATACTTGAAAATTAAACAGTCATTTGTAAAGCTAGAAATTTATAATAAACTACTATTGTCGTCTTAAGATATTGATATTCGTCTATACATTTAACACTTTTCGCTAAATAATCTTAATATTGCTCATATAAAGACTTACACTTATCCCAGAAAAATTGACTCGATACATTTCCTCTTTAAAAATTCCTGCCATTTCACTATCGCTGTACCGAAAATCGTCCAAACTTCGATTAAGTTTTGTTATTCGACTAAGAGAACTGTTTAAAGCTAAAGCTTCTGCCCAAACAGCATCGTATGTAAAACCAGCGTAACTATTAGGCCAATAAGTATGATTGACAATTGATGGCCAGTTATGATATCTAATATCAAATGATTGTGGTGTCTATGTATATGTAAAAAATATAACATAGACATATATCATATTTAATCTGAGCTAGATCAGATATACGAGTACGATAAGGATAATACAGTATAGAAAAATAAAGCATCGAACCATGCCAGATATGGTAGTTTCATCAGCAGTATTAATCGTAGCAAAATCGATTGAGAGAGAATAATTGGCGGCTATGGCAATTTCTTGTGGTGTACAATTAACGTGTTTTACGTTAACGGCTTTATCCCAGAACGTAGAAGACAGAAAGCCAGGTACAATCCAGACATAATCAGCTCCATACATTCCATGCTTGTAAGCCTGAAGGTATATTACAATGTATTATGTTACAGTATTGAATACTTACAATTTTATATGACAGGATCTTGATATGATTTGAATCTGTTTATATTTATTTAAAAGTTATTCTTTTAAGTGAATAATTGCGACTGAATTCTATGATTCAAAATTTCTTGAACTAAGTAACGGTATTGTAATTTATGCAGACGTAGCTCATTATTGATGTTTTGCTTAATAATGCTATGATCATAATTTTATTTGATTTCAAATTATAATATAGCAAATACTCTTACATGTTTGATAGTGACTATTGATTATTAAATTTAGGATTAGTGTGATAAGTAAAGAGCAGATGTTATAAATTCTCTGCTGAAAAGTTATTCTTGGCTTGCAGTGTCGCAAAATTTCATTATTCAATTATCATAAGGAATTCTAAATGGGATACTAATACTATTCTAATGTAATAGCCTTCGTATGGCTCCTCTTATTTTGATTTAAAAAAAATAAGACTTTGCTGCTACTTTATGCGTGCTACGAAACTATACCAAAGGCTATGAAAATTATTACTAAGGAATTTACCTCAGAAAAGATAATGTGCTCTGGCAGGTGATATCTATCCGATACAGATACCACTATTAGAAGTTCGCTCAATCGTTATACTAACCTGGCAAAATATTTCCAGTGCATCTTCTTCTTGAAAGTGTCCAATGATAATTCTCGCTTCTTTTTCCTACAAATGTTATCCAATTTCGTAATTAGCAGTCTACATTTACATTTACTGTATTACTACAGTCATTCTTTAGGGATATGCTCTCATAAAATGCAGAGATTTTAAGTGTCATTTTTACGATCATAAATATTTTAACTATAAAATTATGAGTTAATAAATCAACTAATTATAAATTCAGGCTATATTAGATGGTAAAGTGATAAAATCCACGAAAATAACGTTTAAATTTGATGAACTTAAAAAAAATGGAAGCATTTATACGGAATTAAAATGAAGATTTAGGCTCAAAAACATCTTATCTAAATACCTTGAGATTTCCAATTTGGCGGTTAACATTAGTTCCTGCGATAAACCCTTCAGCTGCAATGACTTTAATCTTCTCGTGATGTAAGTCATTTAGTAGCCTTTCAATGCTCTAATATCAAAAGTCCCGTTTTTAGTGAATGCTCAATAATTTACGGAATGTTGGATTGAGCTTGTCAGACTAGGTTACGTTTAAAGGTTTAGGTAAAAATTACCTTATTGATGCAAACTGAGATTTAGCAAGAATATGTAATGAACTTAATTATTAGAAACACGCAACTAAGCGTGTACAGGAGTAACTGGTATTATAGCTGAAATAAATGATCCAATGAGTGTTATTTGGATAGCAAAAATGAATCAGGCTTACATAATTTAGCGGTCTTTGTTCGTATTTTATCAACTAATGTTGTTTATTAACTTACTGCATCGTAAACTTCGCTTCTTCTCGCAATAGTAGCTACTTTAGTCCAATTGAAATGTTTAACTAATACGACTTGCGGTAAGCTCCAAGCACTATTAGAAAAACAAGTCCGGAAAAGGTATGGATACTTTTGTTTGTCCGATAACAAGATACTCTCTGAAGAAAACGTTGTCTGAAATATTCAATAATCGTAAATAAATGAGGTGCGATAACTGAATGATTTATCAATAAATACTTTACCATTGTAATCAAATTTTGAGACGAATTTTATAAATTCAATGTAGATATTTAAGTTTCTCTGTAGTTTTAAGATGTTATTATAATGGATATAGCCCATTATCATCCGTATAGGTTCCGGATTATTCATTTGGTAATGACATATGAAATTGATACAAATGATGATTTTATCATCATATATATTGTCCAAACCCGTATTATATCACTTATACAGCCACGGGCATCAATTAACTGCTAATACTGATTAAAGATTTCACTATCCCTTTTATTCCTACGAATATCGTATCAATATAGTGCAATAATTTAATTCTAGTGCTAGAACTGTTGTGTTGCCGTTATTATCATCTGATACAATGACACGTGTTATTCTAAATTGTGTAAAGTAGGCACGAATTTTCTTATAAATTTAATGACGTCACTTTGAATATTCTTTAATTCGGTTATGATATCTTAAATTAATATTTTTTTGGAGGATAAATGAATTAACGTAGAAGTTATTTCTATACTGATATTAATTCAGGAACAGTGTAATATAGTATATCTTATAATTTTCAAAGGTATAGGCAAAGTTCAGAAATTGCTGTAAATTGATGCATTGCACCTCTACCTTCTACGCTTCAATTACTAAGAGTTGATGAAACTCGTGCTTTAAATCTAGGGCAACTTTTAGGAGAATACTAATGAAATTAACAAAATAATTTCTTTTCGAGTTAACGAAACTATATCGTCCATATAGGTAGTTAGGTATCGTACCACTGCTGTCTATTTGCTAACTCGCTAATCCATATCTCCATCATAAGACAGTAAAATTAATGTTTTACATGGAATATTTCTTACGATAAATTGACGGTGCTTAATTCCTATCAGTAACGTAGCAAATAAAAGTTAGGCTAAAGATTAGCTAATTTAAGACTGAAGCTTCAGAAATGAATGTAATTCACTCGTGGCCTATTTCTCACGGAAAGACTAATAATAATAGACTACTGCAAATATTCACTTAGAGATGAGTTAGCTAGCTAAGCTATTTTTACATCACCTTTATAGTGTGAAAACTTCATTAAGAAAAAGTGTAGTTGATACTACAATTTCATTTGTAAAAAATACAGTACTTTGATGTGGTTGTAGTTTGTACTGGAAGTTACAGAAGATATTATTCGGTTAAAGTGCTAATATTTGAAATCACTTGTTCATTTGCTAAAAGTATCTGCATATAATTTTAGTCGAAAAATTTTCTCAGCCTACAGCGTTATCGAAAGAAAAATTGTGAAAACGGCTTTGGCAAGCGCAATAATTAATGCAATAATTCAACTTTTATGATACAAAAACTAAAAATTTCGCCTAGATTACACGTTAATTGATTTATAAATGCGAATAATGGCATATTGAGAGTCAAGAAATTGCAGAAAATATTCTGATTCTTGGCTAAGAAAATAACGAATACGAAAGGAAGCAAACTATCTAAATTTATAATATAATAGTGACAATCGACTCAAAATAACGTACAGGGGTTGGTATAATAACAAACTGAGTCTGGTTTTAAAATAATTGAATCTACACCCAAGAACAAAAGCATGATGATATTCTTCAATATTATAAGAATAACGATGTAATTTTAGTAGTAATTAAAAAATTTCTTATAAGCTAGGAATTATTATTATATGTCTCGGTATTTTTGTTCTTAATTAAAATTCATACAACCTGAATCAAGTTATAATATTTTGCAACTCCAGCCACAGCTGATGTCACTCGAGCAAATCCACAACCCAGCAGCATAATTTTTGTTGGAGGTAGATGTATGAAGTCGAATAAAACTTTAACACCCAAGTTAGTTAGTGCCTATGAAAAAAATATGATCAAATTTCCATTAATTGCATGAGTATAACGCATTTGTTTTATTCCTTTGAACAATTTTTATTATATGTATCGATTAATCAAGCGAATTAAAGAGATAAAACTGAAAGTAAACCTATTTTTTGCACTACATCAATCACTCTTATCTTAAAAGAAAATTTTTAAAAATTCCCTCATAGCATTAAAATGGACGACCGTGAAAAAAATATCTTCTTTCACAGGAGGACAAACTACGAATATCGCAAGATTTTTTACGTGATATAAATTTATATAATATATTGTAGTTTATAATATGTCAGTTCAATCAAATTTAGAATACTCGTAATGGTAAATACAATAATGAAAAGTACTAGATTTCTTACACTTGATACTAACGTTACATTATTTTGCTTATCGATGAAATTATATTTTAATGTTAATGCAATAAATTTAGCCATATCAATTAACCATTGTTGCTTACTTTCGTATTTCCAATAATTAGATTGAGTTGATAATTGGGTAAAATGTCTTCCCTAGCATTAATATCATCAAGAGCCATTTGAGTAGCCGGTATTAAACCACTTCCATTCCAGCCAACATTATCTATTGGGAAAAAACCGCCAATGTATAAATTTATTTTCTCGCTTTGTGATGATAGGTTTAAAAGGATGAAGATAAGAAAATATAAATTGTATCTGGTATTCATTTTTAGCGATGGATTACTTGATTCGAAATAAATTCTATGGGTATTTTGAAATAGTAAAGTAAAATGAAAAGCTATACTGATTGAAAATAATCGAAATACTTAAATTTTAGTGATTCGAATACAATCATTCGCTAATGTTTAGGCAATGCGCAATGTTAAAATACTAGAACTATAAGGATTATCATTAAGAGAAAGACAAGCTAATATAGTTAGTCAAAAATTTCCTGTTGTGATGAATTCGGTAATAGAAAGGATATTAGCCTGTAAATATTAATCGACAATGAAACAATAAAAAAAGTTATTCTTATTATATTTTATATTAATAGAGTTCAAATGGGTTTTAAAGGCATCTTTGAGCTATTTTTACTATTTACTATCAAGACTTATTTACTTAAAATTAGATAATATATATTCTTTATTTTATAAAAAATTCCATTTGATGATGTCAGTTATATCATAAAATAGGAGACAGTTTGCTTAATTAAGATTTCAAAACTATACAAAATTTTAGAATTTTAATTTACCAATCTGATAGAAATGAATAATTAATGTAATAATTTGCAATTACTTGAATTTACATTCTTGAAAGAGTTATTGACTTTATCTTAACTAGTATATGAAATCGTTCTCTTTTCTAATGTATTACAAGATGTGTACAGCTGATATTTATTGAAATTGAGATAGAAAATAGATTAATTCTTCAAATGAGAGAATATCTATTGCTGAATTATTCATAAATTATACCCATTCATGTCACATGTAGAATTTATACAATCGACTTTTAGACTTTATTTCCTGTCATATGAAGATGTTATGACAAAGATCAGAAAGAAAATATGCTATTATTATCATTAGGCGGAATAATTCGACATACCCAATCACGAAAGTGAAGTTTACGGTAGTTTCTGTAAATATAAGGCAATTATACTGTCACTGTTAATATAGGTCTAAATTTTTGTAATTCCATAGAGCAGAGTATCAATAAGGGAATAGGTTTAAAAAAATGATATTACTAGAGAAATCTTATTTTCTTATACAATTCGATTTATAAATTGTTTGCATCTACGTACAGTTTACTCCTTTTACAACAGTTTATTCATCACCTTTCATTAATCACGGTACTAACTGACTCTAAGTCAGCCGAAGATACAGCAGGATCTACAACTCAAATAGTTATTGATACCGCTCCGCCAGGTGTACTAGATAAATCCGCTGTTTCATTGATTTTTAGTATCTGCTATTTTAATGTCGTCCATATATTGCACATTTTGAATTACTGCAGCTTATTAGGTATATCAGGTGTAGTTATCATGTTGCATTAGGATTAGTAACTAAATATATCAGTGGTTATAAATTCCTTATTACGACTCTAAGTGATAAAATAGGAAGATTAGTGTCTCAAAATAATTTTTTACAGAGATTCTTATCTTTGCCAGATAATATAGTTTGCTTTTCATTGGTGATATTATCATTCGGAGTTTCACATATTTGTAAAGTAGACAGCATCTTTTGATACTCGCATAGATTAAACTATAAATTCAAAAATTTTACTGGAAAATAAAATCAACCGATTTGTTATATTGCTACATTACACGAATATTAGTTGTCAGTACTTGATAATATTCGAAGAATTCGTAGTTATCTGTCGAAAAAAGTAAAATTTTATGCATAAAATCAGTTTTAGTAATTCCTAAATGTTATCTAATAATAACTGTGCTAGGCCTACTACGCAAAAGTTACTCCAAAGCAGCACCATTAATCAAGGTATCAGTTAATGAACAACTGTAATTAGCTATTACGATGTTACCTGAGCATTTAAATAACTTTATCATCGTAGCTATTATAGTAAAGTCTGCAATTGTTGTACAAAATATGATATATAGATAAATGTCTTGTCGTAATTTTCATTTAGGGTGGCTGTTATATATTTGGTATTTATTGCTATTACGTGTAGAAAGTAATGAGATGCTTTAATCCTAAGTCAGGTTAGTTAATCTAGGCAATAGTCTTGCGGCAGTTACGTTTACGTATGAGCACCGTAATACATTAAAATATTTGCTAATAGAATAACTATATTAGGATATTATGGTTAAAGAAACGTACTGTAATAAAGGATAACTAGACTAAGGGTTGTTTACAAGTAACATACTTCTATAATAATGGGAATAATTCGAGTAACAGAAAGTGCTAATAAAAGTTCTATCTTCACTATTCTTAGTTATGCATATTACGTGAAGTAAAAGCTAGTTTAAGTCAATATGGGACCGGTACTTAAAAGATTTTTACTTTGTATTCACCAGTCACAGAAATTACAACATCACCATTTTTACTTTACAGCATCATTGCAAAATCATATTCTTAGCAAGGTATTCTGTATGAAACCATACAGCCACCATATAATCGAATTGGATGTATACTCAATTACTGTATACGAGAGATAATTGCATTTATCCTTTCCCCTTTCATAACTTCATTGTATTACTGCGTTTCTTAATTAAACTGCTATTGATCCGTGTTATTCCGACATGTATAAACTGAATGTACGCTTAATATGTCAGATATCGTTACAATTATCTCTTCTCCTTGCGTTAGTTTAGCTTTTTAGAATTCTCTTATTTAAATTCATGGTAACATGGTACTTACTGCTTTATACTTATAAAACACCATTTTGATGTTCAGTACATGGATTTGATATAGTACGGGAAAAAATTTTGTTAAAATATTTTGGCCTGAATGTATCTTAAATTCGAAAGATATCCTGACAAAATAAATATGTACATCAATAGTGGAAAATTATTCTTTTTGCCTTATCGCACTATAAATTGATGCTTATAGTTAGGTTAAAGACTTAATATACGTCTGTTTAAATTATAGAGTATCAAAGATTACGACTATTGTAATAAACCTACTTCGAATTTTCCCCACAAATGCAATCACAAAAGATTTGGAGTAGACTAATGTCTATTATGAGTTCTCGCTAAGAAAATTTTTACAACTGTGAATTGCAATTTCAACGACAAAACTGACTATGGTAATTTTCACAACTTATATGCCTAACTAGTTCATAATTTGACGATCATAAGCAAGAATTATTGAATACCACCAATTATTGCTTACTAAATTTAGTATAAGAATGAGTATCGACAGTTACTATATCTTCGTACAAAACTATAATCAATACAGCATGATTACAATTATACATAGATCAGTTAAATATTAAAAGTATAGATTGTATTACTGAGTATAGAATGCAAAGTGACCTAATGAACTGTTATCTGGCACAGTATGTCCTAATATTGCTGACCTTAATGTAGAATATACTTATTAATTTAGAATAATAATTAATATACTGTATGCTGTAATTCAGTAGCACGTTCAGAAGAGGGCATTAATGATTTATCTATTTACCATTTCGTTAAAGTTTACACCTTATTAAACGAAGTTTAGTAATCAAGTCTATATGATAGCTTTAACTATTTTAGCTATAGCTGTCCATTAAATTTTCATTTAATATCGGATATATGAAGTGATTTCCTAACTTACAGGCCATTTAATTGTCATAGAGTAGCGTACAGCTTAAGCAATGAAGTACATAAAAAAGATGTAGGCGTATCACCATGTGTTGTAATTTTGGATTAGCAAATATTATTTAAGTTTGGTTTACCTCATCTACGTGATAAAGGTAACTGTTCAGTTGCTGTTTAATTAAAATATGTAGCTAATACTGTAGCTCACAACTGGAGTTTCACACCGATTTTCTGAAGTCAATAATACTTTAACCCAAATCCTAACATAAAATTGAGTTAAAATTTGGTGATTATTAAAAGAGTTAAAAGAGTATTAGATTATATTACCATTGATTAATCAGTTAATTTAGGAAGGCGATGTTACCGTGCAAGTACGAAATCCAGTGATTTCGCGAATTGCCTAGTCAATTCGCGAAATGCCTAGTCAATTCGCGAAATGCCTAGTCAGTTCGCGAAATGCCTAGTCAATGCCCAGATATATTTCTTTGTTGATTGTAATACTCTTTATTCATACAGAAACATTATTATATAAACCAGAGATATATTTTTTGTTGATTATAATAATCTTTATTCATGCAGTAATATTACTAATTAGCCAGAGATATATTTCTTTGTTGATTATAATAATCTTTATTATTGCAATAACTTTACTACCTAAACCTGAGTCACATTTCTTTGTTGATTATAATAATCTTTATTCTTGCAGTAACTTTACCAAATAAACCTGAGATATTATTATCAGTTAAGTAGTTATTAAAGAATTTATTATGTTCTGATTATTATTATAATTATTTATTTTTACAGGTTCTCTGATGATGACATTTACTGTTGCACTTAACATTAGCCTTAAAGCATTTGCATCGGCTAGTAATGCAAGATGTATAGCAACCACAGAAATGAGATTTTTGGCCAGTGATAACAGATTCTAATTTGGCAGTTTCTCTAAGACTAATTTTAACATTACAATTTATATCATCTTTTGCTAAGAACGATTCCTTACATAGGGTAAGCTGGGTGGCATCATGTAACCTATTTATTAGGCCATGCCATGTTCCTAACTGGTAATAATTATCTTTTGATACAGAAAAAATACAGGCTTGCACGTTCCTTAATTGGCTTTTCTCTCTATCAGGTTCTGGCAATGGAATCAGCACGGTGTCACCAACTATGCCTGACTTTAGCCTTTTTACCGATTTCTGCAGCATTGTTTCTGCTTGTTGCTGCAATTTTCTCTTCGATTGCTGCCTCAAGTTACGTGTGTGCTCTTCTGATTCACATAGTCGACAGGTAACCAGACTACCAAACCCTTCTTCAATATCCGTAGAAGCACAACAGGGCGGTATTGCATGGCAATAGTTTTTGCAAATACGACACTTATGTGCTCTACTAGATGGTCTTTGGCAACTGACGCATAAATCAGCATTCGATTCTAAATCGTCGAAGGAAGATTCTTGGCTGCTTAGCTCATCTTCTGAATCTGGTATATTTTCAAACGGCTGTGATTCGATATTATCTTCATCTGTACCTTGTATGTAACCTATCTTGTCTAGCACACTTTTAGAAAATTTTCTGCCGTCAATATCGACCCTAGGCTTTTTACCAAACATTGCCTCGTAAGGTGACCTCCCAATCCCTAAATATGAAATTTCGATATATTTTTTGATTACATAAATGACGCACAATATTACGAAAACTATTTTATGTATAAATGGCTAACTCACCAGAATGAAACCTTGAATTTTTCTGCCACTGAATCAACGGTAAATGGCTAGCCTAATTTACAATACTATGTTCCCTCTTCCAACATGCAAGGATTACCTCTACATCTTGGTTGGCTCGCTCTACGGAGCCTTGCGACTGAGAATGTCGCGGCTTGCCATGTACTTGTTTACAATTTGGCCAAATTGTCAAGATTTCTGTTAAATACTAATATGTAAATACTTTTTAGAGAAGCATGACATTTCTAAGAATAGGTAGTATAAAATCGAGAAAACAGCATTTCGTAACAATATTTAGTATTAATGAATAACTTGTCATTCGAGCCTCTAATTGTTCTAAAGATTTTAAACTTGAATTGCAATACCTTATTCGAAAATTCACGACCATTATCGGTATGCAAGATGGTAGGAGCTCCTAGTAAACCAAAAATTTCGAATATTTCCCTACTCACTACCTCTTGCTACTTAGATTTTAAAGGACGTAACACACAAAACTTGGTGAGATGGTCCTGGTAATTCAAAATATATTTGTAGCCTCCATCAGGCTGGGCCTGCATGTCAATTATGTCCCCTCTGATGATATTCAGTAATGAATAATTTAACAGTAGTTTATACTTAGTAGTTACGAAAATTGTTTTGGCAATCTTTTCCTTTCAGTAACATTACTAATACAAAGAATATCTATTTTGTTGGACGTTATATTAGTTGATAAACATTATCAGGTGTGTACACCTATAACTGATCTTTTATCAAAAGCCAATTTCATCAATTCATTCATAAGGCTGAGCAGGACCAATTTTGTTATGTCTGACCTATAGAAAAATGAATAATACCCTACGGTAGCTATCAGAATCTATACTACGTCGATTTAATGTAATGAGCAATAATTGTCTATTGCTATCTTAGATTTAGGCGAACATCAAATATCCTATAATTACCTTAGGAATGAAGAAGATACAAATAGTAGTAGTTGTGCAATACAAAATCAAGCCACAAGAAGTGATGTAAGGTCCACCAGATGTATTAGGTAGAGAAAATGTGATCGGTATGACAATAATGCATAGTAATGCAACATTGTAAATACATATAGCGATTTGCTTGGACTCATTCATGATCAGCAATTTAATCTTCCTTGCTTCATATGCTATAAATGCGCCAAAAATTATCACAAATCCATTAAGAGCTAAAATAGTCACAAGCCAAATGGTGCCATGTTGGCAGTCACATTCCAGCAGCTGTGAAATCACTATTATAGAATCGTTGCTGAAAGAAACCTACCGAACAAAAATGATTCAAAAATTCTAAATTCACTGCAAGACGTTATGTAAGCAGTCAATATTTTATTTTGAAAATAAAATGATGCATATAAGTACTACTATTGCGGATATTATAATGATAATCGTTTGAGATTCAGATTAGTGGCTTTAAAAGAATCAAAATTGATCAATTCGTAACTATTCAAGTAAACAACATCGAGAAGAGATCATACTTCTTATTAGTCTAGGTAATAATATTAAGATAAAGACATCAAAACTTGCGATATTGAAATGATTCAATACTTCTCTCTTCAATATGTTATACTCCGGTTTCATTGGATCAACAGCTGTCCAGGTGGTGAGTATGGAAGTTTCTGCAAGGATTAATACGGTCACAATCCCGTATAGGTGGTAATCATGTATGGGCTGGTTCATAATTAGAAATTAGAAAAAGCAGCAGACTGAATTATAAAGTATCTTCTCTGTAACCTTAGTTATAGGCCATCATGAGTATAAAATTGTCCCATTCATTTCAGTATAATCTTTGTAAGTGATGAAAATATACCCATATGGCACGTTATGATGAGCAGTAAAATAGTACTTTAAATGATACTCACAGAAATTCGTTTCTTAGTAGTAAAGATCTTATAAGCCCGATACGTTTTAGCAAACATTGAGCCTGAGACTATTGCAAATCCAATTGTTGTGAGCCAAGGAGGTAACTGTTCACCAAAATTAACCATCCAATCATACAACAAGTAACTTAAATACTTTTAAAGATGTGCTATTTAACTGAAGTAATGAGACTAATAGTCGAGCTCTAATTTGTTATAGGATACAAAGAACTAAAATATAATGATTCAATCTGCACACTCTTTAAGTCTTCGTCCAATATATAAATTAGCTAATGGTTTTCCGATACAGGAAAGCCTGAGATGTATATTACGAGTTTTCATAGCTGAATGATTCGTGCTTACCATGCATAAGATAGGAGATTCAACAACACTAATTGTTCCACTTGCAATAACTGATAAATACAAGCTTATGCATCCAATCAGAATTAGGCTGTTTAGATTTGGGCTAGACATTTTAATAACCCTATAAAGAAAATAAAAATCTTACTACCGGTAACAATATGCGAATAATTAAGCTAGAGCTTGAGTATAGAAGTTCTGTAGGTTTTAATTATTGCCTAATTTAGGTAACATTTGTTTGTCCAAATTTTGTTCATTATCTGCAGCGATAGCATACCCGTAATAAACAAACTAAAATACTGATAATTTAAATAATACTACTCAGCAGCTAATAACTACTTCTGTATTGATTTTAAATAATTCAATTATTCAAGATTAAACCAACACATTTGAATTTTCTCTCACTAATCGCTATATGTTTAATAAATAATTGGTTTAAATGCCTGATTATTTAAATCAAAGAAAAGCCCTTTAGAGGCACGGCAGAAGTCTCATCTGAACCGACTTTTGCTAAGATACTATGCAAAATATAGCTAATCTGATGAATACGCTAGTACAGTACAAATATTTTAATCAAAAAATTGTGAATTACTAGCTTCTTTGTGATTTTGTATTAAACATCATAAAGTATGAAAAATGACCGATTTCGTAAATTTTTGTTAGCGTAAGTTATACATCGCACGATGAATAGAAGTACACGGAATGGTTTCACTTGGTTTGAAAGCTACTGTAGATAAACAATATCGATGCATGGCGCTTTCTGATGCAAAGTGATAGCACTTATAAAGACTACATCAGCAATTCCTATACTTATCAATAATATATCTAGATACTAAATAAATAAATTCCGCAGGTTTAATATACTGTGCCTTTGTACAGTACATCACGATACTTTTTATTTCTGTTTTTGTCATTGTAAATCAGAAAGGCTACTGCTATTAATATAGCAATGCAAGATAAGATAGTCATGATTATAAATATAGCCAAAGGGATTCTTAACAGACGGTAAACACGTTTGACCTGATCAACTGGAGGTCCATTACCTAATGAAAGTAGGAACGAAATTATTGTAGTGTATCCAAATCACTTAAGCTAATGTATTACATGATAGTTACAACCCTATGGCCCTAAAAATGGCTACCTTGTTATTTTCGAATATGAAATTATCATTCTTAATAAAAGTTTACGTCAAACCTGCCCATTTAATAACATTTGGAGGGATTGTATTGAAATCTATTAGATTCTCTTTAGCTATTATAGTAGCTACAAATCTCTTAGCATTGCCTATATAGTGATTATAATACACAAATACATCCAAAAATAATATTATAACTGCATTGGAACATTGTTAATACATTACTCACTACTTCATAACGACTTTTGAGATATACTGTATCTTACAACAACTTTTCTGACCTTGCTGTTGAACTAAATAGGTATTATGAGGATGTACATCACCGTATTTATCGAATTTGATCATGTTCTATGGAAGCAAGAGCAATCAGTTAATAAAATATAAAATTAAGCTATTAAATCATTAATCCATCACATATCCACAATTACTGCAATCAAATAGCAAGCGCTATCCTTAAGTATTTGGGTATTTTCAAATTCGATCAAGTTTTACTCTGAATCATGCATGCTAATGTAACCATTTATTTCGACAATATCCACTATATAGTTAGTAACAATTTTAGTAAAGTTATATCGTATATAATTTTTAGAGCGAGTAAATAATAAAAGGGCAGCGCCAAAATAACTCTGTAAAAATACGCTATTTGGCTCAAAGTTAATTTTCAAGGATTGCTAATTAAATATTAGAGATCGACTATCATTTGTAAAACTAGAAATTTATAATAAACTACTGTTGTCGTCTTAAGATATTGATATTCGTCTATACATTTAACACTTTTCGCTAAATAATCTTAATATTGCTCATATAAAGACTTACACTTATCCCAGAAAAATTGACTCGATACATTTCCTCTTTAAAAATTCCTGCCATTTCACTATCGCTGTACCGAAAATCGTCCAAACTTCGATTAAGTTTTGTTATTCGACTAAGAGAACTGTTTAAAGCTAAAGCTTCTGCCCAAACAGCATCGTATGTAAAACCAGCGTAACTATTAGGCCAATAAGTATGATTGACAATTGATGGCCAGTTATGATATCTAATATCAAATGATTGTGGTGTCTATGTATATGTAAAAAATATAACATAGACATATATCATATTTAATCTGAGCTAGATCAGATATAGGAGTACGATAAGGATAATACAGTATAGAAAAATAAAGCATCGAACCATGCCAGATATGGTAGTTTCATCAGCAGTATTAATCGTAGCAAAATCGATTGAGAGAGAATAATTGGCGGCTATGGCAATTTCTTGTGGTGTACAATTAACGTGTTTTACGTTAACGGCTTTATCCCAGAACGTAGAAGACAGAAAGCCAGGTACAATCCAGACATAATCAGCTCCATACATTCCATGCTTGTAAGCCTAGATATACCGTACGATACGATATTCTATGTTAAAATTATTGGGATATTTAAATTTAGGCCTTACAGTGTCTGACATTATTTAAACTGTTCATAAATTACGATATACATATTAGATGAACGTTTATGAGACCGCATTACATAATTTTGAGGTTCCTGAAATACCATAACTTATGCAAATGCTACTTATTATTACTAATATTCTATTTAGTGACATAATAATTAAGATCCTCTACGCGAATTCGATTTTATTCACAGATTAGCAATATTAACCATTACATATCTAATACCAACAGTTTTTCATTGCTTTCATTTTAAAGCTTGATTAATGTATTAAATATAAAGATTTTTCGCATTAGAACTCTATGTTACTGTATAGTACAATTTTTATTTGATACATCTAAAATAGATTCTTATTAATATTCCAATATGCACATATTATATGGTGATGAAGAACGAGCATCTCAGAAACAATACGACAAGACCCTTGATTTCTTTTTTTATTTCATTATATTATTAAATCAATCACAACCAGGGACTATGGTATCTAACTAACGATGAGTAAACACTTTTATATAACCTTAAGACCCAATCTATAAACATGAACTATCTTAGACTGCACCACTTGTGCGAAACTCTCATTTTAACAATTTACTATAATGTTGTATTACAAAGTTACGTCAAGTTTACAGAAATTTTATTTGTAAGATATTCTTGTCTAAAAAATACCTATTATATTACTAGCAGATAATATTTACGTTGCGTAGTACAGCATTGATACAAGAATTTCGAACATGTAATAGTTTTAAGCTAACCTGGCAAAATATTTCCAATGCGTCTTCTTCTTGGAAATGTCCAATTATGATTCGTACATCTTCTTCCTATTGATATTGTCATTGTAAGCTGCGAATTAGAATATTTGTCCACAAATACTTCATAGTTTTCATATAATATAATAATATTACAGTCTAACTTGAGGACATACTTTTACACCGTTAATGTACCAAGATTTAACCGTAATTTTTAAATGTTTCTTAAATCGTGAAATCGAGAGTTTGCGAATCGCCTAGTTGTGAATTTGTACGTTATCGAATGCGATAATTGCGAAAAATTTAAACGTGTTAACATATATAAAATTAGCACATATAAAATTAGCGTCCTTGAATGAGAGTGTGTACTCAAGAGTTAATACTGTTTCCAAGAAGAAGATTTAAAAAATCTGTCAACACCCGATTCTGCAACCACTTGTAATACATTGCATATGGTACGGTACCTTTAGATTTCCAATTTGTCGGTCGAAATTGGTTCCAGGAATAAATCCTTCAGTTGTGATGACTTGGATTTTAGCGTGATGTAAATCATTCAGTAGTCTTTCCATACTCTAATTCAAAAATATCAAAATCATTGTGTTTAATGTTTGATAAATAAAGTATTCTGTATATTCTATTAGATGAAATATATGACGTGATACTATATGTACATGAGCAAGATAAATGAATCAACTTTATACTTAATGTTATGATAGGTTCGTAATCTTTAATCTATTCATCAATATCATATCTTAACTTACCACATCGTAAATTTCACTTCTTCTCGCAATGATAGCTACTTTAGTCCAATTGTAGTATTTAAGTAACATGACTTGCGGTAAATTCCAAGCACCGTTAGAAAAGCAAGTTCTAAAAAGGTATGGAAAATTTTCTTTGTCTGATAGTAAAATACTTTCCGAAGAGAAAGTTGTCTGAAAGATTCAATAATCACAGATAGGAGCGATTTGGTTTAATAGCTACTTGATTTTTATGATTTTTCGTTATGAAAATGAAATAACGAGATAAAATCGTTAAGTTTAATACGCATAATCAAACATTTCCAATACGCAATTAGTATTTAACAAGTTTAACTTCAATTAAAATTTTACGAGGTTATTGTGTGCTTATTTTTAGCCGTTATTATACGGTTCATGTATCTTATTCGGCAATAATAGCATACAGAATATTGAATACTAATGGCTACTGTATTATCTGTATACGTTGACTAAATATATTATCTCGTATATCGTCTTTGTAGCCGCAAACATTGTTCAAGTGTTAATACTAATTGAAGATTTTATTTATTATCTGATTGCATCGATGGATATCATATGAATATCGACATGACCCTGTAATTTTACATTAATTTAAGAAGAGTAACTTTCTTTTGTCACCCTTAACGATGGAATATTGTCCGCAAATTAATGTAAAGCTAGCATAAAATTTCCCAACATGTCTTATCATATTATTCCGACTTGTGTTAAAATTAGTCATAGCAATATAAATTAAGCTTATTAAGAGAATTAATAAAATGAAACCAGAATTATTATGCGTTACTTGAAACGAAACATGCCTCTATACGATATTTACTGCAGGATATGTAAAACTTTAAAAGTTGCTAAAAATCATTAAGAGCAAAAGTGAATTCTATTTATCAACCAAGACACTGAAAGTAAGATCTTTAATATATTACAACTGTTTACAGATTAGCTGTGGGAATGTATGAAAGAACTTATTTTCAAGTCCATGAGACCTGTCTTGTTCTAAATGGACAATGAGGTACGGTATTCTACCCGTGCAATTTTATTTCAAGCCAGTTCACTTCTCGATTGTAATAAATTTACAATTATAGCGATAGCTTTAATTTTGTGAATCGCTTTCTGTTATTCCCTTTAATAGAATCATTTGCTGCACTTTAAAAAGTGTCTAATTTAAGTTTACTATGAATACAAAATATGAGGTGGGTTAACTAATCTGCCATTTTTACATTGTATTTTCGGTGTGAAGGCTGTTTACACTAGAGTGTGATTAGTTAAGAAAATATAATACAAACTGGACTAAATTGTAATAATTTACAACTCCAGCCACTGCCGATGTCACTCGAGCGAATCCACAACCCAACAGCATAATTTTTTGGGGCGGTAAACGTATAAAATCAAATAAAACCTTTACGCCTAAATCGCTTGATGCCTATGAGAAGTACAAAAATATTTTTCATTATAGGTTGCTATTTAAGGGCTATGTAATGTACGTATTATTTAATGCTTCGGGTAAATCATAAGACGAAACCATTCTCCTAACAGACTTTTAGTAAGTAATACCGGAAGAGAAGCTTCATGCGCAGTTTTATTAACACCATTCTCAAGAAAAAGTTATGAAAATCCGATATAGGCGTAGTAGAACAACTAAAGATACCCAAAAATTTGACAATTTCATGACTTTATAAGAATTGGCTTGCAAACTGATAGCAATGCCAAATGAATATTTATATGAAGTCAGGCTATTTTCAATGATCCTAAATGCTTTTCTTGGTATAAAAATTTATTAAGCTATACGTTTATATTAGAATTCAAAATTTAAGCAAGTTTAAAAAATCAGAAATTTTAAATGAGATTCTGGAAACTGACAAATCAATTACATACAGTACTACGACTGCTAGAAAATTAAACCTACTAATAAAATAATAATTCATAAATTTGTATCTACGGTATTAGCGTAACAATTACTGCTTACTTTCGTATTTCCAATAATTAGGCTGAGTTGATAATTAGGTAAAATGTCTTCTCTAGCGTTTATATCATCAAAAGCCATTTGAGCAGCTGGTATTAAGCCACTTCCATTCCAACCAACATTATCTATTGGGAAGAAACCACCAATGTACAAGTTTATTTTTTCACTATAAGAGGAAACGCTCCGGAGGATGAAGATAAGAAAAAGTAAATTAAATCTATTATTCATTTCTAAGTATGAAATACTTGGATTCTAAACGAACTTTATATGTAATATTACTACAGTAAAGAACGACAGTAAAAGTTATTCAGATCAAGAAAACTCGAATTACTTAAACGATAATAACTTCAGAGTAATTATTTGTCTATCAGTATCTAGGTATTCTGCGAGTTAAAACATTGGAGTCAGCTTCAGAAATTATCTAGAAAGCGTATATATTAAGATAATTTAGCTGGAAATTTTTTTTAATTTATTGCTTTGTGCAGATTATGTTCCCGTTCATTTGAATGGGTAGTTTACTAGTACTCATAATTCAGGGGTAATAGTATGAATTCATGGGTTATTTCGAGTATATTAACTCTAGTAATTCAAAATATTTTATATTATTTATTCATATAACAATACAGAATTAAAAAAGAAAGTAAACCCTGTTTCGAAATCTTATTACAGGCAATTGTCTCCGTTGTCTTATATCGTCATAAAACTGACGTCTTTTGAATGGATTTGTATAAATAATGAAATGTAACTCATAAATTTCTAAGTAAATTGAGAGATATATTGTAAATTACAGCTTGTTCAATAATGCCCTCAAATTTTATTTATTTATATTGTAGTATGTGATAAGAATAGCACTACCTTCACTGTTAAGATATCAATTAGTATTTACAGATCCAATGTTGTTACTACTTCCGAGTTCATGGTATCAGAAACATGATGTCTAACTTAAAGGTTTTTCTCTTAGAGTGTGTATGAAATGCATACATAATTCTTACATCCATCATATTTTTACTGTCATTTGGTAACCAAGAAATCGAAAGAGACTAATTGATATCATTTGTTATATCTTCCAGGTATAATTTTTTACTTACTGAAAAATTACTTAATATTTTGCGATAATTCCATGTAGATACAAATTGGGGTGTAAAAATGATCTAAAAGACACTAGTATAAGTTTCACTACGATGTAATAATTCAAATTGTTTTACTCCTTATTACTCCAATACAGAAAGCACGGCACTATCTAGGTATGTTTAAACAAATTTTAAAGTACGTTCTCCTGTATAAAAACTCTCTAACGCTTTTGAGCGATAGTTTCCTTTGTTATAGTCTCTAGTTAATAAAATTGTTTATATCAGTAAACAATAAAGCTCTGTTTAGACGTGCAGTTTATCAGGACGCATCAATTGTTTTATAAATTTCTGCTTCGCATCTAAATATTGTCTCATTGAATATAAGACTTGTTTACCATATAATACTGTACTACAGTTGACAACATTTTAAATATGGGTGGTTCTAAATTAATAATTATGATTAACACGATAGGAGATCAAGTAAAAGCTTTAAATTGTGTTCGTAGTTGTACAGTAGTGTTACAAAATAATTTTTAAAAGATATATAGATTGATATCTACTTAAATTTAAAAACAATTGATATAGAGAGACCTTTGTTAAACTATCCATACTTTTACTATTGGACTTGAAGTTTATGTATTTGGTTGCCACCGAATATTTATTACGAGAAATAAAAGTTATCAATCTTATAATAAGTGTGTACTTGAGATAGAAACATCAATTTACTTTAGCTGCACTTGTTTGTATTTTAATTTATCAGAAGCTAAAATACTTTTACAAATTGCTACAGTAACTATCTGTAGATGAAGTTCACACTGTATGTATATTAAGTACAGTGTAATTGCATAGTAATTACATAAATTATAAAATAATCATAGATTCACTCTTAAGAAATTTTTCAAATTTTTCTCGTAGATAGCAGGGACAGATTATAAGCATCACTCGCATCAAATGGAACAGTATAATTATGATTAATGATTGATTCCATCTTTGTACTCTCTAACTGCCCCTATACGCTTGAGAATTGCCTACAGCGTATTTGCTTACTTGTATAAGTATGAAGTTTCAGTCGTACAGTCTAAAGAGTTCATGGATAAGTGTCATGGTACAAAGTGTCCGGAATAATTAGTGGCAGTATGAGTTATCTCCAGTAATCTGGCTCTTAATGCCGTACTGTTTTACAGGTATTTCTTAATTATCAATGTACATGCTACATATATTCGTAGATTGTTGTGTGTGTATGTGTGTTACTGAGCTTGATGCTCCTTGATAAGTGACTAGTAGTAAAGTTGTAATAATTAATTTTTAATCTTAGTTCCACTGAGGCTACGCTAGAGTACTTAGGTACTAAGTTGTAATAGTTAGCAATAAATATATTTATTAACCTAAACATATCATTGGACTCGATTTCTATAGTATAGGAATAAGTCAGTGTCATGGTAGTGAATCTACCGTGATGAATAATAACTTACTTAATTTAGACATATATATGTATCACGTTAAGATAGTTACTAATTTGGATATGTGCATGAGTTATTTGATGACTTAATATAGCCGATATAAACCTGTTCCTAATACTGGTTAAATAATACTAAATATGGTATATGAATTGTCAATGGCAAATTCAATATAAATCCTGTTAATTATAAGCTAGGGCAAACATAAAGTTAATCAATAATAATATTACAAATTCACTGGATTAGACTAGGAATAATTTAATGCATTCACGAAGTCTTATTGGTCGAAATATATCACACATCGTAAACCGGTTTTATGGCTCGAAAAGCTATTTAAATGATTGATTTTGAATATTAAATTAGACTTGCATTTTCTAGAATAAAGATATAGTTAAAAGATTCTGAAAGTGCATTTCTCAGTTATTGTTACTTAGCTAGGGTAATCTAATTAGTTTAGATTAGGCAAGTTTAGTTAAGTAATGGTCAGTTTTCCTTTACTGAGGATCTCCGGAGTTAGTCGGGGAACCTTAAAGAGTAGATAGTTTAGTTTAAGTACGATTACGAAGCTGTTTTGTGACAATGTGATAAAGCGTCTCCTCAAAAATATAAAAGAACTACAGTTTCTTATAAGCTTCACTTTATTACATAAGATTAGGTTCGTTTCAGAACCACCAAGGACTAGCTAACTGCAATCAGACTATACAGTGTAATAGATCGCTGCATGTTAGTGCTTGATGTAGAACGTTAACGTTCAGAATATTACAGTAATTACCGCAATCCTATCAAACGGTACGGCACCGATGTCGAAGTTGAGGCTATAAAAGGGCTCGTATTTTATCATTTTTGGGAGTTAGTTACTTAATCGATTAATCTCAATTTCGTTCAGTCATCAATAAAGACAAATACTGTACTAGTAAGACGCGACTGTACTTATTATAGACCGTTGAAAGTAAGCGAAAATTTTAACACAAACGAAGGTGAAGGGTAGGTTAGTAAATTTAATTAATTTGATATTCTCATAAGGCGATTGAAAATTTGAGATTGAACACTTGCAGTGGGAATCACCTAATTATTATGCTACAGTATAAAGTAGGTATACGGCGTATAGCACAGCAATTGGTGTTTTTAGATAGTGGCTAAAAATTAATTGGGTGCATTACGAACTTTGTAATTGTAATTGCAACTGCTACTAGATTGAATATTATATTCTGTGAATAGATGTATTGTTATTCTATTATCTAGAATTAGTCATTAGATGGTTACTATGCTCTTAAATATTGCTCTATTAATTAAGCAATTGAATATAAGATTTATCGCTCAATTTTTACAGCGGCAGCCGTAAAGTATAACAGCTTGGCGATATGTATAATAAAATTGGGTCTCTAATTTCTAATTAGCATCAAAGCGAATGCATCTTAGTTGCTTGTAGTAGTTTCAGCTAATTACAATAGTAATTGAAGTACGGCAGCATTAAGAAGTAGAATAGTCTACTATGCTTATAAGGTAATTTCATGATTGCTGATGATGAAACGGTGTACTTATACTATTCATACTATGTGAGTATAAGGCCGCAATAGACAGCTATATAATCGTCAAGCATTCTATTAATATACGATACTGTTAAGGTTAAACATGGTGTTTAACTAATCGTGTGTCACGTTAGAGATTTGCTCAATTTTAATAACTTAGATTGTGAGTTAGACGATTACGAATCTAAGGGGTTATAAAACCCAAGCACTATATTGCTGCAGGCTTCAAAAGTTATGGAGGGAGAAGTGATTCCCGAAACTTCGTGAATTTAGAAAGATTTGTTTCAGGGTTATTTTCATCGCAAAGCTATCTCGTAAAGAGTAGAAACTGCAGCTATTTACCCACATCATTAATATAGAGATTCACTTTGAGAGTTCACGACGAATTTTCGTAACTAACGGTACTAAAAATACTCTGAACTAAATTATAAAATAGGGCAAGTAGCAATAATTTATTAGATAAATATCTCCGTTGACTAAATTAGAAAATGTGATAGCTGCCAGTATTATTTCTCGATACTGATATTTTATCTACTCAGTATTAAGGCTATTCCTTGAGTATCGATTGTTGTTTGCCTAAGATAGGCTATTTAAATATTTGATGTAGATAAATGAGTTCGATATTGCATTTCCTCTTTCCCATATGGTACTCAATGACATAGAAGCCAACAAAAATTTTAAGTGTAAACTTTCATAACAATGGCTAGCAAATCCCTCCCGTTCACCCCGTAGACGTTATATATTGTTAGTATTCACCTGTAACATAAGTTTGTCACAGGACATCTGCGAATTTTGGTCATTTCGTAAACTATAGTAATATGTACGGTAAATGTTCACTCACACTTACGCAGCACTGGATGAGATGCTATAAGATTATAATATAATTATCTGTATATTTTATCTGGGGATAAGTAAATAATTTTAGAATTAAAGCTGCTAAACATAGTTAGCTCTCAACTTAGGATATCAGCAATAAAATTTATATATATATTAATCCAACAGACGGTTGCACTAAGTATCTGTTTACGTCATCTGTTTAAGCATTACGACCACTTACTGACAGTACGTGCCGAGTACGCAGATAGAAAAGAAATCAATACCGCCTGTATAGTCAGTATACAGTCGTGTAAAATCTACTCCATCTATGCAGAAGTATGGCAGGTCAGTAATTAAATATGGAGTTGTGTATGATATTACGTAGACATAGGAATCGTGATAAAATTTGCAGTACTTCTGATATTAGGCCATACCTGTATCAAGTTAACTTGTCATAGTTATAAAACAGAAAATTTGGTCAGATTTCACTCTTATCAACATAGAGTCGTCAGTTAATGAAAATGATGAAACCTATCTAAAGTCATTATGGAAGACTGTAACAGGTCAAGAATTACAGCAAGAGCCTTCGAAATTCACTAATGATGAATTCTTCAACGTTTGTCTAGAAGCTTTGAAAAATAAGGTACAGTGCATAAGCTATTGCATGCAGACATACGAAAGAATTAATTCGGATATATAATATAGCTTGACACTACAAGCACATAAAGAATCATTACTTAGATAGTTATGGCTCTCAATTGAAATAATATAGTGTCACTATTTAATATAAACTTCGTAGTACCAACGTTCACGGAAAGATATCGATTCGCAAAATCAAGCTCTTTTATCAGCCGAAATAGATTTAAAAACGGAATTAAATCAACTTCGCAACGATACTTACCCAGGGTATGACGAAATAGATGGAGGGAATCTTTCTAATGACAAAAGTCCTATGCAACATAATAAATTTATAGATGATGTCTTACTAAGTGGTAAGTTATTACTCTTAACAGAAGAGATAAGTATGAGAGTAGGAGTTCGATACCCAATAAAATTAAACCTCTTAAACTGCTTGACCACCGTCATGTATTTCATCAAGCTTTCGTAATGATTTTCTGCCCATCATACTTACAATCTTACATAGATTTTATCACTACGAAATAGGCCATAAAAATATCTGTTCACCATAAATTATAATTCAAAAATAACGCAACTGTATGTTAAATCCTAAATTGAATATACTTCGTGAGCTATAGCCAAAATAGCTGGCGTAGATCATCTCGAAGTGCTAAAATTATATAGAGTTAGAGGATTATTAAATTTTGATTCCTTTTACTTGGAATTCAATAAGATGCGTTTGCTACTGTTATTTAATAACTACACCTCTACTATATACACGCTACACGTCGATCAGAATAAGCAATACAGCAAAATTGACTGTTTATACTTGAGAATTGAACGTAGTAGAGTTTTTATTTTAATGAAATTATTTCATGTACATAAACGCTATAGACTGTTAATCTAACAGTTTTGATTAGTGTCTGCTAAGAAGGCGAATGTACTACCGTATTTCGTAGAGATATTATCATCAAAAGATAGATAGATACAGCACGTAATCCCCTTGGTAAACCCTTTTACTACTTAGCTTGATACTGCCAATAGTAAATTGCAGTATGATATTTCGTAGATCTCTGTCGATATGTTCTTTCGTATAAATAATAGTATGGAACTGTAGTTCACGATTACTTAACATCACAGTTGAAGTAGTCTGTTGCCGTTCCTGCTGTATGAATTTGTTAGTGATTACACATAGCTACGTATGAGGAATCATCTATTTGCGTAAAGCACGTAGTCAGTTTTATGTGCAGCAGGAATGTACTGCATGCCAATTTATTAGAGGCGACACACGACTAGGTATGAGAAATCGTCTTATTGAAGACGGTGTACAATACTTTGCAATTGTTTAGTTGAAATAAATGTTAGCATTGCTAAAAATAAACGCTAATAGCGTTAATCAGGTTGAGCCTAAGGAGGCACTAAATCAGCTGTAAGATTATATTAAAATTTGCATGTAAAATAATTTATTTATTGTTTGCTTAGAATATCCAGATATTGAGATCACCCATAATGACATTCATCGCGGAGACGAAGTTGAAAATGTAGTGGAACAAAAAATTAAAGACGATTGGATCGCTATTGGTATTTCTGGAGATCAAATCCCAGTTGATAAAGTCAAGCAACTTTGTCATAGTTGTATTAACGTTCTTAAAAAAAGATATACCATCAACAGGTCAAAGTTGAAATTATTCTATAATCATATTCAAACGAAATTAGAAGAAATTTTTATTAGTAGCAAGGTTAGAAGAGTTAGTAAATATTGATAAATGTGTATCTAAAGGCGAAATCATTTAATATTGTACGAGCCGGATATCCATGTTGATCCTTGTTTTGTGCTATATCATTAAATGTACTTTATCGTTTGATAATGTCTATTAATCGGCTATTTCTTCATCTAGGCAGCAACAGGACCATATTTATCTGCATCTAACGATAAATCTACTGCCAAGTTTCGGAATTTTATTACAGCAGTAGGAGATGCAGTGAACTTGTTTCCTTTAGTTGGCCATTTATTGAATACCGTAAGTAAATTAATGGATAGAAAAATTTATCGCACCAGATTCGTAGCTAAAATTACAAAATAATGTAGTCGTATAACAATTACGCTAACATACAGTAATGAAAGGTCGCGTTATAATTCGAACATGTCTACAAAAAAAATACAAATATCTTTGTCAATTTTAGTGCCTTTTGCTTTATAAGAGTATTAAGCAATTACGTTGTATTTTAATCTTAAAGATAATATCCGATAATATTGATAAATCAATCGCAATTATTGTTATTAGTTAATTTTCAAGCCGGCAAGCTTTTATGTTGGAACATCCAATGAGAGAAAGCAAGCGAAATACGCTCGATCAATTTCTTTAATGGCGTCTTTTGCAAAATTACAGAGTGTAAGATTGAACGTTATTAACGTCGTACTGTTAGGATCACTTTCGTTTTCGGAATTATCCAGTCTGTCATAACGTATTATCTCTAAAGCATGTGCTATAAAAGGATGTAATAAGTAATGTTTGCAATTCTGAATATTTAAAGAAACTGTGTTAACTGCCGTAATGCCAGTGGATACAGTAATTTTAGCAACTGTTGAGCTAATACCGTAAAGATTAGGTAGCGACCACAAAAGATAGATGGTAATTTCTGAAATTAATTACTTATGCAATATACATTCGTATGCACTTGCTAGGTATCCCATAAAACTGCCTTAAAGTTTACGCACTACTACTATGATCAAATTAAAGGCCTGCCCATTTCTAATACATGGACAAATTCTAATAAGGAAGAATCATATTTATCTCCGATCTATTTAGTTGCCGATGCTATTATTATTTTATTAATTGGCGTATTAAATGAACAGATTATATCTAAAATAGAATTTGGCTACGTCCCTTTAGAAGATAAGCTATTTCGTGCAACAGTGCAAGATACAATGTTGCCTACAAGCCATCTTAAAGATTATATTGTATTAATTTCTCAGCGTAGCTATGACATCCCGTTTCGTGGACCTTTGGGTCTATCAACGGAAATGACTTGTAAAGTTGTCGATTTTTTATCTAAAGGAGGAATAGTTGATGAAGATGGATTTATTTACGCCAATGATGCTACCGATAGTAAAAAGTTTGGGTATTATAACGGTTCTCTAGAAATTGCCATGGCCAAAAATATGCCATCAATCAATATACATCAACGGTTTACTTATTACACAGGCTTGCAAGATCTTCATTGGTTATTAAAGGAAGCAATGGATTTACCAGAAGATTGGATAAAAAAGACTAAAGATATTTCCAACGATGATCAAAACAATGATAGTAATTCTGAATTCTTAAAGGGTGCAAGTCATGCCCCTGGCTGCGTAGAATCAACAAACAGTTCCATTTCAAATATCGGAAATAGTATTAGCGAAGCAGTACATGAGAAATTAAATGAATTGCACCGAAAAATTGATGACGTCAGCACCAGCATCGAACTAAATAACAAGCAAAATCGGGAGATAGAAAAAAAATTAAATCGTTTGCTAGAGCATTTGCAACTCCCAGAGATCTCTGATGCTAGATAATGAATCGATTTAGAAATACATGTCCATTATTTTTGGCTTTTTATTTATCAATTCGATAAATAACATCCTGGAAAAGATTAACAACATCGAAGAATTGGCTTAATTGATGTTAAGTTAACAGATGAAGTCATATTCACATTTAGCATTGCTAAGTATGGTATTCTTGTAATGTTGTCGTACCTAAGTTAGCAATGATTACGTTTTTTAGGGGGTCGAATAATTGTAGCTTCAATAAAGCGAAAATATACGCACACCATTTCGGTATGGCACTTGGGATACTGGCCCATAAATTATAAATTCTAATGATTGAGGAGATACTGTATATGTCACTATACAGTACACCTATTACTGTTTTACGCATCTGAATCAATTTGAATTATACGCGTCTTACTCGTATACTATTATTCACTATATCCACCTTATTATTATTTATTATTATTTCAAAATAATCTAGCTACTGTTCGTTTTTGGTTCTTCGGTGTGTGTGTGTATCGTCCGTTTCTGATTGGAATGTTAGGAATATTGTGTGTGTGTGTGTGTGTGTGTGTATCGTCCGTTTCTGATTGGAATATTAAGAACATTGTGTGTGTGTGTATATATGTGTGTTTATGTGTATGTGTGAGTATGTGTATGTGCATGTGTGTGTGTGTATGTGTGTGTGTGTGTGTATGTGTGTGTGTGTGTGTTTGTGTATCGTCCGTTTCTGATTGGAATATTACGAAAAATGTTCGCGGGCTTACACTTGTAATTGTAATTAATTAATTAAACGTACATACATGTACATGTATATTTGGTTTCTAAATTTGGTTGATGTTATCATTCTAATTTGTAAAAGCAACATTATTTAATGCAGTAAAATTGATTTCACTTTATTGCTTTGATGTATTTAAGTCGCTATAATAATTAATTAATTAATTAATTGATCCAAAATAATTACTAAAGGTTTTAAGTACTGTGTTATGAAAATCAGTCGTCAGGATTTAAACTTCATTTCGTCCATTTATTTTACTAATTTACTGTATGCAAACTAGATCACTTATCACTCTTAGTATTTATTTATTTCAAACGTGGATCACACGACAACGAACATTACATATGTATGGATGTCGGAATAAATTAAGAAAGCGAAGAAATCTTATCAGGAATATTAAGTCAGATTGAATGTAAAAGATTCTGATCAGCCGAATAAATTTATATTTAGGGAAAATTAATGATATACCCTTCTTAAATTTATAACTGAAGAGGGACTTCTAAGAATAATACTGTACTTTACAGTACCGATTGAGTGTACTGTACTATACTGTACACTGTGTACGCTCGAGAAACCGTAATTTATAATCCGCACGCTCAAAGTTTTACCATACTGTAGAGGTAAGAAGAAGAACTACTGTACTGTACAGTACGTACTGTGTACTCTACAGTGTACAGTACAGTACGGTACTGTACAGTACTGTACTGTACAGTAGTACTAAAAAAATAACGTCCGCGCAATATACTGTACTGTAGTCCATGCCACTGGTCGCGTGAAGATAAAACGCTGTCGCAGTATGAAATTTTATAGGGGGATTTTATAGGATATGTAAAATTTTTTTAAGGATTGGAGTTCTTTCGTGTTGATATAATATAATGTATCTTTTATCCTAAAGAAAAAATGCGCCAACCCATAATTTTCGTTGACTGGTTGTTGTCGGCTGTCATTCGTCACACTGAATTCCTTGCTTCCTCTCGAAATTAATTAATTAATGTAATTAGCTGAACAATGGATGTTGCTGTATGGTTACTGTACTCAGCGATCATGCTTTTTCAATTGAACACTAAGTTCATTGTGATTGTGATCTCGTTATAGATTTCCTATTTAGTTACGCAAGCATATAAATAAAAGACCATAAATGCACAATATTCATTGAGGACTGGATTGGTTAGATTGGTAAATCTACTATGTAAACTGTACAGTAGTAAGCAAAGCAATTGTAACTGATAGTAGATATTTATTTATTTATTGTAGCTTTAAACCGATATTCGGTGTCATAGGCTGCTATAGTACAGTACAGCTGTACTGTACTTGAAGCTATTGTTTACAGCACAGTACAGTATACTGCAGATATTAGATATTTATTAGATATTTATTCACATGTACGTTATACAGTACTGTTATACAGTAAACTGTATTGCTATGCCGTTGCTAAATAAATTTTAATCCAGAAACTTGTTTATAAGCGTGGCTCGATGAATAAAAGTAATACAGTATAATATGCAAAAAATGTAATTCACTCTAAGCACTAAATCTCTCATTCATCTTAGACTCATACTGTAGGTTGTCCGCGCTGGATTTCAGGTACTGTAAACTTCCATAGTGCTAGTTTTATACGTACAGTACAGTATACTGTACGCGTATTTTTGTTATGGCATTGAAAGTAAATATGGAAATTCAATATAAATGCAGTTTAAACGCTGCTTATATTAAAAAAATGGCATTTGCGTTTGTACACAAGTAATTATTCTGGTTTTAACGGCACGTAGAGTACAAAAATTATTATCATCACTTGTACAGTACCGAAACCTGGTCAAAGGCTATTCTACAGTAAATTAAATTTCATATACAGTACTGTACTGCACACTGACTGTACTGTACGCATCAGTATAATTGCTACAGTGCACTGCGTATCGAGAACACAACTGTACAGTACTTTATTCGTACTGTAGTGTACTGTACATTGTACATACTGTACACTGTACAGTACAGTGGCTTACTAGACAGTGGCTAGACTGTATTTGATTTGATTACATGCGTGTACATTTTTGTCAGACGATTGTTGATAGTTGATTGTACTGTACAGTACTGTACAGTACAGTAATTGTTTGTGAATAAATACAGTATGATGAATATACAGTACAGTACTGTATGCGTCTACGGTGCTGTATGTTAATACAGTACCGTATATTAAATTGATTGATTGATTATAATATGCATGTACAATTGTACAGTACTGTACAGTACTATATTTTTATATTTCTGTGTTAGTTGCCGAAGGTTATTAAGGTTAAATCATCTTTATAAAACAGTATTTTTCCTCATACTATCTATACTGTACAGTACTGTACAGTATAATGCAGAATCTGACGGATCGGACATTAGGACGTTTTGGCTTATTTATTTATTTATACTATCCTTTTTATTTTGGAAGACGCACACTGTGATACTTTCCCAATTAAGCCTTGCGTTGGTTATTGTCATTTTTGCATGTGCAACATTATCAGTATTAACTGCTAGGCTATACAGTATAGTAGATAATGTATTTGAAAACGTGTCAGTTATAGGCACTGTATCTTTATACTACGTAAAGTACAGTATCATGAATATTCTACGGCAAGGATATAAATCTTAAATCTTAATCTTAATTTCTACTCTACTGTACTGTACAGTACATTATAATGTATGTCAATATATACAGTACATATATATATTATACTTGTACTGTACTGCACTGTTACGTAAAGGAAAAAGCCAGTACTATATGCGTCTAGTACAGCGCATGACAGCTATTTGATTGATTTTGACTTGCGAGAAACTGTATATAGAACTCTATGAACTGATACTGCAATACTGTAGTCTAACAGCGCACTCGCTATGCTGTACAGTACAGTACTGTATTGTAGAACAATGAATACAGCTGTAGTGATCTGTGCAGCACTGTAAAACATAGTGTTAGGTACTGGACAAACATCTTTAAAATACGAGAAGAAAACTTACGCGCTCTGTACTTGAGTAAGTAATTGGTATGTTTATTTGTTGAACGATTGCAAATTTTTTGATTGATAGATATACGCTGTAAGTATTGTTTTGATTTTATACTGATGCCTATTGGTTGGATAAGATTTTAATTGACAGAATGAGGTGTTACGAACATGTTTGAGGATTTGATACCGCCCAATGATTGGGCGCGGTATTTTCTATTCAAAAATGATTGACATTTGAGATGATCATCTCATTGCATTACTGCTAAACTAGGAAAATACATCGACTAATTTTTTATTGTCAACCATTTACTTGCACATGGCGACATACTGGCCTTGACGAACAATAGGTTGTTTCTACATCTTAAAGCTATTTTTCGTTGACGCTATTGATTAATTTAGCTGGACAATTTGTCAACACATTTTTTTTCTCTCTCTTTTCTTTCTTATCCAGCGTATTTCTAAACCGTACAGTTGTCGATTTGGATTTGTTGAACAACATTATTACTTACCAATTGAACAAATTAAGGCATATCACGCAGTTTGAACTACTGGATCACCGGGTCCACCTTATTGAAAAAAATTTGATATCTAAAAAATAATAAAATATTCTGTGTATATGTTATACAGTACCGCACAATCGATCAATATAACACTACAAGTCTACAATACGGTAATAATAATCTCTCACCGCGCGTAAAATCTACCAGTACACTCAGTACTGTACTGTACAGTACGCTTATATAGTATGCCTATATAACGCACAGTGTCTGGGTCAATTTACGAACAAGTTATACAGTATACCGTATATGTATGTTATACGAATAGTACTATATATAGAACGAAGAAAGCAATGCTATACAGTACTGTATATCTGTTGCGTATATATATGGTACGATATACATATATACGGTATTCTGAATACAGCTTACGAAAGAGTGAATTGATTATAACTAACAGTCATTTTTTTCGTTTTGTTTGCACGATTCGTTCGTGATAAAAAAGTTCGATTGATCAAGACAAAAAAGAAACGTTGAACGTATGGTGTCGACCGTATCACAGTATGCAATGTATGACGGTATGGCGACGACAATCAACAACAAGGTGGTAAACGAAGATGGGAGAGGAAGCAATTCGCTTCATTTGTCAACTTGTTCGATTTGTTACGGGCCATTACGAGACGCTAAAGTTCTACCATGCTTGCATTCATTTTGTAAGAATTGCTTACAGACAATTATGGCCAAAGCGGATAACGGCCATCTCTTAACATGCCCCACTTGTCATTACGAAGCTGCATTATCGAATGGTGACATCGATGGTCTACCATCCGACATGTTTATGGATAAAATATTAGATTCGATTTTACCTACGACTGTTGCCAATCACAACGATGATTACCGTAGTACGAACGCTACCGTTACTAACGTGGTGACCGCCACATTGGATATGAGACCGTTGAGTCAGTTAAAATGTTCTCATTGTCAATATGGCGTCTTGGCTAGTTCAAGATGTCAAGTTTGTTCCGAATTTTTGTGCAATAATTGCGTTATAGAACATCAACGACTACGCTTGACTCGCAATCATTACATTGTACCACTACATGACTATCAACAGCCACGTAGTATAGAGAGTAATAAGTACGAAAAGATCATTAGAAGTTCGGTATCATGCCGGTTTCATGACAATACCCCGTTGTCGTACTATTGCGAAACTTGCTCGACTCCTGTTTGTCAGGGTTGCCTAGATAATAATATCATGTTGGAAGGTAACGAAGAAAGATTCTCTGATATAGAATTGCTACCGTCATCGAATCATAAAGACCATATTATATGTGATTTACAACAGCGCATGGAGAGTTGCTTACCAACAGTCTGCAGAGCCCTTACAGAAGCTTTAAGCGGCGTTGACGAACTTGAAGCTGCGATAGCTCAAAGTCAAGATATGACTGAGCGTATCGAAACTCGCTGTCATACTATAACTAACTTGATTAGATCTACCTTTAGAAGGCATATGGTAGCATTAGAGGAAAGAGAACGAGAGTTATTACGTCGAGTTGAAAAAATTCGTCAAGTTAAGGGTAAAATGTTGCGTTTACAAACGGAGAAGTTGAAAACTGACTTGACAGCCACTGTATCAACCTGTCGGAAAGTAGAACGTGTACTACAAGATGGTAATCAAGTTGAAGTACTCAACTGCAAGGATACTATCATCTCACAGATTAATGAGTTAAGAAATACTAAGTGTCAACTGCAGCCACATGAAGATGATAATGTAACATTTACAGCACCAGATTCAGCTTTACTCACAGCCTTGACTTGCTCGGGTAATGTCACTAGTAGTGCTTATGCGCCGTTAACAATTGCTTCCGGTGACGGTACGATTCGCGCCATTACCGGGAAAATGGCTTATTTCACTATCCAGGCTCGCGATCATCATGGTGATCCATGTCGAATTGGTGGCGATCCTATTAATGTGTTAATCCAAGCGCCGGATTCTACGCTTTACTGTGCCAATGTATCTGATCAAGAAAATGGAACCTATCTAGTATCTTATCGTCCTATGGTCGAAGGTAGTCATATCGTTTCTGTGACCGTTCGTGGTACTCACATTAGTAATAGTCCCTACACTGTATGTGTACGCAATGGTCGCAACTATTTAAACATTGGCGCTCCGGTTAAGGTCTTTGGAGGTGAAGGTGAAGACGATGGCAAGCTATGTCGTCCTTGGGGTGTTACAGTCAATCCTGATGGATATATTATCGTTGCAGATCGTAGTAATAATCGCATTCAAATTTTCAATCCAGACGGAACATTCCTTCGTAAATTTGGTACACCTGGTCAACGCAATGGCCAATTTGATCGGCCTGCAGGTGTAGCTACAAATGGTCGTGGTCAAGTTGTAGTTGCAGATAAAGATAATCATCGTATTCAAATTTTTACTTTTGAAGGGGAATTTTGCTTGAAATTTGGTGAAAAAGGCAATAAAAATGGGCAGTTTAATTATCCATGGGATGTAGCAGTCAATAGTAAAGATCAAATTTTAGTTTCTGACACACGTAATCATCGCATACAGTTATTCTCGCCTGATGGTTTATTTCTTAATAAATACGGCTTTGAAGGTGCATTATGGAAGCATTTTGATTCACCACGCGGTGTAGCGTTTAATAACGAAGACAACATAGTCGTAACGGACTTTAATAATCATCGTTTATTGGTTGTAAATTCAGATTTTAAGACTGCTCGATTTTTGGGTACCGAAGGCTCAAATAATGGTCAGTTTTTACGACCGCAAGGTGTGACGATCGATCCAGAAGGTAATATCATCGTTGCTGATTCTAGAAATCATCGGATTCAAGTGTTTGGTAGTAACGGTAACTTTTTATGCAAGTTTGGCAGCAATGGCATCAACGATGGTTGCCTTGATCGGCCATCAGGTATTGCTGTAACGCCGGAGGGATTAATTATTGTTGTTGATTTTGGTAATAATCGATTACAAATATTTTAAGCATTCATCATCCTGTTCATTAATTATATCATCCCTGAAAGGAAAAAGAAGTCATATTACCGTATTATAGTAATTGACTGCATAGATCTAGACCTACTTAGTTATTTTCCAGCCTCTTTTTTTTGTTTAATATGATCAATAGTATTTAACTTCAATTGATTGTAAGGATTCTAAATAGTAGTACGATTACTATTATAGGCTTTTGATTATTAATAGAGTAGAACTGAAATTAGAGTAATTTTTTTATAATTTTTTGCGAAATTCTTTTAATGAAAATTTGTCACTCGTCATCTGATTAATGAATAATTCTAACGCAGTCCATTTAATTCACATCGTTCTGAATGAATTGCGTTGCTTGTCGATTATAATTACAGTATCATCTCAAATCTTTCACTTGCGGTTGTTAGTACTTTTGTATTTTTTATTATTGTTTTATCAGTTTATTTGACTATAACTTGATATAATTCTAAAACAGTCTCATAGAATCGATAGACTTTTTGTTTCTCGTATGCAACGCTTCTCTTGAGCTATTAGATTTTTTTAGACTTCAATGATTATGGATATAATCGTTTATTTTAGGATACAGTAGCCGTCGTAGTAATCATTTACTTGATTTTATGATTTACTATTATTTACGATATTACACTTACAATGCACCTATGAATGAATATATGCAGTGCATACAGTAGTAAATGTTGGAAAGTTTCTGATGTTGATTGTTTAAAAACAGGACATGACAAGAATAATTATTTTAATCAAGTTATGTTTCATTTTCGTTTTTATCACGTCTTATACTGGAGGCAAACGGTGATGGTTTGATTAATGTATCAACTTTCACTCAATTATACTATAATACCGTTTTAAGCTTGAAGCTATACTGTGCGATGGTTACAAGTTTCATTTGTCTCGAAGACACAATTTTTATGACCACTTTGTATCTTAATATTATTCTGAACATCATTTTTAGTTTTTATTAACTCGTGGTAACACAATTGACTGTGGAAGAAAACCAAGTTCTTTTCCATGCTATAGCACAATAGTTAAAAAAGGCAAATGAATATTTGTATTAGTTTATCTTGCCCTCCTATATTATATATCTTGTATTCTTTTCGGCTGTGTTTACTTATAAATACCCTTTAGATTTATGATCGGTATCAGTTGAAACTGTGAACGAGCAGCAATAAAGCTTGTAATACCATGTCTCTTATATTGAAATTAATGTCAATACGAACGTATTACAATAAACTTTTTAGTATGGTAATTAAAACTAAACAAGAAGATCACAGCAGTACGGGAAATACTGTACAGCAAGTTACAACTAACGACAGTCTATAAAATGGTAGAGATTGTCGTCTAGCGCGGTGATACCGAGTTTGGATCAATTTAATAAATAGCGGAAAATTTACAACTCTTTAATTTGTTACCAATGTGCAGCTACAGTACACGTGCGATCGGCTAGTACACAAATAAGTTTACTTCGCATTAATTATTGGTCATATTTATACGTGTATACCGTACGTACTACATATATAACAATTAAAATGGTAGTTGACAAGCTTTTAATTAGCAAGCACGAAAATTTCTGTCAAGGGTCAAATCTTAAAGGCATAATGCCCATAATATGTATATATTAACGCTAAAACAAACACAGTAGCAAGATAGTACCCTCAAGCAAACATTATGATGTACACTTCAAAACAGGACGGAATGTGAATTTACAGTTAATTCGAGTACTGAATATATAGTATACGTATCGCATTTTTTGAATTACGATTAGTTTTTCAGTGAGATCTGTAAAAAACCATGATTTACGGCTAGATTCCAGGCGAACACAAAATATCCTTTATTGCATCAATTATACATATACAGTATCTGAAAGTATGACGTACGTACGATTAGTTGTACATAACGGATTTATACAATTATTATGATTTTGGTCTTCAGTGCGCTACACTGTACATGAAAATTTCAACAAATAAAGATCGAAAGAATTTACAGCACATGTAAGACATTTACATTTGTACAGTATGCTTGTATACAGTATTACGTCTGTATGTTGTGTAATAAAAAAAGATAATCTTTTATTAATATTTTATAGTTGACATCGTTATACAATATATAATTCATGCAATTTAAGGCGGTTAAATGTATTTACAATTACAAAAAGAAAAATATACCAACAACAGCAAAATGTTGATAAAGTTAGCCAGGCCATTTTATATCAGTCTCTAAAAAATAACAATATGTACATATTTTACGCTATATTGAGTTTCTCAAATAACTACATACTGCAAAGATTCCTCGGTTATTTTTTTCTAGCGATTTTCTTTTTTACTCTTTTTTATCTAGTAATAAAATACAGTATTTTTTGTTTATTAAGTAAATAAGAATAAACAACCAATTTGATAGTTTCATAAAATAATAAGGGATCAGAAAAAGAAAGTAGGGCTGGAAAAGTATTATTATTGATATGTTATAGTTATTTACTACTTTATAGCTACAGCACAATAACTAAACGTAATGAAATAACACTCCACAGTATCGGTTACTATAATGTATATTTTATATAAAATACAGCAACTATTAATGAGGCTCATCGTGAGCATAAGCTACATTAACAACAATAGAGTAGTACAGCGTATTTGCTTGAATTGATTGGTAACTATTTGCGATATACTTTATTTCAGTTAAGTATTTGTAAAGAAAAAAGTAATTGAGACATAGAGCGTAAGCAGGGATAGCCAGATAATTCCGTAAGGAATTAAGATTCATTAGTTGACTTACTTTCTTATGTTTGTGCTTGTGCTTCTTGTGCTTATGCTCGTGTGATTTGTAATGCTTATTCGATTTACCAAATAACTTACTCTCAGAGACATTTTCAGCTAAAGTAATTAATTACGTAAGAAAATTACAAAAATGTAATGTAGTCCAATATCAATACATGCTTTTCTTTTATAACATAATTTCTTTAATCTAGTAAAGGCAACCTGGTAAACTTGAGATAGGAGGAAGTGCAGGTCCATAATAAGATTTTTCTGTTGTCGAATTTACCTCCTCTGAAAAATCGAAAAATGTATCAGCTTATAGCGCTGTTTAATCATGTTTATCTTGGCATGTTTATCTTTAAGGAGTCCTGTAGGTAGTAATGTACTGTACTGTTATTACAGTATAATACCGTAAGTTGATTTACGTAAACATACACTAGCATTTGTAGATACCGTCGGGATGTCTATTTCGACCTGCCCAGTAACGCCAAATAAGAAAGTTAAAATTTTTAGACCGTTATGATGTCATTGTTAGTTCGCTATACGTCCGTCATATTAACACTTATCAAGAAAAATATCAAGTACTGTATCTTTTAACACTCTAGATTCATGAGGCATTTCAGACATTATAACTAAATCAACCTATTACCTTTATTTGAACAGTCGCTGGGCTAGTCAAATTGATATTAGCTATCGCACCGCGTTCTGATGATGAAGGTAGTAGTTCCTTTGTGTCAGAAGATTCATTTGCACTTGATTCACCAGCATCAGATGAGTCGCTGCTGGCAAAAATTGCCTTGAAGAGATCTATGGGTGGGTGGTCGTCCTCGATGTTACTATTGTCATTATTACCCGTCTACATTACAAGCGTAGATAACATGTTACAAATTAAAATCAGGAGTGCTTACCTTAAATCTTAAATACAATTTTAAGTAGAGTAATCTTGACATTAAGCTATTGTATAACATAGAGCACGAAATTGTATCTCAAGTTTAAATCATCATAGGATTTCTCTTCGAACGATTTGGGTATTTTATTATAACTGCGATATATTCAGTCAATTGCACCCTTACAATGATAAGGTCATGTTCCGTGTCCGTTCTCATGCTGGGATTTTGCGATAACTGATTTCCATCAGTCGATATTACTTCGTTATCCACATTGCTTTGTTTAGAGTCCAATTTCTGCTTTTCAAGTTCATCAGATGGATGTTGAAAAGATACAGCTTGTAGAAAGGTACTAGTGTCTTTAATGGAAAGCTTTTCTAGTTTCCCTTGTGGGATACCAATCTTCGAAGATCTTGATTAACACCATTACAAATAAGGTTACCGTATCGGAAAATATTAACAGTAATGTCAACTATGGGTATTACAGCAAATTTTATATAACTGTTAGTAAGTACGAACAAGAACTCATACCTCGGAAATGGATCTGCAACATTGAATCTTTTACAAAGTAATTTATCTGGATGCCATTCGAAAGATCTTCGGGTTAACTTTCCAAATAACTTCATTGAAGCAGCTTTAGCACGGTCTCTTGAATCGGAATCCTGAAAAAAGGTGTTTAATTAATTACAACCTTACACATTTAAGAAATCAATCTAAAGCCTTGCAGTAACGAAATAGTCAATGTGTTATCTTATTAAATCGTAGTACCTCTTCAGTTTGATCGCTTATAGTGGTTATTTCTTCATCGCCACACGTGTAAGATCGTGACGATGTAAATCGTGCTGCCATAGCTTTTCCTAATACTTCAAATCGTTTAGCTGTTCGAGCAAAATCTTCTTTTTCCTGCTCCTTTTCCCATTCTGTAATTTTACTGTCATCTATCCGTATTCATATTTTTAGGGAGTTATGTTTATTATCGTACTTGCAAATATTTGAGAATGCAATAAAATTTATAACTAAACAGTTGAAACCTTGCTGTTGAGATCGGTGGTTAGCTGACTGTGATTGCATCTCCTGATTCCTGCGTAAATATTTGGTAAAACTTTTAGCCGAGCAAAAAATAATATCTTGGAGCGTGGCAAAAATAAATAATCCGAAAATTGGTTAGAGTAAGTATACATCATGTTAATCGATGCGGTCGCTTTACTAATATTCGTAAGGCGCACTTTATCATCTTCTGATAAAAGGCCACTTATTGATTGAGATGGACCTAACAGATTTATTAAATAAAAATTTGTAAAAAATCAAACTTTATTTTATACATATTCCTACAGGACTTATTGATAAATCGTAGCAAATTTCCAATTTGCACGTTACCTTCAATTGGTTGTTCGCCCAAAAGCTGCCCTCTTTGTGTGCTCAACATGCTATGTCGACTATCTGATGAACCAGTAACTGGAACATCATCCTTAAAAATATGAATAGGCCTATATTCATGTGGCAATTCTGGAGGTAAGAATTTCTGCATTTGGAAAAGAATAGGTAGCGTAAGCTATTGGAAATGTTTCTTCCTTACGTTAGTAGTTAGAGTTCGATACAGTTAATATCAAAAAATGTATGACTGATGGGCTGGGCTCTAGAGCAATAACCTTAGTAGGAGATTGTGATCGATCAGCAAGTAAAAAGCCTTCAAGCTGATGCCGTCCGTGTGATCTATTTTTAACTAAATTCACAACTTTATAAAAAATGTATTCAAGACAGTGTACATATTGGCAACAGATGACATACGTATATTATCTAGTGAAGTATTTCAGACATAGTAACTAAAGCATATTGTCAGAAAATATCCATAATCTCCCTAAAAAGCGATAATAAAAGTTAAGAAATATGATGAATCTCTTACGCACTCTTGACGGCAATCTTCTGATGCGAATCATTTTTATAACTTTCATCATTAAGAATAGTATCATAATTTGTCATATTATCAATCGAATATATTGAATCATCTTCTTCTTCAAGTGCACCTACACCAAACGCCTAAGGGAAAATAAAAAGTACATAATTAGACCATGACTTCGAAACTCCTAAGATATTTGTCGTAGAATTTACCTGTCCTGTGATTCCTTTTCTCTTATCTGCAGATTTATATGGGATTGATAAATTTATATCACCGGTTATTCCCAATACATCGGCTGGATTTAATCCTTTATATCCAAGACCTTTCTGATCATCTTTAATTTCATAAGATACGCTGACAGTGTCAGTTGGAGCAAACAATATTCCCTTCGAGTAAGGATCATCACGTAGTGTATTCTGCGTGCATTATTGTGGAATGATAAATTGTATACGGTACTTTTAGTCATATATTAGTTGTAAATGCTGTAATTTGAATTTTTCATTTGAGATACCAAGGTAAAAATTGTTAATACTTGTGTACAATTGTAGCGAAGGTTGTATCAAATATATTACATTTTGGATAACTTACATCGAATTCGCTATCAATGCCTATATCTGTACTGCCTAAAAGCATTTCGCAATTATACAGAACATTAAATATGTGATTAATACGTGTGTCTACAAATAGCAGGACAACATCAAAGCAATCTTTACGGTAAAATTGTGGTAATTCATCTGTCATACCAGTCTTTTTCTTGTAATTAACTCTAGGGCCAACACCTTGATTCTTTTTCCAACCCATTTTTTTCATTAATTTCTCTCCAATAGGCAACCTATTTAATTATGAATGTCATCATGTTATTATACAGTATAAAAATAGTCATTCACGATTACTGATCACATCAATGCTCTCTACTCTACTATACGAGTATATCACAAATACAAAGTCAGATAGGCATTCAGTATTTTGGATATAGAGTATAAATAATAAGTTTATAGGTTTATTACGGCATCAAAACGTATAAGCATAGGAATCTCATTGCAAGCAATATCCAGCAAGCTATCGCAAGTCCTACTTTGCGGGTAATATTAAATCTTGCAAAATATTCTCGCTTAGAATGTTATTTTCAGAAGCGATTTGCTGCCTCAATCCAGCGAATTCCAATTCTGAACCAGCAAATTTTTCTTTAACAGTTACCCTTTTAGGTGCTATACCGAAATCTTCAAAATCCTAATCGCAGAAAATACAATTCAAATACATTGAATTCGTTGCTACATTGCATAGCTGCAGTACGCGTGCTAGAAAGAGTAAATTTGCAACTGTACGCATGCATAACATAGTGCGCGATGATGTGCTACTGATGCTACTTACTTCAGCATCCATGAAATCTTCTGGGTTACTGGAAACTGGCATTTTATCCTTTCGATCAGAACGTGAAGAAACGAAAGCAGATGGTGTCCATCCTATTTCAGAAATAAACTATCCTATATTACGTGTGTACGTCTTGTAGCTAGACTGTAGGGACATCAAGGAAGAAGTAGACAGAAAGCATTTTACATTGATTCAATATTACCTTCTTTACTTCCAACTGTATTAAAATAGCCAGCAGAAAATCCTCCAGTGAAAGCTCCATGAAATCTCCTACGCCCTTTTTCATCCTTCACTACTTGTTCATGAATCGGTATAGGCTTTTTACGAGGCTCATTCTCATCTAATACTTCAAATGGCGTTCCAATGACAACATAGCTGCCGCCGTCGTCTGCCATGGCTCCAGCCGGGATGTTCAGCAATCAGCCAAGTAGTCTCGTTCAAATCATGTCGAAGTTCCTACAGTACATTGCAGCAGTGTACAATACAGTGTACTGTACTGTACAGTAAAGTACGTACTGTACAGTACATTGTACAGTACCGTGACGATCAGTGGTACAGTGTACAGTACTGTATGGTGTACTGCACACTGTACACTGTGCAGCATAGTGCAGTGCAGTGTCCTTAAGGTTAGGTTAATAAAAGTCAACCCGAAACCCGATTTAAAGCTGACTCGAGAGAGGGATTCGGGTTAAGTAGTTCTGCACTGATACCCTGCTTGTACATTATAGCGATTGCACTCATTTCGGGTTAGAAAATCAAGAATTTGATCGGGTTTGATCGGGTTTGATCGGGTTCGGGTTGGGTTTTTACTCCATTTTTGGAGTACAGCATAGCATTAATTCTGAAAGCCTATGGTGTAATGTACCGTACGGTATACTGTACACGCGTATACAGTACAGTACAGTACAGTACAGTACGCCTACAGTATGATGACTTCTACTAAAGGTACAGTATGAATGCATAGCTGCAGCTGTACAGTACTACAGTATACTGTACAGTACTGTACCGTACTACTGCTACAGTACTAGACTGTACACTGTACAGTATGTACAGTAAGCATCGAACTTTCGGTACTGCACTGCACATTCTTAAGTTAATCTGTTCAATAATATTCTCACAAATTGACTAGAGCTATCTATTCCAACAGGGACTACTATACTAAAGAAAAAGAAAAAGACGATATTAAATGGTTTGACATGTGCGTACAGCCAGCAACCAAAAGACTTAAAGAGTGTTGACATTTGATAAATATTATTGGCATTCATTGAAAACTTGCTCGACTGTAATTGTTGATATCATATACAGTAAAGATGGCTAATATGGAAGCATTAAGCAAGCGTTTAGACACTTATTACGTTGCAAGTAGGTGTAAAACTGTATCCGTGGCTTATGTTGATGATAGCGTTAGTAGGACTCATAATTTCTATATTATATACGTGTATCTTAGTTAAGAAACTGATCCTAAAATATCAAAGCCCTTCTATTGGATTATTTCCTTTGGATACAAATATAAAGGGTCCTGATTCACTTTGTGGTCATGTTAGAGATAATATTTATTGTGCTGCAGCTATCTGGTCTCTATCCTTGGCTTATAGGTCTGATGTACTACTGTACACTGTATCACAAATTCAATGATAGCGGATGATAATGGTCAGATCAATCTCTCTTGTATTTGCTTGATGCTAGTTTTCATCAAGAATAAACGAATTAGGATTGTTTTCTCCAGTCATATTCATTGTAATAGAATTACTCTCCTTGCCTAAAGTTATTACCTGTAATCATCATAATTTCCTTGCCTGTTGTAGTGTATCTCATACCTAATAGTGAATTTAATTATTACTATGTAGGAAATTAGATGATGATCGCGGTAGAACTTATGAATTGCAACAAAGTGCGGTAAAATGCATGAGAGGAATCTTATTCTGCTACTTGCGTCAAACTGATAGGGTATGAGAAGATCTGAAGTTATAACGTAATATCGCATTAATTGATGTGCAAATTATACTGCTCAATACTGCTCTATTACAAATATGTAATGTCTAAATACGATGATGGTGTCCCTGATGGCGATGAATAATTCGAAAGTGAAAATAATTACGACTTATTTTACTATTTCTTAACAGCTACAGAATGATTATTTGCATTTTTTTACTTCTTAGTATCGTAAACTGATGCATCAGGACATTTCGTTTACATCATTAGCTTAATAATTTCCATATTAACTTCAACTAATACTTCACATTTTAATAGATGGAGAAATTTAAGAGAACCCAATCATGGCAAGATTCTCTTTATAGTACCTACCATATCGTCACTGGGGACCCTATAGGTGATATTGCAGGTCAATTAGAAGTAAGTTATACCTTAATGCATCCGAAAGATATAATTATTTATTTAATTGATAAGTAATTGTTATTTGCTTGACTAATCACTGCAGTATTACAATCTTGTATAATCTTTTAAGCGTACACCATTTATTGATAATATTATATCATAGCATAGTTAATTGATTGATCTTTTGGATTTGCTTATATCTTGACAGATCGACGCTGTTGCCTTATACATGTTGTATTTAGTTCAGATGATAGGTTCAGGTTTACAGGTACTGTACTTCACTTATTTTTAATCCTATTATTCTAATTTTAAATCAACTATTTTCAGTTATTTTAAATCTTAAATTTATGATAAATTGAATTATGTTCGCAGGTTGTTTATACTAGCGATGAGGTAGATCTAATTCAAAATCTTGTATATTATATTGAACGAGCTTATCGGACTCCCGACTACGGCATGCATCATACTGATAATAAAAAAGATGCTAATAGAGAACTACGCGCAAGGTACCTCTAAGCGATTACACTATAGCAACGAAATAAAATATGCTGTAGAATGCATACGCGTATGTATGAAGTGTTAAACGAAGATAGCCTTAACCCTAAAGTAACCACTATTGTACTACATTTCTATATAGTTCGATTGGGATGGTTTTGGCTGCATTACATGCTATTAATGGATTCAACGTTTTTGGACCAGCGGTATCATTTCATTAAATTTAGATTTTGCATGCATCCTTTTTTAAATCCCTATATACATTTTAGAATTACGATGCGTACTTAATTTGTTTCATTTTTTTCAGTAATCTTGTAATAGTACATGTTTCTATAATAACTAAGCATGTGATGATGCGATTTTTTACATCAGGGAACTTCGTCGTCAGTTATTTATGTCGACCCTGATGCGTATCACCGAAATAATACTATCTTTCACACTCTTCTGCCTAGGGAATCAAGTACTAGAGTAAGCAAGTACCTCAACAAAGCATATCAATATTCCATCCTTATAATATTTCTATGGTGTACTTATATTAAAGAATTCATTAGTGTTGTTACTGTAAATGTTTGATTAGGATACTGATGCTGCTCTATTAGCTAGCGTTGGCTATCCAGCGTTTGCAGTGACTGATGAAGAACTCCAATTAAAGACTAAAGCGGTCATTTTAAATAAATTAATGGTAAGATTCACCGAATTAATTAATTATTACTCTAGTTAATATTTTTGATTCAGATTTACCCGGTGTATATACGCTTCCTGGAACGCTTAATTCCGAAGATAAATACATTTTAATTGTATTCTTAGGGATCCTATGGTTTAAAACGTTTCGTCAATGATTCTTATCATGTACCAGTTGTAGATTGTATCGATGACGGCTATACCCTAACTCAGGTAAGAACAATTTCATGCTGGGGTTTCTGATGGACCTATTAACAATATATACAGTATACAGTAGAATATACAAATACACGTACGTCATATTGCAGTCTTCTCTCATTCTATTATGTCTTGTTATTTTGGATAAATAAATAGCGATCTAAAAACTTGGAATGTGAATGGCCAATATACCTCATATTTCTATCGTTAGACGGTAATTTTGATCAATATTATGTATAACAGCCCTTAATTGATTTTCTTTAGTGCTTATCAGAACTACAGTAATTAACTTCTGCGGTGTTTATATAGTATCACTAAAGAGCTAATCATTTTCTCATATCATTAGCAATCTTTAACGGTGATGAAGAAAAATCTCAAAAATATCGTGACCGTCTGAAAGATCTTATATATATGAGCGATGGAAGTTAGTTTCGTACAAATGTTGTGCGAAATTATTTAAATTAAATTAAATATATGGTATTCTGAATAATATCTCTTTTAATCCATCACAGCGGAAATAGTTCCAGAATTTTACTATGTACCAAAGCATTATGTCCATTCTGAGCGAGTGAATCCTAAATCCCAGACTAAAAAGATATGTGGTAGCAGATATCCGGGTAGTTTGTTTTTACAGGGGCAGTCTCTTTATTACATACAACAATTGTTAGGTATGTTTAAAGAAGCTCATTCTGTTGCGAATTGATGTTAGAATACCTAAGTAACTTGAGCGGTATTGTTAATGAGATAGTTGATGAACTGATTACCGTGGATGATATTGATGTTATTGGCCGTCATTCACCTTCCTCTTTATGGCGTCAGTATAGTTCTAAAGGCGGCGGCTCTTTTAAAGTAATATATGGAATAAAATTTTCAGAATATTTAAGAATTAAATCCTAGTTTCTCTCATTTGAACAATTCGCAATTTTTATATTTCCAGATTCAAACTTCACCTGTAGTAGTACAAATTGCATTAATAACAGAGAGTCGAACGTGAGGAATATATTTAATATTTTGAGAATAAGAACGTGATCTTTCATCTTAAGATTAATTTTAATACCACTGTAGCCTACAGTCTTTGCTCGCAACATATGGAATTGATACTCAGACGAGAGAGCAAGTAGAACCAGTGCAAATCTGGACTCCTAATGAATTAATCACGGTATTGCGATATAGGGATTTATTATAATCCCATCAAGAGATTGAATTATGATGCACCTTTAAAACTTTATAGAGATTCGAGCAACTGGGATATAATAAAAAACTTGGCTTAAACGGGAGACCAAAGCGTCCCATGGGACCATTAGGAACCAGCAAGGTAATATTTGTTACATTTATAATAATTGATTAATTAGGTAATCAGACGAGGGTTCACCAACTGTATAATACCATAATTGATAGAGACCTAGTTGTGTTGAATAAACTACGGCAATTATAAAGTGGCAGTTTCTAATCTAACTTAATTACATTGTATCGGATGATTATGGTATTGATAATTATATAATTAGTCATACATTGAAACATATTAACGTTGATGTTAGGTCTATCGTCTGCATGGTATTCCGATTATATCCTATCCTTTGATGTTGGATCAGACAGACTTTTATATGTCATTGGACTCTTCTGTTTTTATAAATAATTTGAAGGTATGCGTCTCTATTGTATTTGTATTAAAGCGAAAAATATAATGCGTTTCAAGTTCGATTATAACTATCACTTTCTTGCAATGCCAGTGACATTAAGTAGATATACTGATTTAGGTACTAATGCTACTGAACTAAAGGCTGACCATGCATGTTCGTCATGGAAAGACTCACATTATCTTAATGTTTTTATTTCAATATTTCGTTAGAATGGCCTAAAATTTATTCATGATAACTGGAATATGACCGGGAGGCCAACTGTTTGTGTATTTCTCAGAGATTTTAATGTCAGGTGGACAACCCTACTCAAATTCTTTTTAGTATAGCCTTAATTCATATATCTTTAGACCGTGAAATCATATCCTTTGCTGATTATAAGATTTTAATCATAGTATAAATGAAAGAAAGTATAACGAAATAGGCATGCCCGTATACTCCAGATTCATCCTCATTGTTGTTGTTTTTCGAAAATTAACGCTAAATAGGAGAAGCCATTTCAGGGAAATATTTGATCTAATCTACACACTAAAGACAGGAGAATGTAATGGCGTTAGAATAAGACTGGGAAAATTGCAGGTATTTACACATACAGTATATACTGTACTAGCTGATATTGTTCATGAGGCAATTAGGTGTCATAGTTACTGATAATTTCACATTCTAAATTATTCCCTGTAAATCTGCTTATATTATAAGGTATTATTGTCATCGGGGTGTACTGCAAGCTTAGATTTTGTTAAAGAAGACATCAACAAAATGTGAGTTATTTTCGTTGGTACTTCAACCAATGACAAATCCAGTCGAATTCCTTTACACGTACTTTTCATCAAGCCTGTTCATATTTTTGTAGTTTATTGCCACAAATAAAACGAAGAGATACTCGTGAGATTCTATCGCCAAGGGAGATTAGAAGTTTTTCAATGACAACCAAGAAAATTTTATCTTTAGAAGAAGTCACGGAGGAAGAAATTGATGAAGAACAACTGAAATCATTGTCGTATGGAGACTTAGAGAAAGGATTTAAGGCAAATTTTTAATTTTATAGTTCGTAATGGCAATTTACTTAGCTTTGTAATATTCGGTTTTATATAGGAGACTGATAATTTATTAAAGAAAATGACAATATTAAATATCCTTCTTAAAGATCATGGACCTGGGCATTATTTCATTGACGGTCAGCTATACTAACTTGACAATAAAAGGTTAACAGTGCTATTTACATGGAATATTTTTGTAATTTGCACAGGAAATATCCTGGATTGTGTTAACTCTGTCTATTCAACAGCTTGCAGCGTGTTAGCATGGTAAGATTTACAGATAACTGACATTTAAATATTATAGCCTGCTCATTCACTTATCATTCCATCAAGTTACAAAGTATTTCAGTTCGCCCAACAAATTTGTTTTTTTCTCATTTCCTACATTAGGTCAGCCATACGATACGGAGCAAGTCTGCTAAATAAAGTAGTGGATAGTTTAGCTCCATCTATCACTACAATGTTAGTTAAAGGAAAGCAGGTACAGTAATTTAAATTTATTTCTAACCACAATTGTAGTATACACCTGTAACTGCCCTACTTATGCTACTGATCGTAACAATACCTTCCTTTTTAGGTTACCTTAGGTATATTTGGTCACGAGGAAGTTGTTGTCTCTAGCCCTTTAACGCCCGCTGAGATTAAGGTACTTTAGGTCGATTTTCATTGTATACATAACTTTTATTTTAAGATGCATTATTCTTTTGCAGTTAATTTTATATAGCAAGTGCGTTAGTTATAATGTAAGAGAAGCCGTATTGCAGCAGGAGGTAATGATGGTCAAGCATAACATAAATTACCTTAGAAACTGCAATATATTAACATAATACTTCTGAATAATTAATCAATGCATATATTTTTACTGACAATATTAGTTAGTAATATTTTTGGCGGACTTAATATTGTCTTCCTCTCATCTTTTTACCGGGATGCTGCGACTGCGAATTGGGTATTAACTCCTTCGTTTGAATTTAACGCTACCAATTTGTCGGAGAGTTTAATATGCTACATGTTCGCAAATTATATTTCAGTTGGATTATTCAAGCGATGAGAGAAATGATGAAATTGATTCTAAACTCAGACAAGGTTATCGCAGGATTAATACAGCTACTACCTCTAACTCATTTCATACTAAATACAGTTTCGTAATCATAACTTTTTCTTTCGGTCTTGATGTCAGTGTGTTGAAAGTTTATCCCCAAGTATGATTAGAAAATTGCTGATTCAATTATTATCCTCCGAATTTCATGAATTACCAGAAGTTAAATCTGAAAAGTAGGGGATTTTTTTTAAAGTACTTCGAATTAAAATTAATAAGATACTGTTTACATCACGAAGTTCTTGCAAGAACTGAATATAAATATCTTTAAATGGTTGCGTAGGAGATGGCTTTATCATCGGATTTTAGTTGGAGCTATAAACCGAGTTCCCAAAAATTTTTATGAAAATGGTAAACATTCATCAACTTTGCAATTTAGTAATATTCACAGATAATTACCAAACTTTTTCTTCCATCATATAGTATGGAATGTATTATATAAAGCACCAGATGGTATTTGCGTATCAGGAAAGGTTCTACCACGGGTAAAATTAATTGCCGATACCAACGCAGTTACTTTCAATCACCAACAATCTAATTAAAAGTAGCATTTATTCTTAAATTAACTATTCAAAGATTTGCCTTATTAATATGAACTTCATTAATTATTACTTTAAGTCTCCAACCATAAAGGAGATGACATGCCGTGGAATGGGGTTTGCACTAAGAGTTGAAGAGATGCTTTCTGGGATTTCTAAACCGCAATATCGGCAGATTGCAGTTGAAGTAATATATTTTATATATCTGGCTAAATAATAATTGCTAAAACTTGATAAAAACGATTGATTCCTATGTATTTGCTAGTTATTAACTGTCATTGCTACCATCGCGGAACGAAATCCTGAACTACATTTTCAAGAAGTTATTAATCTAAATAAGGTAGATGTTTCAATGGCATGTTACTATACGGAGAACTTGCTTTTAATAGACGCTTATTTCGTTCTCATAGATTGTAATGAATGCTATTGAATTATTTATTGCCTCAAATCCGAATTATGAAGGACTTACACTGGAGGTTAAATTAATTATATAAACACTTTCAGGACATAAATATATCTGCTTTAACGTAACGATTGAACAGATGTATAATACTCTATATGCATATACTTTATAGGAACAAGAAGATCACTTCTTCAGCTCAAGTCCGTGTGATAAAAATAGTACGACAACTTTTTTAGCTAGAGCCGTTGTAAATCAATTATTAGAAGGTTGTATTACCGTGACTGAACAGTCTCCTTGCAGCATTACCTGAAAATATGATGAGACTAACATTCGTTACGGCACCTTTTTTTTAAATTTATACAAAACGTGAATATTTAAATAAACGATTTTGGGTATTCTGTACAATGAACACAATGATTAAAGATAATGTTAAAATTTTAAAATGTCATGGAGCGTTACTGAAAGCGTATGTATCAAATTCATCACTAGTGAGTGCTAGTCTCAAATTAGCATTGTAATATAGGAGAGATATTTTATAATGAATTTGTATCTGCCTTTTAAGAGAAATGTGCATGATGTTCTAGCAAATTAATTTATCGGTATTGATTGCTACTTCGAAACGATCACTCATAATAAATCGCTTAAGTATAGATAGCATTTACGTATTAATGCTTTTTTGGAAAATATTAGCTTCTTATTATATCGAGGTATAATTGATATAATTTGTAGAAACAAATATAATAATTCAAGGGCTATAATAAATATTTGAACTTCTTAAAATAATGGTTATTTCGATAGCTTAAAACTAGTTCTAACTTATAAAAAATATCAAACAGTCGCTAATTTCAATTTTACTACGCGAAACTGAAGTAAATTGGCATCAAAAGAAACGGTTACTAGCATTTCAATTCGAATTACCCAGAACAAGTGCATAAGGCACCGTAGCATAGCCCCAATTATATCTAAGACTAAGATTGTTGGATTGCATGAAAGTAGATAAAATGTGAGATTGTAAGTTTATATAAATGTCTATTTGTAGATGGTACGTATTGTAGCAAGTGTGTGAGTAATGTAAAGGTTGTATTGTGACGCTTTAATTAGAAACGCGATTTATGAATTGATTGGCGCGATAGTAAATTTTGATCTGATTTGTGACTTAATTGGCAAGATATGATTATATTGAAGGAAAATCAATCTGTAACTGATTGTATATTTATCGTGAATATTGCTATAATAATTTAGATACTCTATAGAGATAAGTCTGCTTGCAACTAGATAACCCTTGGTAGTCATAAGACGAACCTAACTTGCGTAACAATGTGAAGTTTATAAGAAACTGCAGTTCTTGTTTTCTTATCGAGAAGACACTTTATCATGGTTACACACACAGCATTGTAATATCATCGATCACGAAATTCCAAAATTCGTAGAAAATTAGAACTTTAATTAGATCTTTATTCAAAGATAATCTACACACAGCTCTACTCTAGTCGAATACAGCTGCTAGAAGGACTTCCAGGCTAAACTACTGAAATAATCTAAAGTTGTCTGCTTAAGTACTCTTCGTAGTATTTGCAGCTACAATTCACATAGTAACTAACATTCTACCTTATTTTATAGTTATGCAGATTACTAATAGTAACGACATTTATAGCGGACAATCTATAGTCTAATATGGTAACTGTTTCAGTATTTATATAGACGTTATTTCTATTAGCCAAAGAACAATGAACTAAACATATCGTAATATATGAATTACATATCTATCTTTACCTCTAGTATCAATAGTGATTCAACACCATACTATATGTAGTCATCTGTATTTTGACATAGAATCTTCAATTACAGTCTATGGCTATGAGCTACTAAATAAGGCTTATGAGAAATATAGAAAGCTATTATAACGTAAATCATACTAAACATGGCTAATAGTCTACAATCCAATACTAACAGTAAGTTTCTATACTAGGCAAGAAATATTTTTGTTTAGTAATCCTTGAAGTATGTAACTTACTTACAGTTAATAGATTACTAGTGCAAACTCCCGTCGCTTTGCTGACGGCTTACGATAATGTGCTCATTTAACAGATAGTATTACCATTTGATAGACCTGTCAGATATGTATATGTGTATTAATGGCAAATAGCTGCGACTGCTTAGCCTCTAGAATTATTGCAAATTTTTAAAAGTGTATTATAGCCATGGTCGGATAGTAAAAAATTCTTTACCGTTTCTGTTTATAAACACATTGAATATCGTAAATTAATCTGTTAAAGCAATAACATTAGATCGTACGTACTTATTGATGAAAATTTTAGTTGACTACTTACCTATACTGACAAATTCGTATTTCTGACGTAGGTACATATAAAATGCTTTTATAGGTTCGTTAGATAGTTGAGGATAAAGTCGTAATATAACTGAACGAAAATCTTCTTCGCTAAGATTTGAGTCATAACGCTGGACAAGCATAGTCTTGATGTATTAAAATTATTTCATTACATGTATATCATTTTTTATAAGTCATGTATATTAAATAGAAATTAGACATAGCGGAGTATTTAGCCAAGTTAATTTACCTGTCCCATATGAGTAACGATATTCTTTAATTGATCGGAATCCTTTAAAATTGTAATACCAATTAAATACTCTCTAAAGTCAAGATAGCCATCCTCATCCTGCATTAAGTCAATAAACCAATGGAGAACGTGATTCGATGAATGTTATCTAGCCTCTCTATTGATTTGCTTTATGATAATTTGATTAAAAGGAAAATACAGTGATAATAAAATGATAAAACGAAAGTGCATAGCTGAAGTCAAGATTGCCATGGTCATTATGAAATAAATTAATCGGCTATTACTTAATAGGAACTTAATCCAATTAATTTTCTAGCTACTATTCACTGATTTAATTAACACGATATAATTCAGGTAAAGAAAGGCCTATTACATGAAAAATAAAGACTAAAGCAGACAGAAAGTTTACTTACCATGTCCAGTAAAGCAAATACTCCTTCTAGATCGCTGGTGTTAACGTTTAAGAATGAGGCAAGATCTTGAATAGTAACCTTGCCACTCTTACATGTATTAATCACCGAAAATATTTTCAGGTGATTCTTGATGATAGGATAATTTAGTCTATCCACATTAAGAAATTATAAAAATAGTATAAACATCGAATTCGATAATGTAACGCTTAACTGCTAATTCAAGTTTCAATAAAGTTAAGGATAATATAATTAATCGTGATAAAGTTATTTTTTCAAATATTACCCAAGTTCTACATTAATTTTCCTGTATTCGATTATACCGCATTCTAACGGTAAATTAGTTTTACTAGCTTCTACCATTAAGCAACAGTCTTCATAGGTATGTTCAGTGGTAGGCATCGAAAGAAAACTAATACAGAACATATTCATAATACAGCTCTGCCAAATGATCCTCAATACAAATCATGACGCTTAAAACCTATAGATTTAATACACAATCTAAAATGTATGCAAGTACTGGAAACTTACTCTGAAAATAATTTTCTAACATTATCGGCATAAATTCGTGGATTCTTCTTTTCCTATTTCGATCAGATTATTCTTTTATTAATAAAAATCAATTATTACGTTAGATTACAAACTGTTAATGCTTATATTATTATTATTATCGAAGATAACAGTACAGGTTACATACTCTTATGAGTTCTTAAGAACGGTTATTAATAAACTGTCGAGACATTAAGTGCTACTAATACATTCTTACTTCTTCGGTAGGATGATAAACCGGCAAAATCTACAAAAAATTGAGAACGATGAATATATATATATATAAAAGTGATGTAAGTAAATCAAATATTGACAAATATATCAAAAAAACTCACATCAACGATTGCTTCATGTCGAAATTGACAGACACAATGGATTAACAACATCAGTCTAAAATAAAATTACGTTACATCAAAGTTAATAATGATAAGCAGAGCTAATGGATGCGATATAATTTCTAGCTAAGATTGTGCTTACGGTCCAGGTCCATCAGCTACCCAAGAATAAGTATCCTGAAAGGATTATGGGCATAAATGAATTTATTCAACGTAACTAGTGGCAGAAGGATAGTCGAACATTTGCTGAAAGTATTGCAGCATATTTTACCACTTTATTCAAAAATCGAACAGCTACTAGTTGAATTGGAACACCAGGAATAAAAGCACCTAAAAATGAATAGAAATTTCCGAATTTATTGGCTATGATAAGCCAGTGTAATTTTGATATCTCGTAGTTGCTAGTTTCTTAGAATAATAAGCATATCAAGCATAATCTTCCGTATACAGTGGTTTCGATTGTCTTTCAGATATTGCTAACTTAACCCACTTACCTGCCTTGAAATGCACTAAACTTTTTCGATTTGTACCTGTACCTGTAATACGAGTAAGGTAAGAGGTAATTTCAAATAGAAAATTGATTAAATTTTATTTGTTTTACAAAGTTATACTACGAAAATAATAGTTCTAAAATCTATTCGGAAAATACAGGCATCTTTTCAACTTTGCTTTTATATTCGCTATATTTGGCCGTTGTTGTATAATAAATTATCTAAATTTAATTTGGTATTGACTGTTTTGCTTTATAAGTTTATTTCAAATAACTGCACTACAAAGTTTGCTACTTTGGTGTCTGGATTACCTTCTGGAAAAATCATCATTTGAGGCCAATCATATTCAGTATCTGTGCTACGTTTAAGAATTTCGTCGATGGTCTGTTGATGTGATTTAGGGTTCATTCGTGATACAAAAATTGTTTCCATCATAATAAGAGTAGCTTAATGTGTAAGAGGTAAAACAGATATTATAAATGAATAAACTTGGTTGTAACACAAACGTAGAGTGGAAAACATAATTTCTGTTGTTTTTCAAGCTTAATATATATTATATATCGATATACTAGCAGTAATCTGAATTAAAAGATACTTATTAGCTAATTCATATTATATTCACGTTAAATGAGCTATTTTAAATCGAGTAACAACTGCCGATTTCTTATATGGATTACTCACGCCCTAGTATGGGTGCACTCTTATTTTCGACTCGTGATAATCCCGACAGTGGACGTAGTGAATCCATAAACAACATGTCCTGAAATGAAGAATGAGGAGCAATAACGATAATAGGTGCTTGTTGCCGATCAGCTAGCTTTCCATTAACTTTTATCTTATAAAATCCTATTACGAAGAGAATCGATCTCGCAACTTGGCAGTAAAAAAAATCTTTAAATGTCCTAGATTGAGGAATTTTTAGGAAGTGATACAAAAATTTAGTTATGAAATTCAGCAAATATCTTGACAAATCCGTATAATGGCATGAAATTGCTATCGATTGGAAGAAAATTAGATAACTTTGGTCTGGCTTGTACGGTAGTACAGTATGTGGCAATTGAAAAAATCAAAATATTGATCGAGAATGTTATCTACTAAATTTGCAATACAGTATGTGGTTCGGCTAGTCATTTCATAATTTATAATAGGCTATACAACATTTTCATATAAATAATTCTAAGTTACCATTGATAATGCAATGGGATAATTTTATATGAAGGAGATGCGGCATCCCGTAAAGTACTAAAATGTCGAGTTGAGATTGCTCGATCATTCTAATTTAGTGTTTCCAACCGATGCTACCTCCAGCACTGTCTGGAAATCTTGTTTAAGGTATTATTGCAGTCTGCATTGTACAATGTACAGTATTTTATTCTATATGATTCAATCATATGTAGTTAGCTACTGAAGTTTTATATTGCAGTGAGACATATTGACTAGGAATTCAAAGCTTAGACCATTTTTATAAGCCTTACAATATGAAAATGCAGGCTTATAATTTATTGGAAGCATAAACAGTATTACTCAATTTTATTAGATTAGAAATTACCGTCTCCATCCTATTAGTGGTGCTTTCTCCGTATTTTTGCCTCTGTTATAGAGTACTATAGAACTCATTATTCCGGCGAAGCAGAGGATTATCAATATCAAAATCAAGCGTATAGGGCCTAGAAAAATTCCTGTCAAAATAAACTAAGGACATAATGATAATTCAGTTGGTTAAGAAAAATTATGTTACTGCACTACAATACTTGCAACGAATGAATTCTCACGATTGATGTAATGTGTTATATAAGCCTATATTATTCCATAAAGCATATAAACGTTACAGAATTTAAGAGTTATAGAAGACAATATAGAGAGAATGCAGATGATACAGTACGTATGCTGTGCATTCATCATATAGTGTAGTGCTAAATTAAGTCTTTAATTTTTAAAGCATTTACTTTAAATTTAGCTAAAGTTTCACAAATACACTACAACCTTGAGCAGGTCTAATTTTTACTGCATCATTAAGTTATTTCTTTCTTTGATATTTCTAATACAAACCATCAGTCACTAGTAAGTGTACCGTCAGTTCAACCAGTATATAAGTCAAGCTGAAATAGTGGTCTATTATTACCCAGCGCCAGCAGGCAGGACTACGAAAGACTACTTAAATGTATGAATGAATAAATTAATGAATTAACAGTAGTGGACAGCATCAACGGATATCATCTCGATATTATAAACACGATTTTATAAAGATTTTCATTTACATCCTCTATGCTGACTGTGATAAATACCGATCACGAAATTCCAAATTTTAGAAAAATAAGGGCTTTATTGAATCTTATACAAAGATTAACTCCACATAGCTCTACTCTAGCCAAATACTACTACTAAAGACTTCTAGAACGAACTAACAGAATAATCTAAAGTTGCATGCTTTTATACTTTTCGTAACATTCGCAGCTACAATCCGCACGGCAACCTTTTACCTTATTTTACACGTAGTTAAATTATTCTTAGTAGCACTATTTTACTGCGGACCATCATTAATCCGATAGGGATACGACTACAGTATTTACGTAGACATTATTCACACCAGCCAAAGTACAATGAATTAACCATATCCTAATACATGATTTACGATTCTATTTTAAACATGGCTAACAGTCTACAATTACAATACTAAGTTACATTACACTGACATATACTGTAAATATGCCCTAACTCTAGAAGAACTACTGCGATATACACATCAGAAATAAAGTAGATTCTATCATCCGTTCTAGGTTACGTCATTTCATTCAATCTGTACTAGCTGAATAATTGTCAGGATATTTTGCCTAAATTTAAAATTTTTCGTTTTAATTGTTGATAACTTCTTTTGATTTAAAAATGTAAAATATTATCTTGTAGATGCTAAGGCAAAAAGAGTTTGTCCACAAATGCGAAAGCAGTTAGTAAGAAAAATTAACTCGTTGCCTTTCCAACACAAACTCCGAGATATACACTAATAAATTCACGGACACGTAAGATGAAGACAAAGCTATTGGGTAATTAATTGATGTATCTGTCGTACAATTTTGGTTGAGGCAATTGAGAGCAAGAAAACAAAAATTTCGTAATATGATTGATATCTAGGAATTATGAACAATTTAAGGCATGACACTAACGATTTGATTCATAGAATTAAAGTGTTACAGATGCAATGTTACAATTGCAGTAATAGGTACTCCATGGATACAGTACTCTTTTAACTCAGCGAAAAATTTCGCCGAGGCTATTCAATTAAACTACACGAGTATGCTATTGAAGTCAATTCAATTTTTTCATAGTACCTCTATTTTCTGTGCCAGAGTCAAATTCTTGAATCCACCGTAATTGAATGGATTACGGACTATTGGTCGAGATAGGCTTTTTGGGGGGCCCATGATTCGATTTGAAATGATCTATATAGTAATCTAGTTAGAAGTACAATTATTTCAGCCTATCCTTCCAATTGGATCTCAGTCTAATATTCAATTCGTAGCTATTCTACCTCTACTGATAACTTTTAGATAATGACAGTAGATAATTAATATGTTATGGCTTCATTTTAGAAAATACCCTACACACGCAACATGCAAGCTCTTATGAGACTGTAGTCGCTCAATCAGATATTTATGGAATACGCATGTCAAGACCGAGGTTGTGACACATGGAGATAATGTGAAATGTTGATATTGTACCTTCATTGACGCAGTAAAATTACTTCGCAACTTAAATATTACAGTAAGTAGAAACACTCTTCAAATATTAGCACTAGTCTACCTTTTATCCTACAGGCAACTTTATGATCAACGTGTATACTATGCTACTGCATTGTACTGTTGGCCTTTTTTACCTCTATTTATACAGTTAACTCGTAGAAATTAAACTGTACTACCTTAAATGTTTTGATAGATAGATATGATGGCCGAGTAATAGTCTCCTGCTATTACTATTAACCACTTTCTGTATCACTATAATTAGCTGAGGCCATTACAATAGATCAACACTTCAAACGGTGATTATTGCTGAAAGACTATCGAATTTGTTCATTGAAATCTTCCTTACAAATCTACCATCAGCATTGCTTTTACCATTCTAATAACCTATCAGTCGATTTGATCCAGTATTGATCGAATTTTACATCAATTAAGTAAACGATCCGATTAGATGCGGTAATGATTTTATTAACATAGAACAGAGTTGATTATCGTTAGAATAAAAGTCTATTAATTATTCCTATTATACCGACTGGCCGGCTATAGGAATTTAATACTAACCAGTCTAACGTCTAAAGCACCCCGTGGGGAGTTGGGCTTTTTGCACAAACCCGTGTGTTACTACTCAATGTAGAAATTAGAAATTTCTCTATATAGTACTAGATTGCACCAAATTGAAGCAATAAAAAGCACTGAGCAGGCACAAATAACATAGCAGCAATAGGTGACGGTGCAGAGTTTAGCAGTTTAGAGGTTACGATTTTTTTATTAAAGTTCTTTCGCAGTATTAATGTCGATAAGGACCATCTACATTGTACTGTGTGTATGAACTATGTAAAAGTTACAGAACCTACAATACAGCGATGTGAATTTACTAACGAATTTACTGAAGAACAGCACGCAGCGGCAGTACATCCTTGAGGGCTTACGGTAGCCGTACGGAGTGGTATAATATTATATTTATTTATTTTAATTGAAATACAGCTTTTCGCTAAAGTTGTTATGTAGATATTTAAATTAAGAGTATACTGTGTTAATTTTATTCTCCTCGATATCTACGGTGCTGTTTCCATCGTCAGGTTTACCTGCGTTACTATTTCTTCCTATATTCCATAAACTTCAGGACAGCGAGACATACGTATACAGTACTGTGTTGACTCGAAAGTTTCCCATTTAGAGCTAAACCTCTACGTCAGTGTTGATACACAGCTGTGTTCCTGAACAGAGGAAAGCAGTTTTGCCCTTGGTGTAGAGTAATTGGTTACAGTTACGAGGATAATGTGTTTAATTTCAGTTTCGCTGAGAATACCGCCAGTAGTTGCAGCGAGGTAAGAGACAGTCAAGCAATCACATACGGTAGGATTGTATCCAATACATTTATTTATAATGGAAATACGTGTTTTGTAAAGATTATTATATAAATTTCAAACATTTCTTTTCTATTACTTTTCTATCTTACAAGTCGACTTGACAACTGTACAATAATATACAGAATAGTAACTGACACAATGTGTGAAACTTTGACTCGAATTAATATCTTTGAAGAACATTTATATACTACTGTATTACATATAAATACAGTTATAGTAAAAAGCGGCGGTCAGGATGTATATGTGTGTAATCAAATATAAAATATCACAATCATAATAAAAATTTCTTACTGAATGATAATAATTGTGGCTATCAAATAAATTTTGTTGAAATTAAAATTTCAAATTGCTAAAATCATAAATATCAGCTATTTGTCTCTAAATGTTAATTATGTACAACTTTAAGAATATCCATCAAGTCCGTAAGTTAAGATATATTTCATCTTCTAATTCTATGGTTACATTGCATCAAAGTGAAAGCGATGAGAATTTTCCCTTTTTTCCTTTTCATCCATTTTCTATTTGAATTAATGCCCGTAAAGGAGTTACACATGAGTAGTAATATAACGAAAAGAGTGTAGGAAATGTAAAGCATAATTATTTAGATCAATGAGCTTATATGACTCCTACGTCTTCGAAATTATAAATTCACTTTGTTAAGTAAAATTTAAAGTTTAAATCATTGATAAAATTACGAAAACAAAATTACCTTTTCTTTCCAGTGCAATATCCCAATTATAGCCGATATAACAAAGCAAATACCAATCAAGATCAACGCAGTCAACAATACAAGCTTACTAGGAGTTAGAAGAAGCTTATAGGGCCATCTAGTTGGTAAATGATGATTAATAAGGCAATCCAATCTACTGCAAATATTAATAGACGACGTAACATCAATTGCTTACTTTTTAGGAACAGCAGGTGGTTGTGGAATGACAATTAGTTGAGAATTTGGTATGATGGAAGACCATGTATGTTCTCTTTTCTAAACAGAATATTAACCAGATACAGTAAAACATAAAGGAAGGCGAGCAAATTAGCTAATTAATTACATGAAGAGTACAATACTGTTGACTAAAACAACATTTGCTGAATAGATGACAGTATCATAATGCTAAAGCAGATTAATTAAAACCTAACTACAAAAAAAAAATGCATGCATATTTATAGCCTACCTGTGCTGAATTTCTAGGTAGCGACACTGACAAGTAATCAACAAAATTTGGTGTCTGCCCGAGACCAAAGACAATAAATGGTAGCTGTAAAGCGGTATATGCTGTTTGACTTAATTGAGTAACTAAAGCAGCAAAGAAGCAAAGATAGGGTTCAGAATAATTCCATTACTAAGGAAGATTGTACGCATAACAGTTCACAAGATATTTCATTACCGCTGCCACGTATAATTTCTCCGCTAGCTTGGACAGTCTGATATTGTAGTGTGCAACTTGGCAAGTTTACTCCACATAGCTAATGGTAATAACCCAATGTACCCAATGGATACAAAGAATATTTGTGTTTTACTGGATCAGGGATCAATCAAGAGGCTACATAATTATTAAAAGTACGATTTATAACGTACTAACCTTACTATTTTTCGCAGATGGACAATATCCTCCAATAACTAATATGAAAAGAAAGAATGACATTCACAACTTAAGAAATTCTATCGTGCGAATTAATGAAAAGTTACAGAATAAAGAAGAAAATTCACCAGTGACTTTCAAAAACGTAGCATCCCCCGCAAAATCATTCTTAAACGCGTGCAACGAAAATTTGTTCGTATCTTTTGAGAATGAATTGACCAGAATATCCAAAATTCCCTATAAATTAAAGAAATTACAAAACGTAAGAATAAAACATACAAGTGGTAGTTTATAAAACTATCATTTAAGTTTAGCAACGTTAAATTTCGACTCACATCGCCATAAAGGTCATAAAATGTGGCAGTTACCGCCGTGTCGTTTATTTCAGTAAACTAGCGGGTAATATCGCAAAATTGAGTCAATGGTTTAAGTCAAAGAAATTTAAATTCTTTACTATGGGAACTTCGAAAATTTTAGATACCATAGAATTAACATTGACCGAAAATATTCTGCTATAGCTGTGGCATTTTTTGGAGTCAAAACAAGGAACATTTGTGAACAAGAATGTAGAAACATCCCTCGTACCGCTAAGAAATGATAGAATAAAGAAAACAAATAGTTTATAGCTAATCGCTAATATTATATCAATAACATTAGAAATAAAGTAAAAATTCATTTAATCGGCAATATTGCTAATAGATTGCATAAAGTCTTATATTACGATGTTGCCATTCATGTACGGTAAACTGAATTATAACAAGAAAACTGACCTGTCCTTATTTTCTAAAACAGCGATTGCATCGGGAAAGCCATCTAGATTGTAATCTCCTGCATTTCAGAAGGAAGTATCAGAAATACCATAAAAGATATTAAGAAGTTCGATATTCACTAACCAATTCTAAGGGTTATAGGCACTGATTTGCTGGGATTGTTGGAGTAGGAATCCGAAACAAAGCCAAAATTTTTCCCATTAATAACAAAATTGTCAAATACAAGATGCCACTATAGCAGATGAGGGTAAAATGTTAATTGAGGAAAAATGATTCTTTGTAAAGATTAAAATTTCCATAATAAGAGAATTAACCTTTTTAAGGCTATAAATATATATTTGACTAGATTTGCAGTAGCTATCAAGACAGACAGGTAAAACTTGATCTTGAATGCCGTCACCATCTAAAAATTTTTACCGTGCAAGTACTTTAAATAAAATTCTATCAGATTATAATACAATATCCATTTAAAATTGTCATATAATAGGCTGACCAAAGTCTGTAAAGGATGTTTGTCCAACCACAGATACTTTAGCAGTAGGCATCGATAATACAGTGTCTTGGGCAAATTTTCCATCCTTTGTGGAAGATGGGTATCGATAGACTAAATATTTTCACGATGTACAGCTGTCATACATAACAGAAAAGAGCATCCAACACCTACCTTATTTTGCCAAATTTCAAAACGGAATTCTTTATCATTATTCGGCAATGTGGTAGTTATGAATAAATCTACAACGATGACAAACGCATACAATAAACGAACAAAGCTAAAGTAACATTAATAGGGCGCTATCCATCCGATATTACAAGTTTCCACAAACCAGCAAAGTGGTCTTGATTTAAATCAACATAAGCATTAGAATTCGGAATTCTTATCGGATTTAATGCTGGTTTATTATTTACGGTGAAAGACTCCATTGATTGTTTCGTAAAGTTTCTGGGTTATTCAATCACGATTAAAGAAAGAGAGTATTATTAGAGACCGTCTCTTTAAGTCATAATGCAATGATAATATGCTACATTTGTACAGTCAATCTTAAAATAAAACAAGTTTATAGGGTACCTAAATGTTTTACGAACCTTTTATCATTCGCTATCCAGAAGTATCGATACCCAGAATCAAAATTAGCTTCAAAAATATCAGGGATTAGGTCGCCGTTAAGACTATAAAAAAATCATGAATAATTATTATCACCTTCCATAAAAGAAATTATTAGGCAATAATTATTTGTGATAGCTTTGAAATTATAACTGTTTTTAATATGCAAGTCACACAAATCCCATGGTAAGATACGACATTTAGTCCGAGTAAAGTTAATACATGCTTAATGAACTTTTGCATTACATCTCAAGATACGAAGAACAGAATTAAAATTTCGAAATAACCCAAACGCTCTTTGTTCTTAATAGCTACCATATGGGTTTGATACTGTAAATTTAACTTTGACGTATATCATATAAAATACGGTAATAATTGATTATTGCTAGTACAATCGTATTGTAAATTTGGGTATCAAGAAACATACAGTAATGTAGTGAGGATTGTAGGAATCGGTTATTCAAATTATATAGAGTTTATAGTAACTTCACTATCCTGTATAGGATGTCATATACATCTATTCTAGGATGTTATCTTGTAGCTTACTCCAACACCAGAGGTTGATCCCATAACTTATCTTCGAAGTTGATATCTTCCGCTATGAAAAAACGTAAAACAGGAACTTTAGATACTGTTGACAGTAAATTTTTTATAGCAACAATAAATTTACGTAAATTAAAATCTTTTCTGATAAGGTTGCTAAATTAAATGTGATTTAAGCTTAAAAATACCATATTTATAATAATGATGATTGTATTGGCGTATTATCAATTATAGAAATAGCACCAGTAATGAATCAACAGAATTAATAGTAGTACAAATTGAAACAGTTCATATATTACTGTAATGATTATCATTTACTGAATTTAATGGAGTTGCCCCAGTATAGTTTCATGTATGTTGGCAATTGCCCTTGAGCGTTTTTTGTACTTGATGTACTCTGATATGCGATTAATACATCCAAGTTTCCATCAGCATCATAGTCACCAGGAATAACCGCAGTAATGTATTGATCGCTATCCCTGTTACAGATACAATGGTATAAAAATGTAAGGTTTTAATTACGCCAGTAATTGTCATGTATTATATAAGTTGCTCAATGATTGCTGATATTGTAATGAAACATTAAAATCGATAACCATGTCATAACAATTGATTACATCGACAGTCGTGACATGATGATGGCATTGACATTCAATAATAAATTCCGTGGTGGGTAACCTACTTTGAGCGAGATTACTAACTTATAAGCAAATTATATAAGTACAGCACCGTAGTATACATGACGCACTATCACGGTATAAATACGTAATAGCACTTGATCGAGGCTATATGAATACAAAGGTAAATTGGTATGACTACCTTAAACCACTAGCGAGAATCTATTACAATTATACTGTACGTAATTTTCTTTGATAGTTTGTGGTATACTCGTATCGTGTATGGAAACATTAGTGTAAGTTACTATTTGGAAAATAAAAATGTGAGCTCTATTTATTACAGTAAAGCATAATGCCACCTTCAACGTTGAATAGGAAGACTCCATAATTGTCTTGCAGTTAATTAAAATTAATCATAATGAAGTGTAAACTTACATTTCAATCTCGGCTTTACCCTTGATAAATTTCAGGGCTTGGTGATCCCATAGCAGCACGCTTAACTGTTTGTCTAATCAGAACATGATACAAGATAAGAGTATGATTCCATTATTTATATTTACAGTAGAGTATGTACACATCAAGTTCGATGCTCGAGCTATTACTAAAAATAATTTCATAGTTATCGTAAGCATTTTGCAATCGGAAGTTCAGTTGAGGATTACCAACTACTGTTCCTATGAACTGTATGTACATGCACCAAGAGCAGGTATGCTGAAATGTAAAGGCAGGCATACACGAATATGTAAGCTATAAATATTGTTACTGTACAACCACAGTAGTATGAAGAACAAGTAAGTACTTTTCTATTGAGTTAATTATAAAGATAATAATCTCCTGTAGGCTTTACTAACGTAGGAATACATGCATAAGTAAGTTACAGCATTAACAAAGCAATATCCGAATTATAGTGCCCGACTTGAATCAATACAGCCCTCATCATCTCAATCAAAGGGCCGTTTACAACCTACTGTATTTTGTATATCAAGAATATTATTCACGAAAGTATCCGTTCAATTCATCTACCGGCTTGCATTTTAGTTTTTGAATATTGTAGGTTTATATTATTACTGATATTCACTACTATAGTATATCATAATTATATTTTAAAACACGCGTAGTTGCTTTACTAGACTTACTAGACTCATCAAGGCTGAACAAATCGACGGAATTATCAGAATTGAAATCGCCAAAAGCATGTAGTTGTACGTGTTGAGTTGTTAACCCAACAGAATTTGTAACATCTGTGTAAAGTCCATGAGATGGTAAAATATCGTTCATAGTGATGAAAACGATGATGATGATCGGAATAACCGTTTGCCATTGGCACAGCACCACCATGTTGTCTTGATTACCTGAGCAATGACTAACCTTTAAAACTAACTCGTAGAATCTTAAGTCCCAGTTGTTGTTGTCGGGGACTTGTTATTGTTCACAGCTCCCGAGCCTTTCGGTACGCAGGGTACACTACAGTATTTAGACCGATTGATGTCAAAAAGATGATGTACTGTACTGTGACATTATTTTTGCTAGCGATTCGCAGTGTCGGCAGTACTTTGCCGCAAGTTTACTCATTACTATGATATCCTATATGAAGTATTGTCATGATATATTGGCCGTAGCGCTCGCTAGCAAAAATAACGTCACTATGACGTGGCTACAAGAGAGCACAGAAATAGTCCCTAATTTCCATACTGTACACAGTGTACACGCGCATGTTTTGGTAGTCATCCTGTAATTTGATGTGCTATTTTTGGCTACAGCCGTTGAATCACTACGTCACTAGTCCGCCATTAGAGTACTGTACAGTGTACAGTGTACAGTACTAAAAACTGTTTCGCTACAAAGTTGTACTGTACACTGTACAGTATTAGCAGTAACTGGGAAAGACTAAAACGAGCGAGCTCACAACCAGTTGGGAAATTCAGTAGTCGTCAAGGCTCGTCGAGCGATAGCATCAATATTTTAAAGTGAATACTTTTCCGAGTAATTGATTACCTATACGTACCCCGAGTGTATTAGGATATTAGTTACTAGAGGAGTTAAATGTTCACAAAGAAGTAATTGGTGACAATTATCTATATTGCGTATTCGTGAATCACTGCTGGAAGAATTGCTATATTACTAGAGGGAATAGCATCTTCTCAATAAACCCAAAAGAACACTGGTTGACTAAAAATCATTGGAGCTAAAGGATTTCTACTGTATATGACAAAAAAACACTAGTTGACTAAAATCATTGGAGCTAAAAGGATTTCTACTGTATATGACATATACAGCTTAAATCAGCTATCACAATTTGGTGTGTAAATCAATTGAAAAATTTTACATCAGCCGGCCTGCAATCGGTTAAGCAGACTTCTAAAATTATCAGAGTATTCATAAAATTATATTTATTTAAATAGGAATAAATGAACAAAATTCGAATCATTGAATCCTACCATAATAAATTCAATCTATTTACATTAACCTAACAATGAAATGAGTCTGATCGAAGGATCGTTCTTACAATTTATCATCAAAAATAAGATAGAACCATGATGCATTGGTAATCCTATTGCACATGTTGGCAACAAGCTCTATGCATTAATCAAGTTATCATCTAGACCACAACATTAATATGTCATGACATCCCCTAGAAATCTTTTTCAACCACTGACGGTGTTACTGTAATTATGGTAACACTTTCCCCCTAAGTATTACGAATTTTCAAATATTAACTTGGTAAAACTACAAAAATTATTATCATTAATTCTCCCGCAATAAAGTAGACAATATTAAGAATCTTCAATTTTTATATGCTAGCATTATTCTGCGTTTTAAATTGTTATAGGATAGTACTAAGAGCATACAAGATCATATACTCCTCATTAAAAAGCTCCTTCTATGATCACATTAGGATGTGTTAAGTCAAGATTATCATCAGCTGCTGCAATACTGGCAATAATTTCCGCTTGTTTTTTAGCATTAATCTTAGCTAGAACGCTTTCATTTCGTATTGAAAATATTTTAGCATGCTCTGGATTCTTTTGGAAAAAGACTTGCAAATTATCTGTCAGAAATACGTTGATATCACCATATTAAAAATTATCTGACATTATGTTGGAATATTGAAATCGAGAGAGTAGACCAAAAATATTCGTAAAACTAACCATTATATCAATTACATTTTGCAATTAAATTATATTCAGTACGGTAAAGCACATGTTTTCTAACTTTAAATCAGAAATCAGACTCTTTCACTTACCGTAAGTGACATAACCTTGATTATCAACATCAATCTGCTTATAAAGTTCCTCAACATTTTCATTGGAAATATGTGGATAGCTACGTGTCATAATTGTTTTCATAGATTCTTTACTAATTTTTCCGTTGCCTTCAACATCTAAAGTCTATCAAATTTAATAATTGACATCATAAGTTCCAACTTGCAATGTTAGATCCAGATATTGATAACTATTTCTCGCAGAAAAAATGAAATCATAATAACAAGCTCAAAACCTGAAAAGCTATTTGCAATGTATTATCTGAACCGGCTGGTTTAGATACCAAAATTAAACCAATAAGATATTCCCTAAAATCAATGCAGCCATCATCGTCCTGAAAATGAAAGAAATGACCTAGTATAAACAATTTTCAATCCTGAAAATTCGAATACTAGCCATTTGGATTTACGTTATGTAATGCTTACCTGATCGTATAGATTAAATAACTGTGAGACCTCTTTGCAAGGTGGAAGATTCAAGAACTGACTAAATTCTTCTTCATTCACAAGACCATCGCCATTTTTATCAATTTCAGAAAATCGCTTAAGCAACTCTTTTACAGATTTAATATCCAAACTAGAATTAAGACATGATATAAGGATGTAAGTAATGTTTTAAAGTAAAATATAGACATTTTAAAACTGTTGTAAATCATGTCCATAATGAATAATGCTTAACATCAACAGTGTGCAATATGTACAATTCTGATTCTCATCACTTTAATAATAATGGTGCCACATGTTTTGGTTATTGCTATCAAAAAAGTTACGGTAACTTATTTCAGGCGTTACAAATAATTACATTACGGTGTACAATTGTAAAATCAAGTAACACAAAATGCAATTATTTATAATCAACGATAGTAAACACAATTACTCACCTTAATTTATCGTTAATTTTACGATATTCAATGACTCCAGCATTTCTTGGTAAATTAATATCAGCAGCAGCTACCATCAATTGGCAGTCTTCGTAAGTATGATCGGTAATAGGCACGTTTAATGCACTATAAACATTGTAATCCCAAATTGTGACAGAATAAACGCAAGATTCGGCAAGAAACATTGTCATGTTAATTACGATAGTTTAATATAATGTCATATACCTTGCCATTGCCCGTCTTACGTTAGCAGCGAAAATTCGCGAATTTTGTTGTTCCTGTTGTTATTGTAAATAGATAAATTAAATTTCTAACTTATCCAGTACTGTATGATCCAGTCATAGTTTTAAATTTCCAATCTAAATAATCATGTTTATAATATCTAAAAGTGTTTTCTGCGATAATAATAATTCAAGAGGAGAAGATACGATCTCTATACACGGGAATATTTTCTTATAATAGTAAAATTATATATGATAATGCACCATTGCATCTGATTGCTAATTAACTCAATATAGTGCTATTATTAATATTCTTGCATGATGCGACCATAGTAAACTCAAATTGTGTAAATTGAGCTAAAAGCCAACAGTAAAGTGGAAAAGACATGTTGATCGTAAAGTTATTTGTACGATAAAAGCTAAACTGGTTCCGAATATATCAATACAGAAGTAATTATCAGAAGAGTAACTCTACTTATTTTTAAATTGCGAGGTAGTTCTGCTAGATCAACAAAGGTAGAGTATACCTATTTTGATATTATCTCCTTGTGTCACAACCTCGGTCATGACACATAGCTATTTACTAAAACAATTAAAAACTCTATTCTTAAAATATCAGAGGCGTAATAATGAGGATAAAATATTTCTTTGTCGCCATTTAATAGTCGTACCTCTTCGTTAGGATGGTAAACGGGCAGAAACTGAAAGTCATAAAATTGTTACAGATTATATTTTAAAATAAAATATTTGATCATTTTCAGTATATAATAGAAATGTGCAGTTAACTTAAAATGAGATCGATACCCATTAGTTTGATTATTATTTTAACAGCATTAAGCCACATACACTAACTGTAAGGTATGATATGGAATAATCTTTACTTAGAGAAAATGCTTACCTCAATTTCCACACTATGATGTAATCTTAACAATATTAACCAAAATAGCGTTGATCTATTTTGCAGTTATCATATTCAAAATCCCCCAAAAAGAAACGCAAATGACTTTATTAAATTTTACTATGGAATGACGATTTAACAGGCGGTAAATTTAGATATGGTAGAAATTGTATCTGAGTCTGTCAAATACATTATAATAATATAATATATGAGCTAATCTTTTACTAACTACACATGAATTAGGTACCAAGTACAAGATAAGTTAAATAAAACTATATAGTAATCATCGCCCTATTTAGCTTAGTATCATATGGAAATTATTATTATAGAACTATATATACACCGATGATACATTATACTTTATTATGTCCGTATATAGTTATTAATATCAAAAGACATAAATAACAAACATTTTTTGGGTTTACATACGCTTTTGGACCTGAAGGAACCCAAGAATAAGTATCCTAACATTGAAGAGAACGTATATTAAACTAGCGTGGCGAATGCAATGATATGCGCAAGTTAGAGCTTCAAATTAATCTTAATATCTAAATAAACCCACCATATGATTGTTGTATCTAATAACGACAGGCTGGACTGAACGACCCGGAATAAATGGGCCTAGAATATCAGATGAAGTAGAAGATTTACTAAACGATTACGGTATTTATATTAAACCAGTTTTACTCAAAAACTGTATGACACGATAATTTTGGGAATTACCTCCTTTAAATGTAATTAGACACTGTCTATTCGTACATGTTCCTAGTTATAAATTGAAAATAGAATAGAATTGGATAAATGGGTAAGTATTCATTACAATAGGCAAGTTATACAATTATTTAATACATGTAGATCATTCAAGCGCTTGCCTTCAGGAAAAATCATAGTTTGAGGCCATTTCCCTGGGTGATATGCTCGTTGCTTGATTAATTCAACCGTTCTCTTCCTAGAATCTGCATTAGTTCTGGAAACATAGATAGGATCACAAAGTGCCAAGATTGCTAAAACGTTAACAATAAATGAATTGGGAAATCGTTAGAACGATTTGGTATAAATGGAGTATGTCAATTACATTATTAATTCCACAGTATGATAGCAAACCGCCCTTCTAGCATAGTATTATACGTAAAATCTAATTTACTAAATAACATTCTTACTGTATCAATTCAATGCAATAATATATTCCTGCAATACGTTACACAAATATGCAGTATTTTTATTTCCATATCAATATTACTGAAATTGTCATAATTGCCCAAAAATAAATTTAATGACCTATACTAACATCCAATGATTGGGATTGATTTATTTTCTTTTCTTGATACACCAGAGACGAGACGAACGGTTGAAAGCATAAATATATCCATAAACGAAGTATGAGGAGCAAGGACGATTAAAGGTGCTTCTTCTGGTCTTGCTATCTTGCCTTTTACTTTGACCCAGTGAAATCCAAAAGCAAATAAAATTATGCGAACTAAGATGCGAACAGGTCCTTTCATGGCCCTATTGATAAAGTGTCATAAAATTAATTTAGATTGTCGGGATAAGTAGTCAAATTCATTTAATATATTATTATTGACTTCAGTATTCGTACTAACTTTGCACATCCGCCTAAAGGCTCATCATTATCTCCTCCAGATTGACAACATAAGCCACAACTGCTTAATAAAGCAGCCAATAAGACGCAAAATATTAGCAGTAGTAAACGAAATGGTAATAGAAATATCCCCACCAGAATAAACTAGAATAAAAACCATAAGATTATAACGTCAATAAAGTCAAATCCTATCAGAATGTAAATTAGTATCATGAAGCATTATTCTTTAAGCTAGAGGTAATTAATGCTTGTTAATTTTAAATTAAATACTGTATTCAAGTTAATCGGTGTTTGAATACTAATAGTACGCTGTATTATATTTTTCTGATAATCCAATACTTTTAATATTTAACTTAATTGATAATATGGCTAAATATTTATATATAAGAACGAAATCTATTCTAACTAAAATTCAAATAATACTAACCAGCACAATATCAATAGCTACTGGTATATCCTTAATATACAGTCGGTTAGTATACTCTACACTGTATATAATTCTGTAATAACATCAAAACTAAGAGAAGTTACGGTACACATTGTTCTCCAATTATTTAAATTTTGGTAATAAAACGTAGTATGAATAATATATCTAAGTAAAGCACGTTCCAAAATAGCCTAATTTAATAATAACAGCCCTGTGATATGCTTTAGGAACAGCATAGCCATGAATTTTAATCAAGTAAGAAGATTGTAAAACTTTTTCAGAATTTCGGATTATAAGTGTTGTTAGTGCTAGATCAACGATTCGTAGAATGATTAAGCCAAGTATTAATGAACTAGCACTATATTAATAGTTAGTTAATCGGTGTTTATCAGATAAAAATGTAGGGATAATATCCGGAAGTACAAAGTAGCTGATTATAACAAAGTTGGTCAATTACGTCAATCAGAAAACAAGCGGTTTTGATAAGAAAAACGCTGATTATGCTGTCAGCTTGAGTAACTATTGCATTTATTGACACCAAAGTTCAATATATAAAGCCCTAAATTTATGTATACCATGCATTAACTAATATTCTACTTTTTGAAAATGAAAACAGCCACTAAAGAGAGAAAAGCAAAATTAAGCATATTAAGAAATAATTATTATAGACTATACGTGCCTGTATGTTAGAGCTAAAGAGCCGATGAGTATCATAATTTAACCTGCGATCAAATTATTATTAAGAAAAATGCGTGGGTAATTTTTATCATGTTAACACAATACCACTAGATATGGAATATCTTAGACTTTATGATTACCGTACCGTATTACAGCGAATTACTCGTATGTCTTCACAGTAAGATTTTAGGTGGATGACTACAACTCAAAGTATTGCGGTCTTCTATTTGATACGGCTATTTTCTCACTTTAAGACTTATAAAGTTATTGGAATTATAGTATTACAAAATTTTAGCTATGATTGACTATATTATATGTTATGAGGAACGAAATGTTTCTAATTTCATCCGTGATTCAAAGGAAAAATATTGTTTTAAAAATAATATTCTAATAAAGGTTCGTTGAACGTTAATAATGTAAGACTATGTGCAAAGTGAATTCAAGTATGGTAATTACATTGCCGTCATGATCACTAAGAATCATAGATATAATGCATGCAATAACTTAGTATTAATCTCTTTTAATCGTAGATCAGATAGCTAGGAGTAAGGATAACATGGTATTCTTGAGATACATTTTAAATTTAAGATGTACTTATGCTTAGAAGTATTTTAGACACTATAGATTAGTAAATAACACACAATCTAAGTATTTAATATAAAAACAACTATTTAAAACTGTATTTCATTTATGAAATATTCAATCCTCATAATGAAATGGCATGAGAATAAACTATCGAATTTTGATCAAAAATTTACAGAATCTTGTATAAAATAAGCAAAAAAAAAAACGGCGAAGTACAACTCTCCACGTGAGAGTATTTCTACTACATGTTTATTGCTTTGCTAGGTAATTAATGGAAGGAAAGCCAGTAATTATTCTTACATAAAAAATATTTAATAGTATAGTAAACATTCTACGACAAGTTCATATTTTTACTATGCGATATTTGCTAATAATACGGTAGTTAACGAAACTTAACGACTATGTCAATGGGTAATCCAAAATACTGTGTAGATGCTACAAACCAATAAATAACATAATTTAATTATATCAAAGCAATTTTTACCTCCAAAACTCTACATATTCCTATATTAAGACCAGGATGGACAAAAGGGTTGCGAACTATCGGTGCGATTAATGATTTCCTTTGCTTAGGAGATAATTCTGACATCTTTATATATAAATGCAAACTACGTCGCTAGAATTTGATATTAATATAATAATGAGTGATCCAAGCATGGCGCAGTCAAAGAAATAATGCTATAGTAAGGTGTAAATACGCTCGTATAAGCGATATTATCTTCAGTAAAAGTAAAAATTTTCAAAGTGAATTAGCAGATCGGAAAGCAAAGTTGATTTAAAATTTGTTTTTATTATCAAACCATTTTCTTACCTTATACAAGGAAAAAAAGTTAATAGATTGACTTGTAAAGCAACTATAAAGTTAAAAATGTTTCAACAGTCTGGAAACATGGGAAAATGGAAAGGAAGGATTAAGCAATTAAGACGAATAAGTAAATGATAAAAATAATGAGTAGCTTAAATAGGTCCACTATTAAAAGGTCAGATCATTGATCATCTTAATAAAGTATCGTTATAGCAACTAGAAAGATTAAAAGCCACTCCTTACCAGTTGACTTAAAACGGGTAGAACTACAGTATATGCTTATCAAGCTTTCCGAAATAGAATTTATGATGCCTAGTAATGCCCTGAAGATATAGAGTAATGTTATTATAATAGATTCAAAACTTCATCATAGGGCAAAATTGTAATTGTTTTCATGACAAAAGCTACAATACGTAACGTACAAAGTAATCAATCCTTGTCCAATCATAATAAGATGCCATGATATCTTATTATTCAAACGGTAAACTTATGACTAATATCAGGAGGTCCAAAGAAACGATTAGCAATTTAAATTTCACCCGAAGTTAAGCATTCGAAGATTTTAGATAACTAATCGATATTTATCAGTATAGTAGCATATATTACTACAGAAATGAATAACTGTTTGGACTATCATTTTGATACCAGGCCAGTTATATGATATAGTAATGTAATTAAAACTCAATAGAATATATACATAATATTTCATACTATAATAACACTTTATAGGGTAAAGGAATTATTATAATTTATTACTAATATAATCATGCAAGGTCAATAGCAGTAACCCATTATCTATTTTATGTATGCTACAGCCAATAGTCAAAAAAATGTAATGAAAATTATTCTGATAAATTCTCTAATTAGGACATACTCTTTGTAATCATTTAATAAAATCAAATAAAATCAACCATACAATTATAATTTGCTCAAGTCGAAATCTATTCAACCTTTCTACCAATAGCTCAACTTAATAGACACGTAAAGAATCATTGACCTTTATCAAAATGTATAATATTTTTAAGCGATATGTGCAATATGTCTATCATCAAGCTAAATTATGTCTTCTAAGGCATGTTAATTGTCGAATTTATATCAATAATTCAAATATTTTGAATTAAAAAGTGATCGACATTAATTTTGATTAGTATACAAGTCATAGAGTATCTTCAAGATAATTAATCTATCATTAGTCAAATATCAGTAAATTTAAATACTAATATATCACTACTGTACTGTTCTATAACATAATTAGTGTTTAGCCATATCTCATTTTTGTTACATTACAACTCAATTAGCAAAATTGATACCATCTTAGATCTTACATATACTATTATATTAGCTTTATCTGACGTTAATCTTTTTTTCAATTGCCATATTAACAGTGGATTTTAATATTGAAGGTGATTATTCTTAAAGCTGAATTCGTTCATAGAAATTGCTACACAAATATACTTTAATTAGTTTACTATCGTTATCATCCACTAATAGGAAAATAACGATTTCTCTATAAAAATACTAAATGTTAATTTATTTCAAAGTCATCAAAATTGGACTAGAAAGCTTAACTTTAAATTGATATCATATCTCCATTTTAGATGATGCTTGTTATTTAAAGGGCGCAGTTGCAAGGATAACTCGTCCAGATTAATTCTAGCGTTTTAGCTTATTTCTTGTTTCAACCGATGATTTAGCAGACAGCCACTCTTTGTAAGACTTAGGTCTAGACTCTTTACGTTTTTGAGCTACTAATTCCATATATTCACGTCGGGCGCGATGTTTAGCAATTCTCTTTCGCTTATTTGCTTCCATTTCGGTTGTAATCTCACCTGGCAATCTTATATCTAATAACTGCGTGGATTGTGGACTAATACTCCTACTTCTACTACTGCTGCTATGCCTACTGCTACTTGGCCTACCATGAGTTCTTGGAGATAAATTATTGAGTGATGGCGATGGCGATCGGCTAATCGATGCGATATTTGTCATGTCGAAATTGTGTTCGATATCGCTGCTGCAAAGCATTATTTGAAAAAATTGATTTAATATTCATTCAATTAATCATTTAATGGAAGAAATATACGAAAGAATTTAAAAATTCGTATAANACTCATAAATGCGGTCTTGGAGACCGATATAAAATTGAACCATCACATTTGATATCTCTTAATTATACATGGATCAGTCCAGAATAGTTTTCTGAGCTACCTGATTTTAGCAAATTTTACAATATTTTATACAGTAGTGTACCGTTTTTGTTGCAGTTTACCCTTCTGTTTTCGGTTAAAAACATAGTAATAATTTAATACAATACAAATATAGCAATATATTCAGGCGAATTATATCTTATTCGATTGGATCAGCTTATAATAATATGAAGTATTCATAAAATGCAGCTTTATCCTGACTCTATTTTCAGTTTTAGTTTTTAGTTTGTGGCCTCATCTAGGAAGTCAATTTTAACATTCAATCTTAGCTATTTAGTGGTTATTACGATGGAAGTTAACTTGCATCAATCTGGTTAACAATTATATTCTAGCTAGTTGCTGCTTTTTAGGTCTTGTTAAAGCTTTAGTAAGTCTATTTAAGGCTTTGGATGTTTCCCCTAATTTTCATAATAAAAATGAAATATTAACAAAACGATAAAAAATACCGCTCTATTTACCTGTCATCGGCACTAGACGTTGAATCGACCATCTTCAATTGCTTTTCAACAATTGATCGATGATTTTGAAACGGTACTTTGCCTTTTTGCCCCTTCAATATTGCTCTTACCTTGATATTAGCACTCTTCACAGCAAAATTACTACTGCTTGTATTTAGTTTATTCCCATCACCTATTTTAATCGCCATCATTCAAGGGAGTATTAAGTTAGTACAGGTTCTATTTTATCTGGTTACCTGAAGTCATTGATTTTAAAGGTACACTTCTATTATTACCTTTCAAATTTGTCGTAGACTTTTGCATTGATTTAGCGATACTAATACGTGGCATTGGAGTCTTGTGAGTAATTGATTGAGAACGTCCACGATTGGGATTTACTGGGTCATCACCACTAGTTTGATTAGAATCATCATCACCGTTTTGATTATTTAGCATAGCTTCTTGTTCACGCAATTCTTTCTCACGTTGTTCCCTTTCACGAGCTTCACGCGCTTCTCGACCTCTACGACTAAGATCAGCTTGTATAGATGCTTCGTGAAAGTGTTTTTCCCTGGTCATTGTCGTTTTAGTTGATACCTTTTTATATAAACTATATTTATCTGTATTTATTTCGGTCGAATGGCTTCTTTGTCTGGTTTTTGCCGGTGGCTTAGCAGCATCACGTAATAATGACTCAGGAATATTATTTCGCAAATCAGCCAGATAAATTTTACCTTCAGGACCTCGTAGCCAAGTTATTAAACCGGAATCATATTTTTGATGTGTCATTAACGACTCTAGTTACAAAAGTGATTAAAATATATAATTAGCTTTACCAACAGATTTATCGCATTATAATCACAATATAATCGCCATGTTTGATAATTAACTTAACCAGTTTAAACACAAATTAGTTATCATATATTAGAATTACAATAAGCAGCATAGCTATGATACTGTCCTACAAAGACTAAAAATTTTTACTTTCAAATACATGTTTAGCAAGCCTAGCGTTGCGGAATATCAAAACTTTTGAAATTAAGGCATCAAACAGTATATCTAAGTGCATTTCTAACTTGATTATACATCAGTCATAAGTACAAGTTGCGATTCTTGTCTGCTATGGATTCACATGATAGTATCATTTCATATATAAAGATTTCTTTTGAATAGTATCGGGATGATACTTGTGACAGTACTAAATATTATAGATACCGATAGCAGTAACACGAAATTTCACAGTTACGACAATTAATCTCTTATAGAAATAAACAATTCACAACAATATACCAGCAGCTCTATTTTAGGTAAACCATATTTGGTATTAATGTTACTTAAAAGAAGAATAATACCCAATTACACGATTAGTAATTCGATAGTTCTATATATTTTTAGTGACTGATTGATAGTTAAGTTATATCAGAGTCTACTCACCGATTGGAATCTTTGTATTCATTACTGATGCCCTAATCTTCCATTTATGTAAAAACAATTGTCTAACACAACCTTTTCTACCATATTTCTCAGCTAAGATCAATGGAGTCATTTTATTACAATCACGGATATCGAGGTGAGCACCATTCTCCAACAAAAGCTGAACACAATCATCATGCCCCATCACTGCTGCAGCGTGTAATGGTGTTCGATTTGAAGGTGTTTTACCGTTAACATCAGCATTTATCTCGATTAATTTTTGTACTAAACGAAAATGACCACGGTGGCTGGCGACAAAGAGTGCCATGAGCGCTCTTTCTTTAACCCAAACTGACTGAGCTAGGCGTTCTCGAACTGAATCAAAATGAGCTTGCATATCTATAGTAATATCATGACGAAAGACTTCATCTTCAGCACCCCTGAAAGCAGCCATAATTAGGCCTTCCCATATATTCCATAGCTTTAAATTGATTGTTGCTCCATATACAACATCATGACGCTTTAAATCGTGATCGTCGTTCATATCACCTTGATCAAGATACTGTAAGCGTTGTAAATGACTTGGTATACCTTTATAGAGTAGTACATGTCAGCCATTAAAATACGCGTATAGGACAGAGAGTAGCCATTAATCAATTAGCTACGCATCAAACAATTCTTTTTAGATGTGGTAGGTATTTACTTAGATACTAAACAGTTATTCTCTAAATGCTAAACTGTGTTAATTTACTAATTCCGTTTGAATATAGTCAATTATATAATTATAATTATTTATCAATGTCGTTAATAGTCAAATAAAACTGAAATTATAGTAGGAAATGATTAAGGGTATTACGTTCTAATAGTAACAGTTATCTGAAAACTGCTAGGTGATCATAAAGTCTAAATAACATCGAAATAAAATTTATTACTGATTTTATGCGCTATCTTATACTACTCTATGAAATGCTCATTGAATTAGGAGGATATCTAGCAAATTCGATGTCTTATGTAATTGCAATAACAATTTACAATTACTACTTTCCCGTTACGACATAGGAAATAATTATAAAATATCTCTCGAACATAGTAAATTAGTTCTTATAAAATAGACATCGCTAGCGATTGGGAACTAAACATTCTCGATCTTTATATGACTCTACTAAATATGTCTACCCTGTGAATGATATCGCAATGATATCTTGACAGTATTTATTGACTTTAGCGATGTTTCCCGGTTTTAGAAAAGATCTTACTCAAAAATATGTAAAAATTTTGCCGTAATTCAGAAAAATAGGCATAATCTCTAAATTGAAGTGAATTTTCACATAGCAATATTGAAATACTATGGAGATAATCTAGCTTCTTTGTACGGATAAGCTATTATGCCATCATACTGCAAAATATATGAGCTTATGGTTGTAACGAGTTATCTTGATATTTTTAACAACTTAAGGCGTTACATTTCATTGCTATCTCCAGTTTCCTACTAAGAAGAAGCTATTTATCAAATAAACTTACCGGCGGCTAATTCAACTTCGCTTTTGAGTTGACGAACTTTCATATTTACTGGTACTGCTTTAAGTGGAAATCGTTGATCTCCGTTAATTAATTTAACGAACAGATCAAGTTTTGCAACATTCTTCTTATCCTTGTCCCTGTCGTGTCGATTATCCATAATGAATTACTATCTATCATAAGTTATAATATTGTAGATTTAAGGCACTAAGGCTAACTTTACATAAAATACCTCGAAATTAAATTCTACCAATCACTGATGTTAATAATAATATTACAATAATTAATCTAGTAATGTAATTTTGTGACTGCAACAACTTATGTTATAAATAATATCGATCGATCTTATCAGAGCATAAATTGGACTAACAAGTAGGTAAGGTACAGTAAAGCAGAGTTTTAAATGACGTACAGAATGTATACTATAGTTACATGTATCTGCAATCTGTGGGATGGCATTAATGTACGGATTAGAGATACAGTATAACTATTTGCCAAATAATAGTGTATACTATACTGTTATGTTGGTAATTGCCATGGCAACCGTAACAATGCATTAAATCGCGTATTGAATTAATTATCATCCTTTGGCATCCTTATAGTATATACGTTTTGTACATTATGTTGTAGAACATGCCATCAATCTTATTACTCAATAAGTCAACAATGGTTATAAAATACATTGATCATGGTATCCTAGTATGATATTAATAATGGTAGTTGATAATTTACCCTCGAGAAACTCTCTAGTCTTACTTAAAATGTTGTTATTGCTCATACAACTAGATATTATTTCATTGCATTCATTATTTACCATGAAAGTACAAAATTTAAAAATGTTCTTATTTTTACTTTTATATTTCTGGATTGAATTTGAGTAACACTACAAATTCAGAAAATATGGAACAAGACTATTAGCTTAGGATTCTTACGATTAGCATATAAAGAATAATTTATTTGATGTTCTGTACTAAGTATATGCTTAGTATACCTTCGTATATCCGATTCCATCACTTTTTTCATGTAATTAGCATAGTACATTCTATCAGTTTGAAGTCTTATTCGATATTTTATGCTCAATACATATGACACATACGCTAATAATTAATTAAGCATTATATTGCAACAATGTTATTGCTATGAGACAATTGACAATCCTATCTCTTAATACCACCAGCTGCAACCTGCGAATCAAAAACTTGAAAGAGACTGGACTCATAATTATTCAAATTAACTTAAAATATTTCGTTAGACATTGCTTAATGAATTAGGACTATGTTAATAAATAAGATTTTGTAGATGATACCAAAGATATATACGTATATTATATATAGGTTTAAAATTGCCGATTGTGATAAAGTGATGTGAACGGTTCTTAACCGAAATCGATTATCAATCTTTAGTTTTATGATATAATGGATAATGATACACATGAGTTTGTAGGTCATAGGAGTGATCCATAAAATCCTGAGACCAATGATGAATTTATTAGTTTATATTTTGTATGTTGGCGACAATCACAACAAACAGCCATTAGAATTTGCTAAAAATATTATTTAACAACTACTTTATGGCGATAACAAGTAAAAAATTAAAATCGGTTATCAAATGTATCGTTTACGTGCAGCAGTTGAAACCAAACAAGAATTCATCCAAACATTAAAATGGATATACTGTATTAGGCCTATTTCTCCAAAAGAAGTTAAATACACTTACTATAATCCAATTCATTATTTGATATGGTTACTTATAAATCAATAATATACAACAGAAATAAACAGTATTTGTGCATATGACATAAGCAATCACATTACCATCAAATTGTAATAGTCACATACAGTAGTAGATCAATATTAAAATTATAATACACAATGGAAACATAGGGATTAATAAAAAAATTGCAAATGGATATAGCACAGTAACTGCATTATTTAAATCAATTGAATTACAATTTAATTGGTATTATTTTCAAACCCATATTTTAACCTAGCTATTTCACAATCAAAGTAAAAAGTGTAGGGCAAGAGAAAGTTATTCTCTTTTTCAATTCAGAAATTATGCTAATATCTTATATCAGCATTCCAGTTTAATAACTGTTTAAAACTTTTCGAAACAAAATGATTATATATCAACTAAATGAGAATAGGCCTCATATGCCAACGAAGAGGATTACAGCAATCAACTAAGTTTGACTTTAAATTTGAATAATTGTATTTGATTCCCTTTTTATAGGTTTCCCATGTTTCTTAGCATCGATAATTTCTGTTATTTCATCTTCGATACTTTTGTCAAACCACTGATCAAAAGCAATATTTTTCCTTTTTGCAAGAGCTTGTTCTCTCAGCTCTTGTTGACGAATTTCATCTTGCTTTCTCTTTATTATATCTCGTTGTTTAAGTTGTAGTTTTTGCTGACGCCATCGCACTAATTTCTGTTCAGCTTCTATTTTCTTTTCTAAATCCTTTTTAACTTCAAATTGATCTGTTCTGATCCTCTCCTTTTCGATATTTCGCCTTTGCTCTCTCTCTTGGAACAGTTTATTACTGAGCCACTGATCATAACTTTGCTTACTAGCAGAATAATTTCGCTTATCATCGTGTTTTTTCCTTAACTTCGCCCATGCAGACCTATATTGCTTAAGTTTATATTCTAGTTCCTTCCTTTTCAACCATTCTTCAAATGATATTTGATTCCTGTTGTGATTCTCAGTTTGCTTAGGATTCATTGTAGGAGCTCTGTCGATAATTTCTTCCAAGATCATGATACGAGCGCGATCTCTTTTCTTCTTAACTTCCGATAGTTGGCTAAACGTCATACCGCGATTTCGTTTAATAGCTGTTATTCTTTGGACAGTTTGATGCTCTATTTCCTTTCTTTCTTTGGATCTTATCCTCTCTAACCACTCTGCGAATACAACCGGATCATAATCCCTCTCACTTCGTATATCCTCAAGCTCAAGATCATAAGTATAGGGAGCATTACTATTAGATCGATTAAGGTCTCGTCCTGTTGTAGAATAGCTTTTATTCATTTCCAGCCACTCTTCAAATGTTAAATCAACATCTTCGTGTTTGCGTTGCCCATTCCAGTCAATGCAACATTCTAATGTGTATTGAACTTGCCTCTTTTTAGCTATAAACCATCTTTCAAATTTATTAGAATTTTTAGACCGGATTCCAATTTGTTGCCGACTGCTACGTTAAGAAAAATAGAATAAAAAGTTTGTAATTATCATCATATAATGCGCTACAAATATTACCAAATAATCACTAATAGAAGAAATTGATATTAGTTACTGAAGTAAAACTTGATAATACAAAATAGTACTTGTAAAGGTACAGTAATCCACAGAAAAAAAAAATGCTGCCCATAATATAGTCATTATGATCATTATTTAACAACGATTAAAATATATAACAAGATGGATATAGTATCTAGCTTTGATATATCTATCAAAAATAAAACTAAAATCTTTTAAATACGCTAGATATAATACATGACCATCTATCAATTCCATCTCTAAATACCGAAAGATAATAGATAGCGAAAGACTTTTTATTCTAATATTCAAACTTTGAAAGGAAATATGAAAACTGAATTTCGTCGGTGTTTTAAGATTAATATGTAGTGGTTTGTTATAAATTCTTAATTGATAGCGGTCTACTTACTAGCAAATTGTTTAATTAGGATATAAAGCCGTAAATAGATGGCATTGTATAGCATAATAAATTAATTGATGCGATTCTATAACTCTCATTTATGATCTTGAAGTCGTAAACAAGTTGGATAATAGGTAGCTAAATCAATACATTAAGGACTATCATTATCTTTTCAATTAAAATTTGCTGTTGCAGAAATTTTTTCAACAAAACCCCGTAATAAACTCTGTTTACTCCAATCTTTTGACAAATACTTGCGGGAATTCCAAGAAACACGTTCATTACAAGGATGCATATATATAGATATGTAAATATATAGGTGTGCAAAGATGATGCGACAAAAATATAGCGAAGTGGAGGCAGAAAATTAATAATACAGAAATTACAAATCAGATTAAATTACACCAGGGAATCGAGTGAAAGTAACGACGGTAGGAAAATATAGAAACAAAAGATGAATATTGGTTACCTCTATATCACGTACTTGTGTAGGATTATCTTTACGTATAGAAATGTTATATTTGAATCACACCATTATGAAAGAATGAAAAACAATACTACAAATGCTATCGATCGTTCTCGTAAACGAAGATAGTTAATGCAGTCTATCTGTAAATGTATAGATATAAATATAAATCAATGCAATTATAGAAACTCAGAAATTAGGGTTACAAATTAAAATTTTTCTGTCCCTGTATTCTGATAGTATACTCGTGTAAACTAGAAAGATGCTACATCACTTGAGGTCATAACGCTTATCAAATAGTATTTAAAGTTATGCCAGACGAAATTTGTGCTAATAACTATAAGTTAAATTATTCTGAAATCAAGTGGAAGAGGATTGGTCTCAGTTAGTAAAGAGTTCATCGCTACTTATGAAATCGTTTATATGCATTGAATTAAATTATAAACTGATAAAATAACCAATACAAGATTAATTCAAGAAATTAACCTGGAACTCTTAGTCTAAAACCATGGTATTAAGTAAACTTAATAGCATAGATACAGTCTCGTAAAATCAAAGAAAATAAATGTAGAATAATCAATTCTGTATCAAAATAAACAGACTAAGATGATTTAAAGGATGGTCATTACCTTATATCATGAGATAATATCGGGTAAGTTGCAGGCAGTTGTTCAAAAGAGATTACTTGTCGACGTGTTTTACCAGCATTATTTGCAGTGTTTGCTTCATCAAACTTGACTTTAACACGATTTAACTTTTTATGATTGATTCGCCTATCCATATGATCATCTATAGCTACATTGTTCAATCTAAGCACGATTTCATCTCGATCTCGAGAAAATGGATCGTACCATCTAGATAAAAGTGTTTTTTCATAATCAAGTTCTGTATTACCCACGGATGGCCCGGTGATAAATTCTTCAATCATCGTGATTTGAGAATGAATAGTTTTACTATCATCTGTTGTCTGCTTCCGAGCGCGAATTAGTTGGCTTCTTGAATTCCAAATATGTAACCAGATTCGACGTTGGCATTCATCTTGATGACGTTGTGTTGCTAATTGCATAGGTGTTTTACCATTTAAGTCATAGGACAATATCGGGCAATTAACTTGCAGTAAAAAATCAACACAATCTATATGTCCATGCCAGGCAGCGATATGTAATGGATTTCTACCAAATTGGCTACAACAGCTCATGTCAGCACCATTTTTATGTAATTGCTTAATCAATTCAACATGACCTTGGCGAGCAGACAACATAACAGCGAAAAAACTGCGTGTTGCAATAATTCGATTTAACATTGTAATTTCTTCATCAGTATAACGATACTGATCGGTTAATGTTACACCGCTAAAGAAAACTTCCTGAATATCGCCATACCATGTAGCAAAAAATAAACTTGTCCAAGTTACTGGGAATGTCAATGTTAATTGATCTCGTGTTTTAATACCATAAGAGACTAATGTACGATAATCTTGTAAATCTGTAGTGGTTAAATATTGCAAAATTTGAACGTTAGGAGGTATACCACTGTATAATTCAATCATTGATTTAAGATGTAAAATTGTAACTTGATTTGGAACGTTATATAGCGTAATTACTTCTCGTGTTGGTAATGAAATATAGATTTGAGAATAAATGCTGTCAACTTCTTCATCTATATCTGTTTGTATCCAGCTGGCCATATTGATTACCTAACATATTACTGATATAGACACAACACTGATGCCGTACGAAACTCTTCCTAGATTGATGCTAATGATGGTATTTAATACATGCCGTCACTGTGCTCTAAATTCCCTGCTGGATTATAGAATACCATTATCGCTGATAATGGACTATAAAATCCACTTTTCTCCAATAAAAATATCAATTGATCCCAACAAGTAGACTTTAATTTGATGATGTCTTGACCACTAAAAAGGTAACTACTAAAGACCACTTTACTTGCCTGTATAGGAATATATCTTGTCCATCTATAATACATAAGGCATTCTTACTATCTGTTGGTATCCATAGCAATAACCAATAGATATGCTAATAGCATCATTTTGTTATTATAATAATTTTGCTTTGTCATATTGTTACAAGACGTTACTATATAGAAAATGTAGACGAAAAGGATACTAGTAGCTTGTTGATATAAACTGTTCTTCTAGTATGGATATTTAATTGATACTCGATGAGCAAAGATGGCACTTTAGTACATTAAATTTAATCGATGCTTATATAAGAAAAAATTTGAAAAGGCTTGTAATAATTCGACTAATAGAAAATGCCTTTAGACTGTTGAATAATTTAAATTAAAATAGTTTACTTTATATATGTGTAAGTATGCGGTTAATACTTATTAAGTACTAATTTAGTTTATATGGCTGGATGCTTATTCTTATTTAAATGATAAACAATATTAATTAAAATTGGAATTTAGTTCGCCCACAGGAATAAAACACTTAGTCACTTACCGTCAATAAGCTTTATTACTAATCATAGCTAAAGTAAATTCTACTGATAAAAGTAAATTAGGCAATATCGAAATTTTTAGTATGAATTAAACTAAACTTGATATGATATTGTGTATACTCGTATATACTGGATCTGAACCTAAAAGTACTTTCAGTCTAAATGATGAATAATATTACGCTTGCATATGATGTATAGCAGATTAAAACAAAGTTTTTAGAATATAAATCGATTAAATTTTGGCTTGCACGAGAATAAAATAAGATTAATATTCCAATATGACGTAATCTATATTAAGTCACAGTGAAAATCAGTCCTAAAATGACTGCAATTAGAGGGGTTTTCTGTCCAAGGCACGTACATACCATTAATTGCAATACTAAATTTGGATTACAGTATGTATATGTACGAGGATATTAATGTACGGTTTATCAGGATATTGACAGAAGGAAACAATATACTCTAAAAATTTACGAGTAAGTACAGTATAAAAAGGAGTCATTATAGTGTCATATAGCTATAAAAAGGAATATTTTATATTCGTATGAAACAAATAAGAGCTGGTCTCGCAGGTTTATTGAAATGTGTTACAACGAAAAGATAAATGATTAAGAAGAACTAAATAAAAATAATAATGCATTAAGGTGTCGCTAATAAATCTGAGTCCTCATAAACAAATTAAAGCATAGTGTATTGCTAAAAGTAACCTATAATTATTGCAACTACTAATGAGTAAGACTAGTAGTACGTCTTACTAGTCGAGATATACACTCGTTATTTCAAACATCGTGCCAAATTTGCTATAGTGTACCGGTGTTGCTACATAAATTTCGCTATCCTCAATTAAAACGTGTCTATTCACGAAAGTCTAGATTAACCGATGACGTTTTGATCTATCTTATCCATAGTTGCTGTTGATTTGACATTTATTTACTTACAATCCAGAACAATTATTTTTAGCACACAATTACAATCAAAGAATGCTATTTAAAATTATGAATTATAGTTTTAATGCTTTGATCAACTTATTAATGAAGTATTAGCATGTTAATAAAACCTCTATTGGTACACTCTAACGAAACTTTTAAACTTATTATCATACTATTTAAACGTGATAGACATAAGCCATCATGTTAGAGATAGAATGCAAATTGATACTCTGTTACAGATAAAAATGACTTAATTATCAACTTTAACTACTGAAATCTGACATCCCTTGTGATGTATGACATTTAGCCGATATCCAACTTTTAAACTGTGACACCAGTGCAATATGGGTATTTTGAATTAACATCTTTAATATTTTTATTTATATTTAACCGAAGAAAAATCCTGCAAAAGGGAAACAATCATCAGGATTGTTGCATTCATTGCCTGTTATAAAACAATATAAAATCAGACTCCTTATTAAAGGATCACAAAAGAATGGAAATAAGTGCGCATTACTAATAGATAAGTGTATTTATAATTCGTAAAAGATATTACACTGAGTAGCGTAGTTACTGGAATTAGAATGATAAATAGACTGATGATAAATTTCAATAGATGTCAATATGAATGTATTAATTCTTTGATGTAATTAGGCTTGAATAATTATTACTGCAGAAACAGTTTACAAATAATAATCTCACCTCTTGCCACGTTATCGAAGCCAATAAAGCTCAAGTCTTTTAACTTCTCTACGGCTTCTTCTGGGCTTTTACTGCTTCCTATGTAGATTACAGAATGTGACTGCTTAATTAATATCTTACATATAATTGTATGGTATAGGTTTACATGTTTGCTACAGTAAGAATATACTCATACATTGATAAAATCTTAACTTAATTCTATTCAGCAAATACAGTATCGCAACGATTTATTACAGCTTCACTATTTACGTCGTTTAAAACATTTCTAATCATATCTTGTCTATAATTCTAATCCGATTTCAGCATGAATAAAACTATCCTAATCCTATATTAGTAAGTACACACTTTATTTATTTATGATAGTGTATTGCTTAATTAGATTCAAACTAATTCAATGATGGAGCACTTACTCATAATAGTGGATACAGAATGGCATTTAGTCATCATATCGCGCCCGGTTCTTAACAAAGCCTTCATTTCTTTTAAGTTTCTTTCAGCTTCATTGATTTTTTTGGCGAAGTAATCGAGGTAGCGAACAAATAGTTCATCTATATCAAATATTATAAGAATATATTATTTTTGATCATATCATACATAGTATTCCTAAATCTTCTTTACTGCTGTATGTTCATTTACGGTAATCTAATGTAATGAAAGCCACAGAATCATTAGCAGAATAATTCATTGCACCTTTGCCTATGGTCTTAGATACTTTAGCAGATTTAGTTGTTACTGCTTGAGTAATTTGAGTAATGCAAAGTATGCAAATAGCCCCAAAAAGCAAGGTCATTATTCGAGCCATTCCAAACTAAAACGAAATGCAAATAAAGTTAAGGCATACCTGATACGAATACATAATTTCTGCTACAAAAAACTCCATCGTTTAGTGTTAATAATTTATCAAAAATCTCTGGACAGTAGTGTTTACTACAAGTCTAAAAGCATTTACTGTACAGTAGATTAATTCCCATACTGATCTGCTATTGATACTGTGTTTTATCCAGGATCACTTGCTTATGATAAATTATTGGCTCAATATTCCGATATCAAATTAAAGTACTTTATAGTATTGAGCGATATCTTATGATTTTGATATTTAATAGTTTTCGATACCGATGAGCTATCTATGTACTGTATTTATCGTATCTTTCGTATATTTTTATATAAAATTTATGAATAGCATCTTACTCTTAATGAACTTTTACTTCACTATGTTAACAGAATATAGATTACATATCGTAGTATGGCAGATCCGACTCTACGATTCTAAGTACCCTTAATTATGATCTTAATCTATTATATGAGAAGTTTGCATAGAAACAAATTGGAGCTAGCAATAAACTAAGAGCTATGTCTGCAGGGAAAATACGCATAGTTTACCTAATTCAATGCCTGTTTTTCAATCATAAAAATTAGTGATAAGGTATGATAGCGATTGAAATTGTTATGTCAATTATATAATTATGAGAGGGACATAGTAATTGCTCTTTTCAATTATCTAATTTATTATATGCAACCAAATAAGATGATTATATTGTTAAAACTTACAATTTAAAGGTGAAATTGTGATAATAACTGGATGATAAGTTTTAAAAAGTGTCACTTAAATGCAGAAATCAATGTCAGTTTATATTCATTGGCCAAGAATGCCAAGGAGAAAATCAGATATGGGGTAAATACTGTACTACTTACATGTGACATCTTATATGCTGTTGCTTGTCATTTAATATTTGATACACTTTAAAAGTATTGTATAATCGTAGGTCAACTGGTGCGAAATTAGATAGCATTGGTTCCTATCATAATTTTTGGTCAATACGTTCGGAACATCACTTTCAACCCAGATCAGCGAAAAAATCCTAACACTCTACTACTCATAGCTATTGCCGTAATAATTTCGTAACCTATCACAATAGTAGGACTCACTATCTATTTTGGATGCCTTGGGTATTTCATGAAGTAGCTTCATCTCCCAATTACTCTATCTCGAGTTACTCAAATATTAGATACTTACTATTACTCTACAACAATAAAGTATCAATTGTATACGTATATACGCGTACACATGTGATATAGTCGTATCTGGAAGATACTGAAGTCATGAAATTTCGTATTGTATTTCTCATATATAACATAAATATTGTAGTACGATAGCGGATATTAATGCTAATCGATAGAGACTGCTAATACAAAATTTTACAACCAATTTCATGCTTACCTTTTTGATAATATCCGTTCAGTCAGATCTTTCTATGGTAAAGTGCGTATTGTAATTATAAGATTTACCGTTGATGAAAGATTTCAAATAAGCGATAAAATGATTTAAGGTCACAGTCTAACTTATATATATATATATGGTAATTAATTAAAAATGCTGCATCATCTTATTATCGACATATCTGATAATTAATTAATCACATAAAATTCATTTAATAGTGATCAAATTGAATTACTTTCAATCAATGTAATTACTGTAACATCCGCCATGGCCGACAAAGTCACAATGTTAATTGGGTTTAACGGAAAGATTATAAATAAATTACGGTTATTCTAATTAAAGTATTTAACTAAAATCACCACTAATATTGATCATTCTTTTCTTCTTGAAGTAATAATCAAATCTTTAATTCTTTTCATCACGGTCAGTTAAAAATATAGACGCAAATCAGCAACTTCTCAAATTGTGGTTAGTTAAAAACAGTTATAAATTCAGAACAAAATTTTTTCTAAAGAGTCTTCTCATCAATATCATTAATAACTTGAATAATTAATCTTATCTAAATTATCCGACAGATAATAAATAAAGCTTACGAAATGAATGAACCGAACTAGACAAAGAATCGTTATATTACGGAAACCCTCGCCTATTCTATCGTTTTTGGATAGGTAACTACATAGCTGTAAATATGTACTAGCCCACTTTTGTATTCGTATGTCTTTTATGAATAGTACTGTTAGAACTCGAAGTTTGTAACGACGAAAAGTAGAGCTATTACAGAAAGATAATAATGTATTACGAGTCTACTGTAAGGTTTGTCCTCCCTGATATTTGCCTATAGGGCGACTTTAAATACTGACTATCTCATTTCGTCAGGAGCAACAGTAATAACACTGGTCTCTCTTTAGACAAACTAAACCAAAATTTTTATTGAAGAATCAATCAGTTTACAGCCAATCTACGTAAGTATTAGTTGTCAGTACTTAGATAATATTATAAACTATGCATTTATTTATAAAAGAATGTGTAATGTCATAGATAACGATATTTTCGATAAATACTAAAGTATATTATCTGACGTCAATAAGGTCAGCATTAGGTAGTGAAATTTACTTCATGACAAGTACATACAATTTTGTAATATTTCGTAGGCATAAATCTTTAAAATCTTTCATCGTATTCATCACAGTAAAAGTAAACTTAATCTATTGTTTATGTCTTACTCATCTCTAAATTGTATAGGCAAATTTAAATCATTTAATTTCTGGTTGCGATAACGCTATTATGCGCAATCATCAAGTTTAAAAATTACACCCACGATTGTAGGAGCGAAGTATCATTATACTTAAATTATGGCATCAACATTCAAATATTATCGTCTTGAAATCATATCATTACTGTGTTTCTAACTTCTCGACTAATTAAAATTATACTATATCCCAACAATGTTGTCAGTTGTTAACTAATTAATTACTCTGTAGAACTATTTACTGACTCTATATAGACAAAGACAACGGTTACTATTTTCAGAACTGTTATTTTTAGTAATATGCAGAAAAGGAATCATGAAATAATTATCCTTTTCCCTCATTAAATTAAAAGTGATCCGTTCTATTTTCGCAAATATTAGATGAAGCGTCATAAATAAATAAACTACGCATGATGCATTATGATTTTTGAATCGTTTTAATATGGTTATGAGAAAATCTACGTTAACATACAATATAATGTTATAATTTTTAATAATAAGTCATAATCAATTCTGTCAAGAGGAAAGATGTAAATATTTTTACCGGTAAAATCATACGTATGGTATATTAAAAGGAATTATTGATAAAAAAACCTTTAGCACTCCATTCACAATCATTACAATGGTAAAAATTTTAACTATGTCTGCACTGACAAAATTTTGGCACCTCTGTAAAGTTTAAGCAAGGTATCAAAATAACAAAGTACGCATATAGCGGACGACAGTTAACTGAACAGATATTAAAATCAGATTCATGCCATCGATAGGTTAAAGAGCTGCATCAATTGATATTATTTCGCTCGTTAATAGCCTTTACATGGTCTTGATCCAAACAACAATGTTTTCGCATAGTTAACAAAGTCAAGTAAAGGCATTTTGAGTTGATTACTGGACAAGCGACTGCTCCATAAAATTTTAATTCTAATGAAATAATATACAAACTGTGACATTGACGCAAACGGATATGCAATATCATTTCTTGATATTGTTACGCTAATTAAGGCGACAGATGTTAATCATAAAACCATTTTATTCTCCGTAGTATTGTCTTCCATTAGACTATCTGCCTCAAAATTGTCAATAATTTGGCTTCGTACTACGTGATCAAGATCTGTTCCATGTCATTTATCTAGTGCGAGGCCGCACCCATTGGCTCATAATATAAACCTTTCCAACTTTTTATCGAAACTTTCAGACTATCGCTTCGAATACACGCACAGTGATATTCCATGTTTTATATGATAGGCAGAATAGAAGATTTTTCTAGAATCGGTACAGAAAATATACGGCTAGATATTTATAGTTCACACAGTATCATGTGGTAAATACTTGACGTATAATTAACATTTGCATGTTCATTAATGCACTTAATATTTAAGATGATAATTTAGATAGAACTCTAAATACTAATGATATCATGACGACTAATATAATTCTCAGATTCACATGCGATGAATGTAATATATAGTTTAATACCTGTTAAATGTATTTAATAGAACCAAAAGTTTGGATATGGATATCTCGTTTTAGCATAGTTAGCATCATCCAATGCAGTACAACAATAGAAGAATCAAACAGCATTTGTGTAACAACAAACAATGTAAAATTATTTCATTAATGACTACATACATTATAATTGTTATTCTTCAGATATTTATACTTATATCAACAATGGTGTGTGTGGTTTTTATCAAAATCAGAGTTTCAGTACCAAGGAATAACAGTGTTACAATATATTTAAGCGTAGCAAGGACTGTTCCCCGAATATAGGATACATTTTTGAAACAACGCATCCAAAAATATTTGACTACAGCTGCTGATAGAGCACTATTGATTACAAACACAGGAATAATCAATGTAATTACTACTTTATAAATTACCTAAAATTAAATTATCAATTCTATTCAGTAGATGATACAGATGATACCCAATCAGGTTCAGCAGTTCTTATCTTTTCTAAAATGCTATTTGCATGAGAACATATACCTTTGATTTTTTGATCGAATGTTGGTAACGCATCTTGGGCTACATAAATAATTATAAGAATAAATTGAATACCTAGAAAAATACGAATATTCCTTCATCGAATTCCTATAATCTGATTAAATTACTACCTACAGCTCCAAACATAGCAGCACAATGTGATCAAATAACATACATTAAACTACTGCATTATTTTGCTAAAATCTTTTATCCCTAAGTTCACCACATGACGCAAATTTTGAACATTTAACGATCGTACAAGAGTAATAATGTAAATGTTACTTTAAAACAATTATAATAAAACAATAAGTATGGCATAGTACGAATAATATCCTATAACTTAAATCATACATTAAGTACAAGGCAAGGTATCATGTCGTCAATAGTAATCCATTATCTAAAGAAGGTAATTACAGGAATCTTACTTTGAAAAGCGACCAGACCTTCGATTTGGTCGATAGAGCCTTCCATTCTTCTTTCCCCTATCATACGTGATGCCACTTTTTCTGCCTGCCATAACCAATTTTAAGTTAAAATTTTTCAAATTTTGAGAAGAAAGCCTCTATACTGTACTTAAAGTTATCTTATCTAAGATTAGATAAGGAATAGCATACAAAATTACCTTTTCCGGAGAGATTTCTAATAGTCTTCCAAGCTCTAGGAATGTAATATTTTTATATAATTTACTAGCCGAAAGCAAGTTATGTTCAATCACAGCTCGGTCTAGAATACTGGATCCTTGAATAAATAAGAATATGCATTCAGACCGTTGAAAACGAAATATTAAAAGCATATAGAATAGATTTCAAGATTATACCGTCTGAGGTGGTCGCTTTTTGATGGGACATTAACATTGCATCAAATTCCAGTAATTGAGATTTTCGAATAATTCTATCTAAGTACCTATGAATAATAAGTAGACACAAATTTACGAGACTGATTTTGAATTTTATGCAATTGGGCCGTTACTAATACGATCTCATAAGCGTTGCTGATGTAGCTTACATTTTCTCCAGTATACCAAAAGTTGGCAAATGCTGGCATCTTTCATCTTTAAATAGCGTAGCCAGCAATCGTGACCTTTGTTGACCTAATGCATAGATTAGTTGAATGATCATAATTAACCATAAGTCAGCCAAAGTATGTTATCTCTATCTCCAATTCACAAATTTCGTAACATATTTCAGATTCTGCTACACTACCTGCAGATGCTAGTATAGTACAGTTCATGGCCAACTTTAGCGATGTCATTCTTTCAGATTCATGTACGTCGTTGAAGTATGATAATTCAATGTAGCGATGAGCAGCTTCAATAAATTTACGTCGATAATCTAACACGCGAGCATAACAAGCCTACAAAAATGCGATATCGATCATTACAACTAAGCATTTTCAGATTAAAATACGCCCAATAATTCCTTGAAGATGACTGAACCCAAATTTTAATGTACAGGTATTGTTATCTTGCATTAAGATTTTGTGAACAAATTCAACGGCAAATTAATAGCCTATTTTCATGTTACCTAAACTTATTGTGATACTATTTTGCGAATCATGATCTTACTAGAAAATATTAGTCATTATTTACCCATCCTCTTCAATATTTTGACACTGGTCAAGTTCAAAATATTACAATGAATATCAATAAAGAAAATATAGTAAATGGGTAAACATTGAACTTGACTTAAACGTTAATTGGATGGATGGCAATTTCTTGTAAACGAGCCATAATTCCAATGCAGACGATTGATTATCATCCCGTTTCATTTCGATAGGACAATACCAATTAGTCAATTTTCATTATTACTATTACTTACTTTATATAATATTCGTAATCTGGTTTCCTTAGACTGAAGCTGCAATACCGAAGCTCTGTTAATGTAAGCCTCAGCTTGAACAGCGTCTTCATTTTCTAGGTATAACTGAGCAATTTTTAGGTAAATTTCTAACTTGAAATCAGTAGAATATTGCCTATAACAGAATTTAATGTCATAGAAATTAAAGATCACTACAATATATATATATTTATTGCCGTAGTATACCAATGCAAATAGGCAACTCTTATAGCCATCATTTTCATTTATAAACTGGGCCTTCTTCTACTTACTTTTGGCCACTTTCTAGCTGGATACCGGCTAATACATTAGCAGCATCGTTCCAATTTTGCTCTTTTTCGTACATGCCGGAGAGGATACGCCTAACGGTTATTAACTAGTAACAAAAGTGGGATATTTTGGAGATTACAAACAATGCTTGTTATCAGAAGAATGGAATAACCCCTTATAAGGATTTCAAATATTACGTTTATGAAGTATATTTAAATTTCTGAGACAGTCTCAATGCAACGGATTAATGATAGAATGCCATACAAATTAAACCAACCTGATCTTCGAAGGACAAAGCGCGTGGTTGAACTTTAGATATAATAAAATGACAAATTTCCTTGGTCGATTCATCAGGCAACGAGGATAATTTTTCTGCAAGCTCCGCTAACATTTGACGGGAAGTTACGAGATCAATATGCTCATCTACCACTACTAGAATAGTTCAACATGACATATGAAATGAAGTTAAGATTTCGAATAACTAAATACAATCCAGTAAGAAAATTTCCAGAGTCACAAATGATATCATTAACCTAGCTTTGAGCTGATATCAATAAAAGTTAACGTATAAGAATTAGAATACAACTGGTATAATGTTCGTTTAACTTGTATCGTCAATACGCTACATGATGGACGACTAGAAATTTGTACGAAAATAATTTTGAGTAGTCTATGGCTTGACTCCATCCAGTCAGTCATGATGGTAGTGTCATGTAATTCAACAACACTATACTGTAGTAGGTGCAATAAGAGAGTTTGATTCTTGTACATCACAATCATAACAAGATAGGAGATAACTTAATATTAGTTCTTACAGCTTTCCACGAATGCCTTGGTACCATCAATTAATTCCTCAGGATTGCCTTGAAATATAGTATTGAGAATTTTCTTGTACTGATCAAGGATATCTCTAGATGCTGCATTGCTGCGGGCTAAAGCGTTGAGCGAAGCACGAATATTCGCCATTGCAGCAGACGAGCCTAATCACCGAAATGTCGCACTACGATCACACAGTGAGACTCAATAAGATGCTCTAGCTGATCTCCAATATTAGACGGATGTGCTGATAGTCGTTATGGGTAGAGAATATCTCGAGTTTGATTTTTATGTTCTATATATATATAATTAATTTTACTATTTTCGCTGAGGTTCTGACTATCCAGGCTCAAAATCTTCCTTTCAGATATAAAGGTTATCATTAACCCCTACAGTCTACGGTTATCATTAGCCCCTACAGTATACTGTACTGTACCGTACTGTACAGTACAATACAGTACAGTACAGTACAGTATCAGAGAAAAACAGATACTGTATCTCTACAGTACAGTACAGTACAGTATCAGAGAAAAACAGATACAGTACTGTATCTCTACAGTACAGTACAGTACAGTTAGCAGTGTACGGTACAGTACTCATTTGTACTGTGTACTGTACTGTATAGTGTACAATGCACAGTACGCAGTACTATAGACTTCTACTGTTATACTGTACTGTACAGTACAGTACAGTACTGTAAAGCCCGAGAATCGGTTTTCGATCATTTCGGGTTTTACCTTAACACATATTGTACAGTACAGTACTGTACAGTGTACAGTACAGTACACCGGTTGCTGTTAAGTAATACAGTACAGTAAGTAGAGTACTGTACTGTAGTTGCGTACAGTACAGTACAGTACTGTACTGTACACTGTACACTACAGTACGTACTGTACGGCACTGTAACAGGACGGCACACAACCTTGAGTACTGTACAGTACTGGAGAACTACAGTATATCGGCAAACGGGCGTCACAGACTCACGTCGCTTATAACAGTTGTTATTACTGCATATCAATACTGGTCGTGCACCGTCCAACGTGAACAGCAATATGGCGGCCATCGGTCTGCGATGTTGCATCCAGAATCTTAGTAGGCATAAGAGAATATGGCCTAACATTAGCCTACTATCAAGTAATTTCACTTTTTATTCTTAATGTGTTCTGTCAAGTAGATATTAGTAATCATAATTCCTTTTCTTAGTGCGTTGAAACTAGTTGATACTCTTTACTCCAAGTCGAGAAAAATTTTACTTCGTGTATCGTTGAGGAGAAAGTGACGCGTATTTTGCAAAGTGCAAGTTCTACATTTTGCCTGATTTCTCTCTACTTTAGGTTCAAACAAAATTAACACTTGGCAGAATTCAAGACTATTGTGTACGGCATCTCCTGTCATAGGTACTGTAATACACATTTATGATTGATGATTTTAATCTGTACTGACTGAATTATGGTGACTACAGTAAATCACGCAATAGTAGAACTTAGCCATGCTACTATACTGTACAGTACAGTGTACAGTCTGTAAGTATGCAGCTACGAATATCGGGAACATTAGCTATGCCTTAACCTTATCGATCATTAGTAGAATACATTCGAGTTTACTATGATTTAACAGTAATACACGAGTGCGACAAAGGCTTTTGCTTATTGTACGCGGTTGTAGATAATGCTGAGTTTATAATTTGCCTATATAAACGCATTAATTACGAATTAAGTTATGGTATGTATCCCCTACAAGTACAATATTACTGTACTCGTACGTATGCTGTAGCGTTGAAAATCTTCGCGCATTGATTGTACTGTATAAAAGTGTAAAAGTAGCCAAGAATACATACAGTACTTATTACCCTTCGTAACAAGTATAAACTAACGTAAGGGCAAGGATATGATGTATCAAGCTCAGACAAATATGTAAAGCTTTTTATGTTCCTGATAAACTTACGATCATTGGTAAATATTTCATCTTGACGTCTCACCTTCCTGATAACTCTTCATACGTATTAGATGCTCAAGATCAGAAAAAAGAAGTTGAAACCAGATTAACTGATTATGGTCGTTATCTACTGGATATTATACCAAAGTACTTACAAGGCATTAATTTAGCACTTGGCGATGAGCTGGAATTATTAGTATATCCAGAAGCGCTCATACCGACGATGATATTTTTGCGTAACCATACGAATGCACAATTCGAATCGTTGGTCGATATCACTGCTATCGATGTACCGAAGCGAGAATATCGTTTTGAAGTACGCACACACATTGATAAAAGATGACTTGTATTCATTTGTAACTTGAATTATGCGTGGTTCAGTAGTTATTATTGTATAACTAATAGATATAAATTTTAAATTTTAAAATGTTGTATTGAAATTGTTAACTTTGCCATCTTTATTTGCAGCTCATCTACAACTTGTTATCATTGCGTTATAATTCTCGTGTTCGTGTTAAAACGTATACCGATGAATTAACACCAATAGAGTCAATCACACCTATATTTCCCGGTGCTAACTGGTTTGAAAGAGAAGTAAGTATAATTTAAAGTAGTAGAATAATAGATTTTCATTATTTCTGTATCATTAGTAAAGCGATCTTGAGTGTATCTGAGATTTTAATTTATTTCCGTCATTTACACATGCCTATGGGGCATGTTCTTTATTCCACATATGTTAGCCTTAACAACAGATAAAAATTGCAATTTTAGCAGTATTAGTAACCTGCCTCAGCTGTTTCAGCATAATACGTACGTAAAATCGATATAGCTATTCGTGGATAGCAATTAACTTCCTCATGTCAAATAGGTATGGGATATGTATGGTGTTTACTTCGCTAATCACCCTGATCTACGTCGAATATTAACTGACTACGGATTCGATGGCCATCCACAAAGGAAAGACTTTCCGTTATCTGGTTATACAGAGGTAAGACACTCCCTTAATTATATTTTTTAGTAATGAATAGAGGTACTAGTTACAATAAAAATTTGCATCTCAGAAGTATTCTGACTTAAATTTTTACCACAGTATTGCAATAGATTTCTATCGATACTTTCAATAATTAATCGATCTTTTCGCCTAAATGTAGCTCCGTTATGATGACGAATTAAAACGTATTGTTAGCGAACCCGTCGAATTCGCTCAAGAATTTCGTAAGTTTGATCTAGAAACCCCTTGGGAGCAATTTCCTGCATATCGAGAAGAAAATCGTGCATCTTTGGAAGCAGGCGAAGAGATCAAGGAAGAAAACCAGAAAAAGTAGAATTAGTAACTTCATGATAGTCGTCTATGGGATATTTGGATCTAATTCAGAGTCTGTTAGAGAAAAATTCCAAATTATTATTTAAATATTAGTGTTGCAAGTATATTTTTACATGGCCTTTCAATGGTAGACTTCATGCTACCAACGTATGTGCTGTGATGCTTTGTTTATATTTGTTTACCTATCGGTGATGGCTTTTTATATAATAGCAACACTGCAATTCACCGTAGAAATCACAAATGCTAAAAGTCTAACAGTGTTTTGTATACGCTCTATAGCTAGCATGCATTCATTCTATGATACAATTCATAGAGCTATTAAAACAAATCTGTAAGCGTAACAAATCAATAAAGACTACGAAAGATTTTCTGATAATAAGGAACATCAAATTAAACTTACTCTACTAGAAACTTAAGATCGACTGTCAATAGAAATGATCTGTTTATGTATAGCTTTTCACTACCGTAATGCTTATTAATTCAAAAAGTAAAGTATTACAAAAATCAGCTTTCTGGATATAATGGTGAATTACGGAATGGAATAATGTAGAATAACGGCGAAAATGTTTAAGACTTTATAGAAGAATCAGATAGCAGTGATAACATTGCACTGTAATAGTTTTATTATAATTTTTATATAAGACACAGCATCGAATCATAACATTTCATTTGGAACACTAAATAGGGAGTTGTATTTGTCCACACTACCATCAAATGTACAAATATCAACGTTATCAGTAAAAACATGTATTTAAGGAATTTTCTAGAAATAATTATAGATCCTATCAGTAATCAAAAATTTCAAATAGTGCAATAAATAATCAGTTACGACGAAAACTAAAATAGATACAAGATATTGGCAATTAGCACTACTTTGATATAATTAATCGATCGCTCTATTATAAAATTGAACAAATATTTGGAAAGAGTTGACTATAAAGATCGATATTATCAACATTTCTATGCTAACATTAATAATACTAGATAAGGATGTTTCATATAATTTAATAGGAATATAGTAAATAGTTTTTCTCTGTAATAATTATAAAGTGTGTATATAACTCGATTATAATGTTTCTGTACAAGCTAATTTCAAATGATTAAATAACAATCAAGTAATTACTTATCATACTTTATTCGGAAAAACGAATCAATCTAAAGCTTCTTGTCATCGTAGATGCTATATAGAAATAGTAGCGCCTACAGAATTTGTACCAACTAGAGTATACATATATCATTGTAGTAAGGTCGTTAGCTCATGTGAACTGGTGATGAATGTCTTGCTGATCGCGGTGATGGCTCATTCTTAAATTGCAATGATAGGTCACGCACTTTCTCCGACCAATATTCACTCGATTTCTGTAGTTGTACGGATAACTAGAGATCAATAAGGCTACTTTAGTATTCGAAATTAAACATTTACATAATTTAACCATTTTCTCTATAATTTTGCCTGTTTTAGGTCGATCCATATAAAAATAACAACCGCTAGTACTAGACATGAATATGAAAATTAGGATTTAGATATCGATAATATCTACCGCATTATACGTATATAGTTGTAATAGAACAGTAACTTTGAATTTCATGTTTTTACAGGCATAGAATAAATTTTACATGTATAGACTGTAATATAACTAAAAATTGAATTTATTGTCAACAGATTACTTGATATTTCTTGATTAAAGTAAACTGCGAAATGTACGAACGATTAGAAATTGCTTATCAATTTCTAAGTAAGAAATCTATTTCACCTCTCCGACTTTTTGAATCCAATAGGACTTTTCTAAGATTTCGGGGTCACTGACACCTGTCTCTTCCATCGCATCTCGCATAACTTTTTGAATCTTGAGAGAAATATTATTGCGATTATTAACTTATGAATAATTTATGGCGTTAAATTCAACATAAACCCAGTAAGAAGATAATTCACTATATATGTGTCCAGTATTAACCTTTTCTCTCCCATCCCTAATCCAATAAAATATTACCATTAGATTAAAATATACAGATATTTCTTCATATCACGTATAATATCTGGAATTTTTGTTAAAGCAGAATAACTTACAAGTCTTTTGGATATCGCGACGAATATAAATCTTCCTTGTAATAACGATTAGGTTGATTTAATGTTCTACTGTCAAATTTACGCTCTTCGTAATTTGAGATACCAGCGATCCGATGGCGTAAATCGGCAATCATAGCGTCTTTCTTCTCTATCTCATCCTCCATAATCTATCAAATAAAAAATTAAAGTATACATAAATTTATATACAAATTTTATTCCTTATGCTGCGTGCTATCGCAATTAATATTAACGAAGGAGTAAATATCATTTTATTCCGTCAAACGGTCCGGGTATATTCTGAATATCACTCTACTCCAATACGATACCTTACGATTTGCTTGTTCACGTTCAGCCAGCGACTGATGCCGAATAACTTCTCGATTGAGCTCATTTACCTACAAATTAGATTTCATTAGGTAATCCATAGATTCTAAATCAGCGTAAGATAATTGAAAATAGCGAGACTAAAACGACACCTCCATGCTACAACCAACTAACCTTTTGACTCAAGTCCTGGTAAGAACTAGTATGCGGCTTATAATCATCAATAATCTCAATCATATCTTTTCGTTCGTTTCTAATATAAATTATCACGATTGCTTAATCTTCTATTCAGCATATTAATTATCAATGTATAGTTCTTACTGTAATTGCTCAATGTGCTTCTCCAATTTGGAAATCATTAGATTTTGACGGGTAGCATGGGACTGTAATGACTAAGAAAAAATAAAATAAATTTCTGTTCTATGCATGATTTCTACTGTAACCTATCTTTATATTTCTTACAAATATCATATAGTTCTTGTTAAGTTATTAGCAGTTTAACGACTAAATTAACAGTATCTCTCATAATAGTCTTAATATCTTCTTGACTAGATTAGAATATAAAACTGTCATAGAAATTGCTGTATAAATCTATGCTAATATCATTATGAATCTGGAACCACTTTATTCTACAGATGAGCATACAATATAGCCTGAGATATCAACTATGTAACTATTAACAAATACAATCATAACCTGTACCTTATAACTTTCATCATCTACGCCTCTGTTATCTTTAGGAATCAAAAAATAAACGATTAATTATTTATCGATGAAATAGTTTCAATTTGTAAAAAAAAATTTTCATACCTAATTGCCTTTGATAGCTTACTTGGGTTTTACGGGATAGATTTAATTCTTCCATTAATCGTCTATGAAATAGAAATCATCAAATATATCCTAAACTCATGATTTTAACTGGAATTGTATTAAAGTGAATCATTGTGAGTTAGAGAAATAACGCGTAATTATATCCTCTTACTCATTCTCAGCTTTTAATGATCCTATGGTCCTATTTTGCTCTCTATATTGCAATGTTTTAACAGATGGATAATAGATATTGATAAGGCAATAATAATAAGTCCTATCATGACAATTTTTAGTGTTCTCATATCTTCTACGAGCGCTGAAATTTCTTCATTGTAAAATATAACGTCCTAATATCGACATTATTAATCTACTTACCTTAATTTAGTATTAAGATTTTCATTAATTTCTCTAAAATTTAATATTAATAAACATTGTTTATAATTATTATCGCCGTAAATTAACGAAATCAAAGATATTTTATTATAAAATGCTATAAAATTCGGGTTATATCCACTCACTTCTGTTCTTTTACCCATTGATTAACTGTCGTAACAACTGATTCACTCTCTTTATGCAAGCGATCACCGTTTGATCTGGCTTCTTCTAACGATCCTCTAGTAACTTTAAGCTATAATATGGTTTTACATCATTGCTTAGAAAGTTATTTTTCCAACCCTTTTAAAAATAATTACTTACTTCCTCCATCGTAATCTTATACTGTTTCTTGATTTTTTCATATTCACTTTTAACGTGTTTCACCTTTAGAATTCCAACAGTGTCGAATATTGAAACAAGCGACGTAAATGAGATACTAGTTCCTATGGGAAGCTACTTTAAAAAATATTGGAAAAGATCATTCATTTTCATTACCTCTGTCGAGTGAATGCTATCTCTGTCTCTGGCAGCCACTAAGTCAGCTTTAAGATTAGCTAATTGAGTTTCTTTTTCATCCAGAACTTTGTTGCTCCTTTGACTTTCAGACTGGATATTGGCGATCTTTGACTTTAATTCTTGAATTACTTTCTCGTATTGGGATACCTACGTTATAGTGATCACTTTTGAGTATTTTCTCATAGTTATTCTTAAAGCTTTTCTATAGAATTTTCAAAATTAGGAAGCATAAGGTAAACTGATATACTTCTTCTGCAGTATTATTTTTCTGATCTTGCGCCTTTTTAAGCTCTTGTCGGAACATTTTTATCTTGTTTTCGGCTAAAGACATCTATACGTATCATTGAAAAAGATATATTTTACTTTAATGAAGTTTAATAATTATTTCAAACCTTAATCATCGAAATATTACGAAATTTTAGCTTACTTGTGAAGAAAAATCTTTCTTCATAAGATCCAACTTTTGAGCATAACGCTGAATCTGTTGAGGAGGTTATTAAAATTATTATCTATATGAGGACCATTCCTTAGCTTCATCGAGCATTAACTAACCGACTCCTCAGCTTCTCTCTTTTGCTTTTCGGTTTTAATTAACCGTTGTTGCTTATTACCGGTAGCTGTGGTAGCTTCTGATAGCTAATAAATAATGTGAAATTTTAATTGTAATTCTGATAGCTTTACCAGATTATTTAATGCGCACTACCTTAATTTTCATCAATTTAATCTCTTCTTCATAACGATTACATTCATTCTTTAATTTCTTAATTTCATCAGAATAACGCTTGATCTGAAAAGATTGATATAGAGAAGAACTGAGATATAACTAGATATTCCATCCCAATAAAATATTGATGTTAAATATATACCAATATGTCAAACCTACCTCATTTTCATAGCGTTTGATTTGT